ATATAATCTAATATGGAAGCCTCTTATCAGTACACGTGTAACAGGATATTAAAAAATTAAAAAACTGAAAAAGTTAGAGTAGTTTCCCTTTAAACCAGACCGAGCCCATCCTAGAGGGTATGTCATGAGCTGCGTACTTGCCTGTCGATCAAAAGGGGATATTACTGAATCCATGAATACAAAAAAATATTTTGGAATAAATGTCACCTCGGATGAAATTTGACAGTAAAATGATACTACTTACTGGTATACATTCAGCATTTCAGATTTAAGATTTATTTGCAAAATATTTTTGAACTTTCTTTAATTTCGTTTCCATTATCAAATTGTGTTGTTTTCACTTCAACAAAAACAAGATACTGACTACATCTTGTTTGTGATTAGGAGAGTTGGACAAAACACAACATAAAGCAGATTTCTGATATTGTCGCTTTTTATTGTTGGATCAGAAATATAAATATTTCTGTAATAGATGAAGACATCATAGTATACATTCACCACATGTTTATTTTATTGGCTTCAGCTAAGATAAGCCCTTGGTTTCTATATCTAATGTAATACTTACAAATCTAAAAATTCATCTATATATGGTGCTTGATATAATGATAGTGGATTACCATACAACCATCAATTGCACAGTCATTTTGAGACTAGAAATAATATCTGGCTAATAAACTACATCTGTTTACACATGGTTTATAAAATGGATACAAATTCTATATGACTTTCGTAACCTCTCATTACTTATATTAAAAAGCATGGTTCTACATGTATGTGTTTAAGATGACAATTCTGTATTTGTTTTTTTTAGACTGCTTATGCTACATAACTAATGTCCACTTTCAATCTAACTGGCTCTTGACACTTCTATAAAAAGACGAGGCACAAAGCAGATTACTAATTATTTTTCTGATATTTTACATATAGGAATTTATATATAGCATATTTCACATAGACCTCATTCACAAATTACATTCAGCAATTAAGATATAATCAATTACCCTTTCCCAATATAAGAATATTTTACATAATCATCATCTTTGCATGAAAAATTTGGCGTGCAACAGCAATTGCCATTTTGAAATAAAAGTTCACATTCAGCAACTCGCAACAAGCACTTGACTTCTATAAACACCAACTTTACTAAAAATATGGAAATGGTTTCATTTTGATTAATGAATACTTCTTCATTAGGTACATTGTATAACACAAACAACTCTTGCATCTACTCACATACACAACTATTTGATTTAGAGGTACTCATTGATTCAGTACTGCTGTCTCTACCAGGTTGTAGTTAATTTAAAAAATATATATCTAAGCAGAGATGTATAATTCACAGTCTATATTCCACCCAGCTGTACCTTAATATTTTCTTGTGTTTTAGCAAAAACAAAATTGTTATTAAGCATAATAGAGATGTCAATTGCCAATAATATTCATTCTTATGCAAATTCTTGGTAAACGACATATTTGGCGTTAAAGGTACAAGAAATAAAATATTAATTCCATGCAGAATGCATTCACTTTCTATGAAAATTAACACACAGTCAGGTGAATAATTACATGTATGTGATCGATTAAATACACCAGAAAACCTATTCAATTTCAACAGATAATTGATTATTGATTTTAACCAATACCCCATCTCCAACATCCGTATTGTTCCTTCAGTCCTGCATGTTGGTAAACATTGCCCAAAATGGAAGAGTGTGTCTCAATCTGTTGTATATTCGTGGTGAAGAAAGTATGCTAACATTCAAATTTGTTATATGTAAATTTGAATCTATCAGACTTTCAATCGATACTGATTTATTGCCAAATCCTAAGCAGTTCTAAGGACATGTAATAGCAATTCTTTTTCCTATTATTCGTTTTTCAAATATTGAGCTTTTGAATTGTATACATGTCGATCTACTTGTAATATTTAAGATGGAATGTATATTAAAGTACATTTTACATGTATCCTTGTGTTTCCAATTGACCAATGTTTTATGCACAACACTTTGATAGCCGATCCATTACAGATAACGTTAGCCTGCATACTGAAGAAATCTGCAGTCTTAATTGTTTTGATCAATATCACTGATAAATTATGCTGAATTCGCTCATACTATAAGTGATAATTCCGCATTTCGCCTCATTTACTAACTAAACTACTATAGCAGACTTTTTCTACTTTACGTACAGGTCACTAACTATCTTCCAAAAGATTGATACCAACCATGATGTGAAAACTGATCCCTACGTCCAAGCTGCGATACTGGGGAAAATATCTCATAATATAATCTAATATGGAAGCCTCTTATCAGTACACGTGTAACAGGATATTAAAAAATTAAAAAACTGAAAAAGTTAGAGTAGTTTCCCTTTAAACCAGACCGAGCCCATCCTAGAGGGTATGTCATGAGCTGCGTACTTGCCTGTCGATCAAAAGGGGATATTACTGAATCCATGAATACAAAAAAATATTTTGGAATAAATGTCACCTCGGATGAAATTTGACAGTAAAATGGTACTACTTACTGGTATACATTCAGCATTTCAGATTTAAGATTTATTTGCAAAATATTTTTGAACTTTCTTTAATTTCGTTTCCATTATCAAATTGTGTTGTTTTCACTTCAACAAAAACAAGATACTGACTACATCTTGTTTGTGATTAGGAGAGTTGGACAAAACACAACATAAAGCAGATTTCTGATATTGTCGCTTTTTATTGTTGGATCAGAAATATAAATATTTCTGTAATAGATGAAGACATCATAGTATACATTCACCACATGTTTATTTTATTGGCTTCAGCTAAGATAAGCCCTTGGTTTCTATATCTAATGTAATACTTACAAATCTAAAAATTCATCTATATATGGTGCTTGATATAATGATAGTGGATTACCATACAACCATCAATTGCACAGTCATTTTGAGACTAGAAATAATATCTGGCTAGTAAACTACATCTGTTTACACATGGTTTATAAAATGGATACAAATTCTATATGACTTTCGTAACCTCTCATTACTTATATTAAAAAGCATGGTTCTACATGTATGTGTTTAAGATGACAATTCTGTATTTGTTTTTTTTAGACTGCTTATGCTACATAACTAATGTCCACTTTCAATCTAACTGGCTCTTGACACTTCTATAAAAAGACGAGGCACAAAGCAGATTACTAATTATTTTTCTGATATTTTACATATAGGAATTTATATATAGCATATTTCACATAGACCTCATTCACAAATTACATTCAGCAATTAAGATATAATCAATTACCCTTTCCCAATATAAGAATATTTTACATAATCATCATCTTTGCATGAAAAATTTGGCGTGCAACAGCAATTGCCATTTTGAAATAAAAGTTCACATTCAGCAACTCGCAACAAGCACTTGACTTCTATAAACACCAACTTTACTAAAAATATGGAAATGGTTTCATTTTGATTAATGAATACTTCTTCATTAGGTACATTGTATAACACAAACAACTCTTGCATCTACTCACATACACAACTATTTGATTTAGAGGTACTCATTGATTCAGTACTGCTGTCTCTACCAGGTTGTAGTTAATTTAAAAAATATATATCTAAGCAGAGATGTATAATTCACAGTCTATATTCCACCCAGCTGTACCTTAATATTTTCTTGTGTTTTAGCAAAAACAAAATTGTTATTAAGCATAATAGAGATGTCAATTGCCAATAATATTCATTCTTATGCAAATTCTTGGTAAACGACATATTTGGCGTTAAAGGTACAAGAAATAAAATATCAATTCCATGCAGAATGCATTCACTTTCTATGAAAATTAACACACAGTCAGGTGAATAATTACATGTATGTGATCGATTAAATACACCAGAAAACCTATTCAATTTCAACAGATAATTGATTATTGATTTTAACCAATACCCCATCTCCAACATCCGTATTGTTCCTTCAGTCCTGCATGTTGGTAAACATTGCCCAAAATGGAAGAGTGTGTCTCAGTCTGTTGTATATTCGTGGTGAAGAAAGTATGCTAACATTCAAATTTGTTATATGTATATTTGAATCTATCAGACTTTCAATCGATACTGATTTATTGCCAAATCCTAAGCAGTTCTAAGGACATGTAATAGCAATTCTTTTTCCTATTATTCGTTTTTCAAATATTGAGCTTTTGAATTGTATACATGTAGATCTACTTGTAATATTTAAGATGGATTGTATATTAAAGTACATTTTACATGTATCCTTGTGTTTCCAAGTGACCAATGTTTATGCACAACACTTTGATAGCCGACCCGTTACAGATAACGTTAGCCTGCATACTGAAGAAATCTGCAGTCTTAATTGTTTTGATCAATATCACTGATAAATTATGCTGAATTCGCTCATACTATAAGTGATAATTCCGCATTTCGCCTCATTTACTAAGTAAACTACTATAGCAGACTTTTTCTACTTTACGTACAGGTCACTTACTATCTTCCAAAAGATTGATACCAACCATGATGTGAAAACTGATCCCTACACGTCCAAGCTGCGATACTGGGGAAAATATCTCATAATATAATCTAATATGGAAGCCTCTTATCAGTATACGTGTAACAGGATATTAAAAAATTAAAAAACTGAAAAAGTTAGAGTAGTTTCCCTTAAAACCAGACCGAGCCCATCCTAGAGGGTATGTCATGAGCTGCGTACTTGCCTGTCGATCAAAAGGGGATATTACTGAATCCATGAATACAAAAAAATATTTTGGAAAAAATGTCACCTCGGATGAAATTTGACAGTAAAATGGTACTACTTACTGGTATACATTCAGCATTTCAGATTTAAGATTTATTTGCAAAATATTTTTGAACTTTCTTTAATTTCGTTTCCATTATCAAATTGTGTTGTTTTCACTTCAACAAAAACAAGATACTGACTACATCTTGTTTGTGATTAGGAGAGTTGGACAAAACACAACATAAAGCAGATTTCTGATATTGTCGCTTTTTATTGTTGGATCAGAAATATAAATATTTCTGTAATAGATGAAGACATAATAGTATACATTCACCACATGTTTATTTTATTGGCTTCAGCTAAGATATGTCATTGGTCTCCATATCTAATGTAATACTTACAAATCTAAATCTTCATCTATATATGGTGCTTGATATAATGATAGTGGATTACCATACAACCATCAATTGCAAAGTCATTTTGAGACTAGAAATAATATCTGGCTAATAAACTACATCTGTTTACACATGGTTTATAAAATGGATACAAATTCTATATGACTTTCGTAACCTCTCATTACTTATATTAAAAAGCATGGTTCTACATTGTATGTATGTATTTAAGATGACAATTCTGTATTTGTTTTTTAGACTGCTTATGCTACATAACTAATGTCCAATTTCAATCTAACTGGCTCTTGACACTTCTATAAAAAGATGAGGCACAAATCAGATTACTAATTCTTTTCCTGATATTTTACATATAGGAATTTATATATAGCATATTTCACATAGACCTCATTCACAAATTACATTCAGCAATTAAGATATAATCAACTACCCTTTCCCAATATAAGAATTTTTTACATAAGCACCATCTTTGCATGAAAAATTTGGCGTGCAACAGCAATTGCCATTTTGAAATAAAAGTTCACATTCAGCAACTCGCAACAAGCACTTGACTTCTATAAACACCAACTTTACTAAAAATATGGAAATGGTTTCATTTTGATTAATGAATACTTCTTCATTAGGTACATTGTATAACAACTCTTGCATCTACTCACATACACAACTATTTGATTGATTTAGTACTGTTTTCGCTAAAATGTTTTAGTTAATCTGAAAATATATATCTAAGTACATATTTATGATTCAGTCTATATTCCACCCATACACACATATTTGAGGTGGAGGTATTCATCAATGCCATATTTACTGCCCTCACTCCCGAGACCGGATTCCTTCCAGCCTCCAAATGGAGATTCTGGGACAGACACTAATCCCTCGTTGACTCCTACAATGCCCGTTTCCAGCTGCTCAGCCACACGCCAGATCTGACTGAGGTTTTGGGAGAAGAAGTACCCTGGAAAGTGGAAAGAAGTTAGTGTTAGTGGAACATTAGGCTATCATTTAGACAACTGTACACTTTATAAGTTCATAAATTTTAATCCACTTTCTAAAGTCAAAATTGAAAATTAGGCATGTCACTTTACAGAATGTTAAGTTTGTTTAAATTTTCACACCACACTTTGATCTGTGCTGTGTTGGGTAAGGAATCCTGTGAATATTGGCATGGTTAAACTGAACACTGGTAATGAATTTCTCCTATTTGTTGAATTGTTATGAACATTTACATTCAATAATGAGATTATTTTCATTTTGTTTTAAATATCTTTCACAGATCAGCTTGGTTAAGTTACTTCATAGCTCTTTTCTCAAAACAAATTAACAAAAGTTGAATGGTTCAAGAAATATTAACATTAGCATTCAGATAAAGGACTGGTTTTTGCTACAACTTGACCTTTTTTGACAATTTTTTATCAAACAAAAATATTTTTTGTTGGTTTCATCTGACTTCGTTTCAATATGCAAAAAATATCATTGCATCATTTTAGATTGATGATACGCCTTTAATTAACCTGCCTGATGATTTAAATTGATGAGGGTTTCTGCATTAATGGGCATTACATAGGGCAGGATATTAAATAGATGGAGTAAAAAAGGCTAAATCATGAAAAAAGTATGTTGTAATAAAATTATCACAAACCTGCCAAACCTGATGATGTAACATTTGCTATCGCAACTGCTTCCTCCTCCGTTTTAAATCTGTAAAAAAAAAATTTTCAATCAAACTTATCTTCATTCCTGGTCTACTACCTATCTCTTTTTTTATTATGTTGCTATATTTTCCATATTTTGGTCATTTAAGCATCAGTGATGAGTTTTAGAAGGACAAAAACAGCTGTATGATGCTGTTTTAATTCATCATTTGACTCTACTTTATCTAAGGCTACATTTGTATTGTGTTCTTTACTTGTGTCTTTTGTACAATCTTACATTTCCATTCAATCTTTATTATATGATCAAGAGAAATATTGTAGAATTGTAAAATTCAATGGGGATTTTTATTAATTTAATTTGTGGATCCTTATATCCAAGAATTTACCACAAGCTAATAAATTAGTACAGGTAGATTTATTGAGCTATATTTGTCCATGAAATCAAGTGTCCAAAATTTTTTTTTCTAAAAAATCACAAAACTATATGATTTTACACTATAACACAATCTACAATTTGAATACCAAGACATATCTGTGGAAGATACCTGGTATCACAAAAAGCTTTTGAAGTTCAAAAGCTAATTTACAAGGTATAACAGAGTTGTGTAATGATTTATGGCATGTGCGAGATTTAGGTATATGTTAAGATTCTGTTATATGTGTACTTACTTCAAAATAGGAGCAACAGGTCCAAATGTCTCCTCAGATGAGCACCTCATTTCCTGTGTTACATGTGATAGAAGGGTGGGAAGGAAGAAGTTTCCGTCCAGCCTCTTACCTCCCCTGACAACAGTAGCCCCTTTAATCACAGCATCATCCACATGGCCCTGGACCTGAGACCATATAGAAAGCAAAGAATAGCAATATATCATAAGGAACTATTATACCATGAAGGTTAATCAGTTACTCAAAACATTAAATATGATGACTTTTTTGTGAGAACATATTAAAAGGTACAGTACTTTTGAATTACTACTATTTACCAAAAATATCTGTAAACAACAGACAGAGTGGTATTGTAGTTTCCAACCTTTCAATAATAAGTTGTAAAACAAATGCTCAAAAATGACCACAGGGACAGCACAAATTCCCAGCACATAGTCCAGATATATGTATCATAATCACTTTTATACATATAAATGGATTATGGGATGAGAAATTGTGCAAAGGAACAAGACATAAGTAAGGACCAAATAGAGTTGATCACCCTTGCAATAGACTACATACCCTTTGGAAAAGTCTAAATAAAACTACTACCCAACTCACTAATTGTGGTTTACTTCCAGTAATATTCAAAGCAATACCTTGTCTACTGCTTTACTGTTGATCAATGGGCCTTGTGTGGTACCATCCTCAAACCCGTCTCCCACTTTGAGTTCCCGGTCCATGGTTTCCGCTACTTTCTGTACAAACTTATCATAGATCCCCTCCTGAACCAGAATCCGATTGGCACACACGCAGGTCTGCACCAAGTACATCATAAATGTCTTAATTAATACACAGTAGAATCATTATTTTTTTTATCAGTTGTAACATTTTTACAAAGAACAGTATATTTAGTTCAATTACAATTGTCGAGTATTGTCCAAATGAAAGCCATTGCAGCACACAGTGTAAATAACTGACCAATCTATTACCTCAGAAAGATGAACTAGCATAATATTTATGAACACCATTTCAATACATAATACAACATAACCCAACATATCTGAATATTATTTGATCCTCCTTCATAAATTTCATAACATAAATCTAACTTCCATACCTGTAATTTGACTTGAAACTTACCTGACCAGAAACCCTAAACTTACAGCCCATCAGTCCCTTGACAGCTGCATCAACATCAGCACTGTCAAACACAATAAAGGGGGCGTTTCCTCCCAGCTCAAGGGAAACTTTCTTCACAGTGGACGCTGATTGCTCCAACAAAATCTGAATAAAAATCTCAGTAATTTACGAGAAAGTTTGTACCCATGCAAAATCAAATTGTAATTTGTGAAATATGATTTAAAGAAGTTCTCAAAAATAACGTTCATTATTTGCTGAATTTGACAAAATATTTTCAAATGACTATCTAATTAATGATATAGACTTACCTTGCCAACTTGGGTGGAACCTGTGAATGAGATCTTCATAACCAGCGGATGTTTACACAGCATTTTTCCCACCTCAGCAGCATGGTCTCGGGATGAAGTTACTACATTCAGAACACCTGGGGGCATTCCAGCCATAGACGCTAACTAGAGAAACGTAGAAATAAAATCTTTTCTGCACCACACATCACACAGGTGTGCAATGATCACAAAGTTTTGACACATTTACAATACTCTGAAATTTTCATGGTCTTACCTATTGCCCAGAAGACATGAAATGGATTATTGTTTCCTAATGGTAAATCTAGTTTCAAAGTGTCTTTATTTACAGTTATATCCAATCCTAAAAATGAGTGAACAAGAGGTCCATAGGGCAGGTATAACTCACCTGGTTTAGTTTGCTGAAAATGATTAAAATTAAACTTCAAAAGATGTATTTAAATTACCTGGTACATCTATTTCCCCTTTCAGACACCACCCCTCTGCCTCCAGGGGGTTAAATGCAAATTTGGATCAAATTTGGATATCATTGAATCATTTCAACAGAGGGAGGAATTTAAAGAATTTGCTTTGTCTCCACTATTGGGCCCCGCCCCTACTGCAGCCCCAGGGGGTTAAAACCCACTGTTTATACCTTCGTGCAATCATGCCTCAGACAAAATCAAGAAGAACAATATCAAGATTTTGCCCTATTTTCCTAATTTGGTGCAGCTCTTCCCATCCAATGGAGCAGAAACAAACTGTTCATGCAAAATTGATTTCCCTTCCCCCAATAATGCTTCAGATCAAACCTGGGCAAAATCAGGACATTTCTGCAGGAGGAATAGGATTTCAAAGACTTTGCTCTAATTCCCCTATTGGCCCTTCTGGCCTGGTGAGCTACAAAGTTCAAGTGTCTCTTTTCACAATATTATCCCATCTTTGAAATAGCGAAATCAAAATCCCCAAAAATAACATCCTTGACGTACCTCACACAGGGCAAGGGCTGAGTAAGGGGTGTCCTCAGCAGGCTTCAGTACTACAGTACAGCCTGCTGCAATGGCTGCACAGGCCTTTCGAGTTATCATAGCATTGGGGAAATTCCACTAAAAGACAAAAACAAATTTTACAAGCAATTTCTCTATAAAATCAGCATCAAACTGTTTACTGGAAAGTTAAATATTGATATGAACTTATTTAATATTTTTATCAACAACTGATTCGATGAGATACTACTGTAATGATATAATAAATCTTGTTTTATAAAGTTATTGGAAAATCATATTCATAGCAACAAATGCATTTTACCGGAGTGATCATGCCAGCAACACCCAATGGTTGTTTGAGGACAAGCATGCGACGTGTATTGGTTGTAGTTGGGATAATGTCTCCATACACTCTCCGGGCTTCCTCAGCAAACCATTCTATGAATGCTGTGCCATAAGCCACTTCTCCCGCTGCCTCTGCAAGAGGCTTGCCCTAGATTATACAAAAAACAAGGTCAAGGTCAGGGACTTCAATAAATTACACAAGTACAATGTAAAAATACCAAGGGATTCCCCAAGATAGCATAAAATGAAAAAAGAAACAATCCCAAAATTTCAAAAAAAATTTACAGAAATATCTCATGAAGACATAAAGCTCAATGTAAGAGTCAGAGGCTTACCCTAGATTCTAAAGTGTCAAGGTCATGGTCCGGTCTAGATTACTTAAATACAATGCCAAGGTCACTAACCTCCTATAGCTTATCTGTGTCACCATTTCAGCTGTGTCAGAACACTACAACTGCAAATTTTATCATTTTGACCTATTCTGATTATCTATACTAACATTATTTTCTTACCATTTCAGCTGTGAGAAGCTTTGCTAGTTCATCTTTATGTTGTGTACAAAGCTCTGCCCATTTTCTGAGAACACCACTTCTTTCCTAGAAACAGAATAATACATGTGTTGAGCGTTCACCTATGTAACCTCAGGTGACCTTCCAAAGTGTATGGTTCAATGGTTCCATCTTCCCATGGCAGTTTGTATATCTCAGAATGCTAAGAAACAGATCGGTGTATACCGGTGAGGTAGTGTTTTTGAGCAAGAGATTGTATCTCATTCACTCTTTGACTAGCCTTTCGTAAGTTGTTCAGTAACATAACCTCCAACCACACCAAGGAGGCCCTGCCTTAAAATGACACTGGCTATTGGTGAGGTAATAAAACCAGCAAACAAATTCTCACTACATTGAACTCTTTTAACAATATATATATATATATATCATTTCTTATTGAATAATCATCTCCACTTGCCAGAAAATCTTCTTACTAAAATGATACAATATATGACTATTTACATACATATCACAATATCATGATACTAACCCTGGCTGTGGTTTCCTTCCACGTCTGAAACGCTTTGTAAGCCACCTTTATTGCTTCCTCTGTGTCCTGGGCATCCATGTCAGGGACACTTCCTATCACTCCACCTGTTGACGGATTGATCACTACAAACAAAGATATTAAAAAAAATTATTTAAAACATGATTTAAATCTTTGTTATGTATATCTTGATAATGATAGGAAGATCAATCGATTTTGCAAATAAATGAAAAACAAAGATGTCTGACTGGTTTCTCAGCATTCTTGGTACATTGAGGTTACAATCAATTCCATTCTCTGTACTCCTTGAGCATTTCCTGGCAAAACTAAAGTGCAGGAGAATTAATTTCATAGGTCTATCACAAGTTTTAGGAGAAAAAAATTGACCAATCACAGACTAATATGCTCCTTTGAAGATTTCAAAAGACCAACACACAACTTCAAAGTCAGCACACCATATCATTATGCAACCTTGATTAAAGAATTAAACTAGTCTTCTTGTCTTATCCATAAGGTGTCACTCCTCAAAAAATTGAAAATGTATTCTTATTTCTCAAATCTTAATGGCCATTTTCTTCAATAAAGGTTGGTTAAATGGAGAATGTTGTAATTATGAGCTTTTTGGAATATTTCAAGTTTGTTTGTCAAAGACTACTTACAATGCAATCTACCACAAACTTACTTGCATGATACTGCATGAACGAAATATGCTATGTACCCAAGACAGTACCTATTTAGAACATTTCAAATATTTATAACAAATTTTTTTTCAACAATTTTGATAAACTCAGTCTATCTATATCAAGAAAAAGCATATAAAATTTTCATAACTATAGGTAAAATTTATCCTGCTTAGGAACAAGATTCATAATCTTTGCTCTGGGATGCAATGAAAGTTCAGGGTAAATTTCTCTTAATACAGCAGTTAACAATCTTATTAAATGTTGTCATTCATGCGAGTCATGTCGATTATCCCACTTGGTATATATCACTTTACATTTTTGATGTGTATTAATTTATATTGTTGCACTGACTAATGTGTCATGTTGAATTATAAACGGGCTGCATACCTTGAAAAGTTTTCCCACTGGCAGCAGGAACCCATTTCCCATCAATGAATGCATTTTCATGCTTGAATGAACTGGCATTCCTGGTAACCCCAGCTGTTGCAGCTGGTACTCTGTCCATCCTTAGTTGGTGGAGTGTAAAGACTGTGATTCTCTTGTGATGTTGACCGATTACAGAATGAAATTTCCTAAACATAAAAGACTGAAAAAGAGAAGAGAAAACATTTACATCAAATACAGTAAATAAACTATCAAATAAATTAAATGAAGACAAAACAAATACGATTGAAGAACCTTATACTATTTCTACCAAGTTTGACAGATATAAGAAACATGTCCATTAATGATAGTTTAACCTCATGTGATATAAAGATCAAGTATAATTTTTCATGATTTGTCAGCAGTACCTGAATATTTCCTTGTGTTTTAGCAAAAACAAAATTGATATTTAGCATAAAAAAGATGTCAATTGCCAATGATATTTATTCTGATGTGAATTCTTGGTAAGCGAGATATTTCGTGTTAAAGTTGCAAGAAATGAGATATTACTTCCATGTAGAATGCATTCACTTTCTATGAAAATTAACACACAGTCAGGTGAATAATTATGTGATCGATTAACTACATCAAAAAATCTATCCAACTTCAACAGATTATTGATTATTGATTTTAACCAATACCCCATCTCCAACATCCATATTCTTCCTTCAGTTTTGTATGTTGGTAAACATTGCCCGAAATGTAAGAGTATGCCTCATTCTGTTGTACATTCAAATTTGTTATATATTTGAATCTATCAAACTTTCAATCGATACCGATTTATTGCCAAATCCCAAGCAGTTCTAAGTACATGTAATAGCAATTCTTTTCCCTATCATTCGTTTTTTAAATATTGAGCTTTTGAATTGTATACATGTCAATCTACTTGTAATATTTACGACGGAATGTACGTGAAAGTACATTGTACATGTATCCTTGTGAGACAAACTGACCATGCTTTATGCTCAACACTTTAATAGCCGATCCATTACAGATAACGTTAGCCTACAGGCTACATACTGAAGAAATCTGTAATCTAAAATGTCTTGATCAATAGCCTTTTGATAAATTATGCTTATTTCGCTAAGACTATACATGATAATTCCGCAGTTCGCCTCATTTACTAACTCAATATCATAGAAGACTATTTTCTACTTTCATTTTCATTACGTACAGATCACTGACTATCTTCTAAAAGGTCGATACAAACCATGTTGTGAAAACTGGTGTCTACGAGACCTCGATGTCACACTTCTGAAATTTCCCTTGCGATAGTCACGCTTGACATGTCATCTCATTACATATTGACAAAATCTAATATTAAAGCCGCTTGTCGGCATACATGTGACAGGATATTAAAAAACTTAAATGTTAGAGTAGTTTCCCTTGAAACCGGAAATGAGCCCATTCTACTGGGTTTGATCTATCCATTGATTCCACGCTCAGAAGGGACACAACACATTTTTTAAAATTTCGTTTTGTTTGTTTTTATTATTATTTATTTTTTTCTCAGCCTAAATATCTAAAATTTGAACTTCCTACTATCACTTGTTCCGTGCAAGTGTGTGGTTATTCAAAACCAGAAAAAGTACATAATATTACAAACGTATATATGTCTATATAAGCTTCAACTGCCCTTGCGATCAAATTTAGATTGAAGTGTGATTGGAACTTCACTATCCACAATACACTTACCGCAACACAATGAGAACTGTCGACCCCTTATTGGATTACAAAAATGATTTTGATCGAAAAATATCTTTTTAGTCTTTCATGTGGAAATAAAATCATATTTAAAATCTTGAAGAGTACAGATACATTTTACAAACATAAACGTTTGTAAAACAAGACTAGTACATAGTGTTAAAATACAGTATATGTAACTCTGATAACGGAGCATGCTTCTTTGGTTCAGGTGTTAGAACCGGTCGATTATCACGCAGGAGACCCAGGGTCGATTCTTGATCGAGGCATTCGACAGGAACGTGTGTTTTCCATGTGCTTTCACATGTTAATGGTTTGAAACATACGTAACCAAAAGCTTTTTTATCATTCAAGATAAGAGCTCGCTTGTTTGTACTTGATTTCTAGTGTAAGATTCGAAACTCTCGTCCGTGACATTGTTTATGGGAAAGTAATGGAACAATCACATCAGGGTCCAATCCAATAATGAAATCTAGCGAATTAAATTTCATTGCGATATGATGGGTGTGAAAAACGACAAAGAAGCTCTAGAAGGTGTATTTATTTAAGAACAAATAACATCAGTGGAACTATGGAACGGTTGATATAAACTTTATTTCATTCATAATTACATACATATACATATAACATAGCATTATGAACCACATTTGAATTGAATTCAGAAACAAGTTTTGCAATATATAAATCTGTCTACGTTTGGAATGGTTGAGAAAACAAACTACAAGGACATAAAAATATCATATGACTTCATCCATGGGTCTTTTGAAATAGTATTCATGTTAACAAGGACGGAAACGAAAAAAATGTACTTATCAAGATAATGACTGGTGCACATATGACACAAATACACGGCCCAGCCAACATGCGAAGATAAAATGCAAGATCTACTACATGTAGTATTATATACTACAACACCAAATCTGAATGAGGGCTTCTACAGTATACTAGGGATATCAGATTACGAATTACATGATAGTTACCAACATTAAAACAAAATGGCATAATCGCAGAGCATAACAGCTAAACTAATGAAACAAAATGACGCAAGTGTTTAGACTTACGGAGAACATTTTAAAAAGACGCAAGTGTTTAGACTTACGGAGAACATTCAGAAAGACGCAAGTGTTTAGACTTACGGAGAACATTCAGAAAGACGCAAGTGTTCAGACTTACGGAGAACATTCAGAAAGACGCAAATGTGTAGACCTACGGAGAAAATTCAAAATAGAATTTTGTAATATAACAGAGAACAAACATAGATTAGTATTTCGGATGGGGACCTGAGTGGAAAAAAATGGCTTAGCCAGCAGGTTATTGTATGAAGTTTGGAAGCCACCAGAGGCAGTAATGAAAATCTTAGAAAAGAGGAGGAGTCTATTGCAGATCAGCAGCAGCATCCCAAAAGGTCTCAATCAAGTCTCCGAAATACAGGACTCAATAGTACAGAAACCATCATCGACAGCAGTAGGCAAGACAACAAGTTTATACTGACAGCTATTCCGCATCCGATCGAACGACAAACGATGTCTCACACCGACTTCAGATGTCGAACAGAACCCAAAACCAAATTCTCAGAGGACGTGTTAAAAAGGGACCCGAAAATCGTACCAAATATTACTGTCTGTGGAATTACTCCAACCGTTTCTGGTGTAATTTAAAAGGAATATAACATACTATCATGTCATAAATTACAGCCTGTATGCGAAAGCATCTTACTATTAGAGGAACGTTCGGTTCAGTTAGATTTCAAACTAGGAACATAGTTCATCTGCAATACTTTAATAGGAAAAATATCTAAATACAAACATAAGCAGCTGACTAAATGTCAGGATACTATTAAAGTCGTCGGTAGGACGTTTTGTCTTAGAAAAAGTCAAACATTTAAACTCAGTCAATCTAGCAAAAATGAAGAAATCAACTATGTAAGTGTCTATGTTTAACGGTTTTGTCAGATCAGACCTGCTCAAATTATGAAACATGCTAAAATCACGTAATCTTTCTTATCATTTGGTTAATGTTTGAAAATTTAAAAATACGGATCTAATAAAGTCGAAAGAATGTTCAAATACAACATAGAACCTCACTTAAATACATACAAATGTGATAACGATATAATTGATCAGATGACTATTTTTCTTTATGAACTTTTCATGCGTAAATGAGTGGATTTAGGTTTGTCTTGGTGCGGGGACAGATTCCACAATCTCAACACAGTGATAAAAAAAGATATTTTATTCAGTAGGGAAAGGAAAAGCTTTATTCATTTATCTATTTATTTAAAACCTACAGTATGTCATCTATTTTCATCATATAGTGATAACACACGTCTTACACCCTACTTACAAGGCGTGGAAATATACTGCATTGGATTGGGACCAGCAGGACTATAGTATAGTGAGCACAGGGAGGGTAAATGCCTAGCAAAGATATGATCTCCAAAGGGACGAACATCTTAAGACAAAAACCAGATTTTCCCTCCTCCCGTATCCTGTAAGACAAGTACCAGATTTGCCCTCCTTCCGTTTCCTGTAAGACAAATACCAGATTTTCTCTCCTTCCGTATACTGTAAGACAAGTACCAGACTTTCTCTCCTTTCGTATCCTGTAAGACAAATGCCAGAGTTTCCTTCTTTCCGTTTCCTGTAAGACAAATACCAGATTTCCCCTCCTTCCGTATCCTGTAATCAAGAACCATATTTCCCCTCCTTCCGTATCTTGTAAGACAAGTACCATATTTCCCCTCCTTCCGTCTACTGCAAGACAAATGCCAGACTTTCTCTCATCGTATCCTGTAAGACAAATACCAGACTTTCTCTCCTTCCGTTTCCTGTAAGACAAGTACCAGATTTCCCCTCCTTCCGTATCCTGTAATCAAGTACCATATTTCCCCTCCTTCCGTCTACTGCAAGACAAATGGCAGACTTTCTCTCATCGTATCCTGTAAGACAAGTACCATATTTCCCCTCCTTCCGTCTACTGCAAGACAAATACCAGACTTTCTCTCATCGTATCCTGTAAGACAAGTACCAGATTTTCCCTCCTTCCGTATCCTGCAAGGTAAGTTTCAGATATCTTTCCCTCTATATCTGGCAAGACGAGTACCATCCATATTTCTTCCCGCCCGTATCATGTAATGTAAGCACTAGGTTCCTCTTCCGCCGTACCTGGCAATGTAAGTTCTCGATTTCCCCCTCCTTCTGTACCATTCCTTTTACGGTAGCTATCCGTCATACACACCAGACATGAGACTGATGCGTAACGCAGTATGTCCAAAACTAGTGGGGTCGGGTGGGCGCCATGATGAAGAAGCTTGATGAGAAACATCCGGTTTCCGGAAGGACTAGCAAAATGGTATTGTCACATAAATAGCTTGTCTTGTCATGTCATACGACCATGTTATAAAAATACCATGTATTTATGACTTAAACGATTATTAGATATCTATCGTAATGTCGTTGTTCGTGGAAAATAACGTTATAAGTGTGAGTAAACACAAATTAATGATAATCATTCATCGTGACCTATTGGCAAGAGCAGATAATTCTGCATTTAGAGAAAACGGAATAGTGAAAAACCTGCTGTCCGAATCGAAATAGTCTCGTGACATGTCAAACTACTGAACTCGTTAATTGGTTCTATAACCGCTATTACATCGACATTTATGTAAGATCCCCTATTTGATAAAAGGTATTTTCTTTCATTTTTTTATCCTATTTCCCAAGTACCAAAACCTTTTATCAATACCTTAGTGATTTGCGATAGTGGTAGAGGCCAGCGGTCTCGTATCCAAACCGAAAGGCGATTTAATGGGTTTTCTTTTCAGTTTCCATATCAGTGCTTTTTAACATAACTTTGCCTCGACAATATGAGCTATTATAGAAATAAAAACAATTAGAATAGTTTCGAAGTTTAGAATACATTTACATGTACACTAGCTAATAGGTGTAAAAAGATCAAGCAGATTTGAAGTCAGTATTCCAAGTTCAATTTATCAAGAAAATAGCAAATAAAAATGCTTATTATATAATGAAATTTCTTTGATTTTTCTCTATTGATGGAATGTTCATTCACTCATAGAACGACAACGCTTCTTCCCTTATGTTATATAAAGAACCTGCTGTTTTATTATGTAAGACAGAGTTTAACAAATAGTACAATTACAGGTCAGGTGAACATTTATCCGTCCGTAGACGTAAATGACCTAATATGATAACGTGTGATGTTGCATGCGAGTCCAGTGGTATATGAGACTGCAGGTATTGTGTTATCTAGATAATATATCAATACTGTGTCTATACAGATTCATACACACATCGTGTGGAAAGTTCCTGTGTCATAATTCAGTTGTACCAACTGTTAATAACAATTACGTGCAATGCGATCTCCAGAGTCATAACTTACCTGACTGTCCTGTAGTACGAGTAATGATGACCTCAGCAGATGTCGACAGATTGTTTGGTTCATGGGAAGATAAGACCAACTATCCTTTACACACACAACTACTCACACATGTGTACACACATTAGTTTGTTTAAGGTGAGGGTAAAAACTCGAACAAGAGTAGTATGATGGATGTTATTTAAACTGCATTCATTCGCCACTTAGATTCTTTCCCGAGACATACGAGTAAAATTAATTCCAGATTGACATATCTCTGTTATATTAAACAAAAGTCAGACTATGGGAGAAACCTGTAATTTCAAACCGAATTTTGATAAAACATTGAATCGTATCAAATTGGTATGTATGCATAATGAGACGGTTCAACATCACTGTAACGCTAAGCCCCATACAGAGCACGTGTTTAAGCATAATTATCAACAAAGATAACCGGTAGATACAAAGTTGTGACATCATCATACCAAGATGGAGACCATACAACAATGTTTCCAAATATCTCCTGTTGACGATGAAGATAACCTAAATCAGATATCATCTAATTTACGTATGCATTAAATTATCTCTTTGGTTACACGAGATAAATGCACTCGACAACCCCTGATCGAAAACAACTGTCCAGTTTGTCAAAGTGTGAACGATTTATTTCCGGTTGTTTTACATAGAAAACGGTACTGATATCTTGACAAACAAAGTAGACAGCTGCAAGTTTTGGAAACGATAAAACTATAGAAGTAAAGTGAGTTATACTTCATTTGTTAGGATTTAATGAAGCAGTCATATCTCAAAGTTTAAACAGAAAATTCACGACGTAATAGCGACATTATGCTTAATCATTATTGTATATATTACAGTAAAATGACTGATAAACGTCAATTGTATGATAAACATTCATTCTTTATTCAATATTGATAACTGATAACTTCCTTTATATTGTGAAATGGAGCTGTGACTAAATCATAGTTTAAGATTCTATTTGCTTGCGCGTGGTTTCTGTTCGTTCACAAACGTTGTTTTTTAGTTAAACGGAACTAGGGCAAAAACAGTTAGCCCTATTGTATATGGTGTATTGGAAAAGGAATCTATTGTACTGTCCTTGATTTCAGTTCTGGTGGGTATCGACATTTTCAAAAAGTATCGAAAAACAAGAAAATGAGTGATTTTGTTTTTTCTCTAAAATTACACCCTCCCTTACAAATATCGAAAATACCAGAAAACAGCGAAATATCAAACAATAATTGTTCTTTTCAACAACTTTTCGACTGCAAAATTCCATTTTTGATTATCATTTCTTAGAAGCAGAAGACGCTTACTATTCCGGAACACACTATCTTTTCTCTTGATACGTTTTTACTATATCAATTGGGAGTCATAATTAATCAAGGTTTTGTTATCCTTAATTTTCTTTCCGCATCGATGGGAAATAAACTGTGCTATCACTTACATGTTTACAGCCCATTCAAACTACATTGGTCTGTATGGAAAGAATATTCCAACTCAAAAAGAACCCTCACACACAAAAAATGTACAATACTTGAAAGTTTAATATCTGATACTTATGTTGGAAATGTTCATACGACAATGCTCAGAATATATTATCATTGTGTAACTGTTGTTCAGGCTGGGAAAAGCAGACTCCCTATGGTGTACACGACACCATTGGTAACGCTGATGTCGCTGCGTATTACTGGAGCTCCGTTCAAGGTCATGGAGGCTAAAAGTTAAAAACAAAAAAGAGAAAGATAAGTGTTTCGTGATGTGAATTCAAAGTTAAGAATATTGTTGACAGCACACGCCATACACTTAATTCCTTCATGTTTTTACGCGCATTATATTTTGGGTTTGTATAAATGTGCTTTCTAAAGCCTAGCATTAGAATTACTGTGGCCACATGGGACGTGTACTAAACATATTTTATTTCCAAATACCACAGTTAGACTTTTGCTGTATTTAATGATTTTTCGTTATTTGGTTAAACTGAATCTAATTCTAAATTTGTATTGGAAGGTGCTTTTCACTTCTATGTCTCATGTACAATCTTTAAAATGGTACGCGCCCAAACACTGCTGGTCGTCGGTGAGGCAACTCCAAAGCGACGGAAAATATATTTTGAACAGCCTAGATCATATAGTTTTTAATCCATTCTATGACTATCACACTATCCGTTTTGATTAATAAACGTGTAATTTATCATAGCGTCATACATAGTGGATACATACCTCCATCATTCTTGACGGTGATGTGTTGACCGCGCGAATTAGTTAGCACTGATCCGTTAGGCAGACCCGTTGAATAAAAGGTGGAGTTTACAATATGATTCTGTACCAAATCTGAAACATGATGATGTCCTAGGTATTTAGAAATGTTACCTTTAGTATGTTTTGAAATAATTATACATCCATAATAGATATAATTGAAGTTATCTCCGAACCAAATGGAAGCTTCACATACAGAACGTATAAATATGCGATTCTTTATCAAACAAACCTTACTCGAGATTCGGGTAGTATTAGATAGTGTCTGGTTCATAAATCCCTCCATCTTTTCGAATACTGAATCGTCGGGAACAAAGAGTGTTATGTTGTCGCCTGAATATAGGAAAATATATACTCAGACAGATCAGCAACACAAGATATCAAACAACAACACAGCTATAGGAGAAAGGACTTCACAGGCGCAATTATTATGATTGTCAATCACCAACGTCTAGACAGATAGTCATAACGTTTCATCTGTGACACTGCCAGACTTTGTAAGAAACAATGGCAACGCCATATAGGATAGGATTATATAGTAAACCCCTCGATGAGAGTTGTCTATGTACAGCTCGCTCCAAAATGGATGGAGTCTAAGGATAGCTGAATCAGTTTTAGTCTTTCATAGATAATAACACACACGACCCGTCTGAAGCATAGACAGGTTCCTTTACAACGAACACAATAAATCTATATATGTGAGGATGGATGCTGAGAAACGGGCCGTTCTGTTCTGTCGTGGTTGTATCTATAGCAACGGACCCCATGTATGATGTTCAATGAGGTACCCACCAGCTACACCAGCTACCCGCCTGAAATTGATACCTGATACCGGCTGTTCAATGGAAAATAAACCCGGCAAAACAGAACAAACAAAACAAGAGAAAGATAACAGAGAAAGGGCCTTGCCGACCACATATATGAAATGGCAATATTAATGTGGTTTTATTGAGATTTAAAAACACTTCTGGAAAACATCAGGGGAGAACAAATATTGTACCGATCTACAAATAATGATCTAACGTTGACGAGAGACAGGAATCAGGTGAAATAGGGAAGTGAATTGGACATACATGAACACCTTGGAAAATAAGAAAGCTTAGTTCATGTCATTGAACAACGAACAGAGATGCTTGGGACGGTAAACATCACAGAAATTTAACCGAAGCGGTGATAGTTGTGTGGGAAAAGTGCTAACAAACATACATATCAAGATGTTTCTGATATATTTATAGCTTGTCTACGATATTTAACAAAGTGAACACAAACAGCATTCTTGAAAAAAAAAGTTGTCAGTGAGACAAATTCCATGTCTTTGTGACGATTGCATTGACATATTTTTAAAAAAACTTATGTAACCATGGAGAGGAATATCTTCACGAGTCAAATGTTTCAAATAAATAATTTGCTTTTTATCCAGAAATGAAAAAAATCGTTGGTGGTCTTAACCCGTGAAAGTTCAAGGATGGGAGAAGTTAACTGTTATTTTGAATTTTAACCACATTCACATGTACCAAGAATTATAAACTTACTAGGGATTCGGCTCTCTCTGTTACTAAATTTATAAATATGCTTGTACCCTACCTCTGAGTGTGTCCTGTAGGTCAGTTATCTGTATCAACATGTCCATGGTGGTCATGTTTAACTGCTCATGGACGTATCGGTCAGCCGAAACCTGGGGGTAGTTATACAGCACGTGATCCACCACATGCACGATTCCATTTGTGGCTACAGCTGATTTCACTATCCTAGCGCCCTCAGCCGTCACAAGCTGTAACCAACTTTACATTTAATCTATATTTTTTCTTTAACTTCACCGTACATTAAATTACATAAATACTATGCGACGGTTTGGTCATGCGCAAGTTTGTGCTATTTTTTATACTTGAAACCCCGAGGAAAACATTTGCTTCAAATGAATTTGTTCTTACTTGAAGTAATAAAATTCGATAATTTGCTATTTCCCTGCAATCGTTTACAGAGAAATGGACATTTAAACAAAGAAAGACATATGGGATGTCATAAGCGGTATTCCAATGTTGTAAAGGGCCCTTTCCATTTTCTTGACAATGTTTGAAATGGCGAACAAATATGGTAAGCTGCCAACTACATGAATTTGAATTTCAAAATCCTTTCTGTGATGAAAATGTTGTATGCCGAAAATTTGATTAGATTTATATCTCGAAATATGTTGCTTTCAAATAACTTTATTTGGCAGTTTGTCGACTATACATCATTTGAAAGATCATGACTTGATATAAAACATGGTTAATTAACAAACCGGAGCACCTCCTGATGAGTTAGGGTAGATGTTGACTCTTAGATCCTGTCCCTGCCATGTGCGGAGCTTAGCCTCATTATGGAAATCAGCCAATGTCATGTTGCCATACGTGATGTGGAACGTGATTATCTCGTGCATAAATTCCCAGTTACCGAAGTTAAAGATGGCGGCGATATTGGCAGGTAGGTTGTTAAAGGCGGCATCAGTCGGAGCGAATACTGTGAATGGTCCTAGGCACATACGAGTATCGTTTTATTTTTAAAGAAAAAGAATTACAAAAACAAAACAAACAAGGAAAAATTGGAATTTAGAACAAAGCAGGCTCTTTCATGAACGTTCACTTGGTGAAATAAACCCGTACACACACTAGTGTTTAGAAGATTTTTTTCTTGCGGTTACAAGTCAGTAACTAATAAGTTTTTCTGTGGCTTTGAAAGATTCATTCAACAGCTATTATTGTAAATCTTTAACATTCATTCTGTCGTCATAAGGCATATATTAAAAAGAATATGCCAATGAACTTAAAAATTGTAATGAAGTAAGTAAAACGTAACTTGGCGAGACTGAACCGTCGGAGGCTTGTAAATGAATATCCCAATATTTCTACATACTCACCTTAAACTACTGTTATTACAAATACAAAGAGTAAGCATAAAGAATATGTTGTCTTGTGGTATCAATTACGTACAGATTGGAAACGAGACGTACATCACGTGATCTATTTTTGTGCAAAAGAACAAACAAAATATCCACGTATGTTGTATTTCCTTAAAGACGGAAATCTACTTCCGTTTGTTGTGTCGAAAATGACATATTGTGGTAGGTATATCTTACCTGAGTTATTGCCTGAGAGAACGTACATTGGTCCTGCGTTCTGAAGGGTTGCAACAAAATCCTTACAACCCAGAGAGTCGACAAGGTCATAAATATCCCATTCCTCTCCCTGGACACTTGGCCCCAGAATTAGGAGAATGGTCACAAAAAATAACATTGTCCGGAGGCAATGGACAGGATAATACAAGGACCTAAGACAAGTCAGAACAGAGTTCAAAGGGTAACCGAGGTCAAGAAAAGATAAGACACGCGGCAGCTAGAAGATAACGGAAAACGCTATGGTGTAGCTATACGGTCACACAATCAATAATATCTTGTATCTGAAAAATGGCAGGACGCTGTGTTGCTGGAAAAAAAAGACGGCAAGTAACAGAACGAAATGATGAAAAAATGTAAATGCCGTGAAGTGCAAAGTCCGACTCCCAAAAAAGCGTAAAATCTATAAACGGAAAAACACACAATTGGTTTGTTATGTATTTCCTTGTGTATGGAGTTTCCCATCACTTTATGTGTTATTGACTTTTCGTACTTTCGATTTGACGCTTGGTATTGAAAGATAAGATATCCATCTCGGCCACAAGGACTTGACACATACGGACCATTTGGACCGAAACCTTGTCATACCAGTCAATAAAAAAGGGGGGAAAACCAAAAGAAACAAAACAAAACCCAAAAAAACGAAACTTTCCTTTCCAAGTTTTATCATATACAATACATATACAAAAATAAAATTTTGTAATAATTTGATAACGGGATGGCAGATTGTAACATAATATTACTCGTAAATAACCAGGAACAGTGTCTCGATTCCTGATCCGTTTTTATTCCTGATTATACAAAACTGATTACTTTCAGCTTCCTGACTTTAAAGATAGTTTCTTATTGATTTATCACTTTCATTCTTGGTGAAACTGATGGAGACCCTCGTATCTGTTCGGACAAACTGATGGAGACTCTCGTATATGTATGGATAAACAGATGGAGACCCTCGTATCTGTTCGGACAAACTGATGGAGACTCTCGTATATGTACGGATAAACAGATGGAGACCCTCGTATCTGTTCGGACAAACTGATGGAGACTCTCGTATATGTACGGATAAACTGATGGAGATCCTCGTATCTGTTCGGACAAACTGATGGAGACTCTCGTATATGTACGTATAAACAGATGGAGACCCTCGTATCTGTACGGATAAACAGATGGAGACCCTCGTATCTGTTCGGATAAACAGATGGAGACCCTCGTATCTGTACGGATAAACAGATGGAGACCCTCGTATATGTACGGATAAACAGATGGAGACCCTCGTATCTGTTCGGATAAACAGATGGAGACCCTCGTATCTGTACTGATAAACTGATGGAGATCCTCGTATCTGTACGGTTAAACAGATGGAGACCCTCGTATCTGTACGGATAAACTGACGGAGACCCTCGTATCTGTACGGATAAACTGATGGAGACCCTCGTATATGTACGGATAAACAGATGGAGACCCTCGTATCTGTTCGGATAAACAGATGGAGACCCTCGGATCTGTAATGATAAACTGATGGAGATCCTCGTATCTGTACGGTTAAACTGATGGAGACCCTCGTATCTGTACGGATAAACTGATGAAGACCCTCGTATCTGTACGGATAAAATGATGGAGACCCTCGTATCTGTACGGATAAACAGATGGAGACCCTCGTATCTGTACGGATAAACTGATGGAGACCCTCAGATTTGTACGGATAAACTGATGGAGACCCTCGTATCTGTACGGATAAACTGATGGAGACCCTCGGATCTGTACGGATAAACAGATGGAGACCCTCGTATCTGTTCGGATAAACAGATGGAGACCCTCGTATCTGTACGGATAAACAGATGGAGACCCTCGTATATGTACGGATAAACAGATGGAGACTCTCGTATATGTACGGATAAACAGATGGAGACCCTCGTATCTGTACGGATAAACAGATGGAGACCCTCGTATCTGTACGGATAAACAGATGGAGACCCTCGTATCTGTTCGGATAAACAGATGGAGACCCTCGTATCTGTACGGATAAATAGATGGAGACCCTCGTATCTGTACGGATAAACAGATAGAGACCCTCGTATCTGTACGGATAAACAGATGGAGACTCTCGTATCTGTATGGATAAACAGATGGAGACTCTCGTATATGTACGGATAAACAGAGATAATATCTCGTAACGATTAGTTCTAGAAATTGCCATGTTATATATTATATAGGTCAATATCATGCATTTCATAAACTTAAAATAACATATCACAAATTCATAAAAGATATCTGATCAAGAAATATGCAACCATATATAATATATAAACATTAGCAATATTTTACACTAGAATCTGTTCAAGCTTACATTCCACCATACTTTCCTACAGGTACTCCAAGTCCATTGCCTCCAAACTTTTCAACTACAAATAAACGTTTCAACAACTGAATTTAGAATACTTTAACACTAGTCCTCTGTCAGCTTGTTCTTGTTCTATCTCTACTTGTAACTACGGTCCAACTAGGTACATAAGAACTGGTGATTTAAACATTATTCAAAATGTTATGCTACGAGAGTTTTTCATGAAGGGTCTTAAATATCGTGAAAACCAGTCCGTTGAGTTGAATATAAATTTGAAGATACTTATGGATCTGTTGAAAGCCATGCAAGAGAATGGGCGAAACAAGAACGCGCTAAGTTGGAATCAAACTTATGAGCGATTTCAGGTCATCCGGTCCATCATTATTAAAACAATTTGCAGCTAGAAAACGAAAATGAAAACAAAGCACAGGTCAGCTTTCGTCGATCCTGGTGTTAAATCCACACTTTAAGATTTACATGACAGGTGTGTTATTGTACCTACAGATAAAGCGCCCAATAACTTACAATTCCTGTATACTTAAGAACTGGGCTTGCTTGATAACGAAGGAAATCCCATCTATACATTATGCAATCTTTCAAAAGACGAAAACCTGGCTAATCATGATCCGATATTACAATCATTTAGATTGCCTATTACTTATAAGGTACGGACCTCCTCCGTTTATACTGAATCCCCTAAACTGTTATTGTTAGCTCGTCTAGCTGTTTAACCAAATCTAACCAAGTCATTACTAGCCACCATTTTAAGTACTATCACAACTGAGTTACAGTCTTATTGTGTTACTGTTTAATCAAGAAGTGGAATTAATAGTATGGGGATTTTGAAGAAAGAAAAAAAAAATACTTTTGACCAATCTTCAACACCCTCTTCGAAAAATCTTTTCTTTTATAAGAACATATGACATTTCCACCCTATACACCAATATACCCCATTCTAAACTGAAGGAACATCTTAAATATATGGCTGTGAGCTATACTAAAGCGTATTTCTTTTTAAAATAGGTCCAAATCAAAGAAGAAATATACGGATGACGAAATCGTCTTCGTCGAGTTTGGTGGTAAGATCTTCCAACAGACTATTGGCATACCTATGGGAACTTCTGTTGGCTGTCTTGTTTTCGTTTTCTAACAAGACTGATTTCTTAGAAGAGCTTATGAAAACAGCTCACAAAGACCTTGCAAAGTAATTTAATTTCACTTTCACTTATATTGATGACGTCTTGTCTAAAAAAAAAACAAGAAATTTATTGACCACGATCTTATCTCCATCTTTTCCTACATGAGCTTGTGTGAAAGGGCAAAATATGGAATGACTAGAGGTCATGTGATGATTTCATATCTGAGGAAAAAAACACTTACTTATAAATGAAGACCAGATTTACACAAAACTAGTAATGTTTATACTGATTTGGGTTCAGTTCTTTAAGAGACTATCTGGATATTATGTTATTCATATCTAATTGTATCTGAAATACGATACATGAAAAATTACCTGTTTTGTGGGTATTTACAAATATTTACTTTCAGTATAAATAATCAGGATATGACGTTGTCTCCCTTAATACATTGGTGACCCAGTTATAGTTGTAGGTAGGTAAACGGTATCTGATATTTCATCATGTAACGCCATCAATCTATATAAAAAAAACTTTCGTAGAGTAAGATCAATGGCACTTTTAAGTAAAATTATTAATTTAGATATTTGTCATCCTTATACATAAAGAATTATCTGCATTTAATATATTATAGCAAATTGCAAACATCCCGCCGAGTACCCCAAGGGTTTTTCCATTTTCAGAGTTACTTCCCCTTTGCCGTTGACGCGTAGTTATACGATTATAGAACATGGAGATGTCAATGGAGTTCAGACAACTGACAGACAGACGATAACTAAACTTAATAAAGAGGATGGACCGAGCTTACGGAATGGAGGGGATGAAGGAGACGGACAGTCACGTGTACTGTACACAGGACCTGCTCGGGAAGGGGGCCACGGGTGATGTATACAAGGGAATCAACAAAGTAAATACTATTGATTCTACTTTCATTTTGATATTTCCATATGTAATCAAACTGTCATAGTTCTGTTGTTACCCTTTAACGTATTTTCATTTGTCAAATTAACAAGGATAAGACATTAAAATCAATGATTATTTATCAATATTCAGTCTCGTAGACTTCCAAGTGTTAAATATTTCTGGTTTGACAGTAGGGTCAAGGGGTAATAGTAATGGGAAATTCGGTTAAATAAAAAATCTGTTATCGGTTATAATGAGATAGGCTTTCCGATGTAGTTAAAGGAGTACATTACCAGCTGAATGTGTGTTCAATATTCTTGGAGATTTAATGCTTTCTTCATTAAAGTAACATTTTTTTTTTTTTTTTTTTTTTGTAACTTTAAGCTAAAATATCCCACTTACCTAGAATTTGCATAAGAATGATTATTATTGACAATCGGGGTCTTTATCATGTATAACATGAACTTTGGAAAAAAGAAAATTATAAAGGTGGCGATAATCAATTATCAAAAATTACAATTGATTATCGCATTAGATGAGGTTGAACAATTAGATAATCTATTATATGCAATCATCGTCCTATCTCTAGGGGACGCTCAGACTTATTACTGTTAAATATCTCTGGTCTGAAAGTAGGGTCAGGGGATACTCAGACTTATTACTGTTAAATATCTCTGGTCAGACAGTAGGGTCAGGGGATACTCAGACTTATTACTGTTAAATATCTCTGGTCAGACAGTAGGGTCAGGGGATACTCAGACTTATTACTGTTAAATATCTCTGGTCAGACAGTCAGGGGATACTCAGACTTATTACTGTTAAATATCTCTGGTCAGACAGTAGGGTCAGGGGATACTCAGACTTATTACTGTTAAATATCTCTGGTCAGACAGTAGGGTCAGGGGATACTCAGACTTATTACTGTTAAATATCTCTGGTCAGACAGTAGGGTCAGGGGATACTCAGACTTATTACTGTTAAATATCTCTGGTCAGACAGTAGGGTCAGGGGATACTCAGACTTATTACTGTTAAATATCTCTGGTCAGACAGTAGGGTCAGGGGATACTCAGACTTATTACTGTTAAATATCTCTGGTCAGACAGTAGGGTCAGGGGATACTCAGACTTATTACTGTTAAATATCTCTGGTCAGACAGTAGGGTCAGGGGATACTCAGACTTATTACTGTTAAATATCTCTGGTCAGACAGTAGGGTCAGGGGATACTCAGACTTATTACTGTTAAATATCTCTGGTCAGACAGTAGGGTCAGGGGATACTCAGACTTATTACTGTTAAATATCTCTGGTCAGACAGTAGGGTCAGGGGATACTCAGACTTATTACTGTTAAATATCTCTGGTCAGACAGTAGGGTCAGGGGATACTCAGACTTATTACTGTTAAATATCTCTGGTCAGACAGTAGGGTCAGGGGATACTCAGACTTATTACTGTTAAATATCTCTGGTCAGACAGTAGGGTCAGGGGATACTCAGACTTATTACTGTTAAATATCTCTGGTCAGACAGTAGGGTCAGGGGATACTCAGACTTATTACTGTTAAATATCTCTGGTCAGACACTAGGGTCAGGAGATACTCAGACTAATACTATTAAATATCTCTGGTCAGACAGTAGGGTCAGGGGATACTCAGACTTATTACTGTTAAATATCTCTGGTCAGACAGTAGGGTCAGGGGATACTCAGACTTATTACTGTTAAATATCTCTGGTCAGACAGTAGGGTCAGGGGATACTCAGACTTATTACTGTTAAATATCTCTGGTCAGACAGTAGGGTCAGGGGATACTCAGACTTATTACTGTTAAATATATCTTATTACTGTTAAATATCTCTGGTCAGACAGTAGGGTCAGGGGATACTCAGACTTATTACTGTTAAATATCTCTGGTCAGACAGTAGGGTCAGGGGATACTCAGACTTATTACTGTTAAATATCTCTGGTCAGACAGTAGGGACTTATTCTGTTAAATATCTCTGGTCAGACAGTAGGGTCAGGGGATGCTCAGACTTATTACTGTTAAATATCTCTGGTCAGACAGTAGGGTCAGGGGATACTCAGACTTAATATTGTTAAATATCTCTGGTCAGACAGTAGGGTCAGGGGATACTCAGACTTATTACTGTTAAATATCTCTGGACAGACAGTAGGGTCAGGGGATACTCAGACTTACTACAGTTTGTCACAAGTATACCTAGTCAGATTGGAGGGCTAGACTGATGAAATTTGGAGGATTGCCAGCCAAGTTATAGGATGGGGAAGTACTGGGTTTATCATGTTTGATTTCATTCCTGTCAGTGAGTTTTTAAATATGAAAATTTTGAGGCAATACTGCAACTGCCTGTGTACAAATATATATCAATTGTGAAGTGTTGATAGACATCCATAGTTGACTTCAGTGGACAAAGTCCTGCATAAGTAGTGTGTATTTAAGACGTTACAAAATGAAATATCGCATTACAGTGTATCATGTTTAAAAAATATTTTTTTATTCATATTTTTCTTTAGAATACGGGAGAGGTTGTTGCACTAAAGATGTTTGAGACCAAGTTTTCTTCCCATGTCCAGAGAGAGGTGGAGGCTCTGGTGAAACTCCAGCACCCAAATATTGTCCGATTCATGCGTTGTGAGAAAGATGTAAGTTTTGTCCGACTTTGATTCTCCAGTCACACTGTGGAAGTGTGAGCAGATGAGTTCTCACTGTGAGAAGTGTATTCGTTATCTTACTAGTCCAGTTTTTTCTTTTTTGGATAAATATTCAGTTTTTATATGAACACTTGGCCAGTTTACAGTTCTAATACTGGGATGAAGTTTAAATTATCATTTTCATAGACAGTCTAATTTTGCACAGTGAAAATGATCAGCAGATAACTTAGTCTTTTGTTCTCACACTCTTACTCTACTCCAGTATATGACAAAGAGGAATGTGTTAGTGATGGAACTGTGTGAGAAGGGCAGTTTATTGGATCTCCTCAAGGAACCTCAGAATGGCTTTGGTGTGGACGAGGAGGAGTTTCTCAGAGTCTTCAAGCATTTGGGTATGTACGATTTTTGGACCTGAGAATGACTTAGCTACTTTGGTACGGAGGATTTTATCAGATCCTTCATTAGGTATGTACATAATGGTATGGTTTTTAGACTTCAGAATGGCTTTGGTTTGAAAGAAGTCTTTCTCGTGGTTTTCAAACTTTTATTCATAAGATGTGTATGATTTTGCCTTGTCAAATTGTTTTTACTTCTCGGTTCAGAATATCAAATCCAATAACTGCATTTATTCTACAATAAACACTGTTTCTGGTAATAAGCCCACCTGTATATATTGCTGTTCAGCAAGGTTACAATCTGTTGCTATTTCATTGGTCTCTGGTAACCCTATTTGAGAAGGAAGCTTAGATAAAAAGTAAATCCTGTGGGAATGTTGCAGGATAAATATGGTAATTTGCTCTTTATAGCGAAATCCCTTGATTTTGAAATTAAATGATGTCAAGAAGCAGACTTTTTTGCCTATCATACACTTTCTAAAAGTAACTGTGAGAAAAGGTTAGAAATATACAAAGTTTTATTTTCAATAAAACATATTTGTGTTTCAGTAAATGGTACAAAACATTTGAGAAATCAAGGATTTTCCCACCGGGACATCAAACCTGGTAACGTCTTAATCTTCACAGATGACGATGGCAGGTGGGTAGCTCTAGGCTTAGCATTAGTACATTGGTCCACATTACTATGACACTGTATCAACTTTTTTATATTAGTCTAGAGTTGATGAACTCTGTACATTTGGTATAGCTTTGTATATGGTACCTTGCAGATTATAACAGTTGTCTATAAAAGCTGTAGATTAAGATATCGGGGATTTACCTGTCTTGTAGGAGTGCATACCACTTGTTTTGATTTCAATGGTTTTGCCAATGTCATATTCAAAGGATTATATTCTTTTACCCTGCATATCTTAAGTTGATTCATAATGAGCATAATAAATCTCAAGACTTTTACTAACGTCTTATTCTTTTTTTCATCAATCAATTTACGTATCAATATTTTTCAGATAAGGTTGTTTAACTGTAATTTTCAAAATTAGATCTTATTTTGTTAATGATATTGTTGCAATGATACTAATGACTTGCATTGGTACAATGTTGTTTAGTGAATGCATTTGGTGTGATAAATGGAGTTGTACATATAAAAGCACATCTGAACTGTATCAACCAGTCATATAATGTTAAATAAATGTACTGTCTTTTTAAGATTGAAGAATTCCAGTATGTCTTAAAGTCAGACCCACTTTTTCTTGTTTTCCATCCTGTTACAAAAGTCTGATTTTTCTATAGCAATGTTTACAAGCTGTCAGACTTTGGTACAGCCAAACCACTGGGAGACCAAGACAGTTTCATGTCCCTCGTTGGAACAGAGGAATATCTGGTAGGTTTACCACATTTCCAGTGTTTCTGATTTCTGTATGACATAGAGGATTAGAAAATAACTCAAAGAATATTTAATTCCTTATTATATATAGATATTTATAGAAGGTTAAAGACAAATCTACAAAATCTCAAAACAAAATAAATAAATAAATAAATAGATAAATAAACAAACAGACAGGTGTCTCTGCAAACATTTCTTCTCCAACTACTGTTTGGCTGTGTAGAAGAGTTACTTCCCTTCATATTGATTATTAACAATGATAGACTATTTTCATGGATTCATATATATACCATGTATCATTGTGTTAGAAAAATTCTATCACCTCTACACCATAATGAACAGGTGTTGATGCAAAGGCATGGGTTGCATCTTGTTTTATAGTCACTGCTGAGAGTAGATTAATTAATAAAAAAAGAAATATCTGCCAATTCCTCCAAAACTTCCAGAGTCTGCCCTTAACTGACTTGTTACTATTTGGTGTTGACTTTATACTGAAACAAATATATTTTTATATCTATTTTTGTAAAATTATTACAGCATCCAGACATATATAAGGCAGCATTCATTGATGGCCGAAACTGTCAAGGATTTGACATTTCAGTAGACATGTGGAGCCTGGGAGTGACTTTATTCCATACTGCCACCGGTGAAGTACCATTCCATGCATACAGTGGTCGCTTTGACAAAACAAAAACGTGAGTTGAGCTTATCACTCTGATTTTTTTGTGTGTGTAAAGTTGGATAAAAACACAAATAGATACACAGAAAAACAGGAAAAAATTATTGTAGACAGTCACTCCTTCGTCCTTACAGAAGGCAATTCTCTATTCCAGTTGATTTTCACTGGTGTCTTAACACAGGTGTCACTCCCCAGGTGTCATATGGTTTAGTGGGAGATGTACAGGACAATAGTGAAGAGGATAAGATCTGTTACAACAGCATGGACATTCAACTTAGCTACCAGCTAGTCAAACATATTCTTATAAATAACCGTATATTTTGAGGAAACACATCTATCAAAGTAATGTTTTATCAGGGACTTTTACATTTTCTGTGAGTAAGTGTGTCTAATTTTGGATAATGATTTTATTGAATTTTAGGTACGAGATTCTGTCAAACAAAGCTAAAGGTGTCATATCTGGTCAGCAACGTGTCAGTGGTGGCCCAATAGAGTGGAGCAGTGAGTTACCAAGTACCTGTAAATTTACCAGGTATGTGCTGTTATGGTAGATCAGGGAGTTACCAAGCACCTGTAATCTAACCTGATTGGTATTGATAGAATGGAGCAGGGAGTTAGCAAATATTTGTGAAATCACAAGGTACCCACTAGGTACAGACAGTGTGGAGCAGGGAGTTACTGTTAGACTGAATCAGGGACTTACCGAACACCTATAAGCTCACCAGTTAGGTAATGTTAGCTTGGGACAGGGACTTACCAAACGCGTGTAGACTCTACAGGTAGGTACAGACAGTGTGGAGCAGGGAGTTACTGTTAGATTGAATCAGGGACTTACCGAACACCAGTAAGCTCACCAGGTAGGTAATGTTAGATTGGGACAGCAGCTTACCAAACACCTGTAGACTCTCCAGGTAGGTAAAAACAGTGTGGAGCAGGGAGTTTCCAAACACCTGTAAACTCATTAAATAGGTACTGTTCGATTGGGACAGGGATTTCCCAAACAGCTGTAATATCACCTGAGTTGTAATAACATTTAAGTATATATTTTTTTTGCCTGGTAGACACTTATTGGCCACACAAAACATGAAGTTACACTCTCATTTTTCTATCTATAAATGAGTACCTTAATGTTTTATATTGATGAAAGATTGATCTAATGAAATGGTTATGTGTTTGTTCATGAAGGCCCCTCAGAGACTGGGTGCGAGACATTCTTGTCAGAATGTTTGACAGTGCCAAGGACCCTTCCTGGGGATTTGACCAGTTCTTTGATGCCGCTGATACTATAATTGACCCAAGTGTCCAGCAGCTTCATGTTTTTTCCTCTCTCAATGGTCAGCACTACCGATTCTTTCTTGACAGAGACTCAAGGTAATAACAACATTGTTCTAGAAGAGTTTGGTTTGATCTAGAGGAAGATGCCTTTCATCCTGGTCAACACTTTCTTACTTATCTACATCAATAGTATATGTTTTTATTTGAAGAAATATAGAAGTTTTTCTAAGATCTGTCTGATGTTATCTGATCAGTATTAACTTTTGTTTATTAGTGATAAATAGATGTTATTCTATTAGTAGTTACCTCCTACTCATATTTATTTGTTCGTTATGTTTGCTTATTTGTTCCTCAGAGACAGTTCTAATTTATATTTAACTGGAGCCGATAAACTTTAAACCAACATGAAAATGAAAAAAAGACCAATAGAATAATTTGGTCTAGTTTTGTATATGCCACATTGTAGATTGTAACAGTTGTCTATTAAAGCTGTAACATACCTTTTATGAAGATATCAGGGATTTACCAGTATTGTTGGAGTGTATACCACTTGTTTTGATTTCAATGGTTTTCCCATTGTAATGTTCAAATGTTCAACTGTATTCTTTTACCATGTAGCTCTTAAGCTGATTCATTATAAGGATAATAAGGCAAGAGACTTTTTCTAAGATCTAATTCTTTGTTCAATATATCCTTAGAGATGTTAACAATGTTCTAGAGACACAATATTTTAAGTATTCTAGAATCGTATTTAAATAATGTATTAAAATGTACATATCTAAATTGCTGTTATCATCCCTACAGTATACCCATTCATTTCTACATGATTATGGAATGGCTATATCAGCATCAAAACATTCTCGAATCTAGAATATGTAATTATCTAAATCAAATTGTAAGAACAAAAACATGAGTGAGATGATATACAGAATGATACAAGTATAGCTGTTATGATGTACATATGTAGTTAGATAGAGAAAAATCTGTGTTAGTGAAGCTATACAGCTATTACTACTGAAACAAAACAAAAAAATTGAAATGATTTTTTTTCATAGCTAATTCTTAGTTACCTGTTAACCTGGCATTGACTGTCTGTATATAGATTTCTGACATTTATATCTCATATTGTGTGATGCCTACTTCAGTTATTGGTGTGGATATGTGGCCCCAGAGGCCTGAGGGACAGGCCCAAAAAGGGTTAAATTGATTGAAACGTTAAATGTTCTTCTCAATTCACAAGTATGGTAGAATAAAGTACTCTTCATTAGATGCTGTACCAAACTGGTAAATGTCATTATTCTAGGGTCTCGCATCTCCCTCAGGGGAGAGGGTAAATTTACTATAGTTTATATAGGAAAATCATATATTTGAACATTGTTTGTTTTCTATTGGAAATAGTTCAAGCCTAGTTATAATTATTTGTTTAAGATGAAAGGTTAATTAGATGCACACATTGATCTTTGCTGACTCCTAGGGGCTTACAATGTATTGGGCTGGGCCAAAAATGGGTCAAATTGACTGAAATTTCAAAGATGTTTCTATGACATGTTACAAGAAGCATTGTGACTCAGGTGACCGTTAAGGCACTTGGGCCTCATGTTTAGGATACCTTTCAAGAATTAAGAAGTTTGAAAAAACACAGCCACAAAGGCTGATTGATAAGTTGTGAACCTAATATTTAAAGGTTTATTTTTTGGCAGACCTATTGCATTATTTTTCACATAATCCCCTTCAGTATCTAAACACTTTGCCAGCGATGTTTAAGGACCTCATTGCCGCTTTTAACGAAGACCTTTTCTTGACCGATCAGAAAGTTCCCCACTGCATGTATGACATTATCATTGAAAGCGGGTACCAGAAATGGCCTTTTTCAATTTTGGAAATCGATGAAAGTCTGATGGACAGAGATCAGGCAAAAAAGTGGGATTCTCAATCAATTCAAAACCACAATCTTTATTGACAGCTATAGTAATGACAGACTTGTGAACAGGGTCATTGATCTGGTGGAACAACGCACCTGTGCTGAGTTTTCTGCGGCGCTCGAGTTAAATACGGAGTGATGCATGATATGTGCCATTGATTGGTTGACCCTTTAGCAGTTAACCAACCATCATATTACATCAGCACCACAGAAAACGTTCCCAGCTGATGGAGCAGTCTTGGGCTTCTTTAGTGGGGGTGAACTGTGCTTCCATTGTTTAGACTGTTGTTTGCCTTTAGGGTGAAATAACGAACACAAATTTCATCCATAGTCACTAACGTCTGTAGAAAGTTAGCAGGATCTGCCTCTAAAAGGTTCAGATTAGCACGCGACTAAGTCTGCCTGGTATGCTTCTGAACAACTGTCAGAAGTCTTGGTATCCAACGGGCTGAGAACTTTCTCATTTAATGATCTTCTGTAAGAACGAAACTTACTATTTCCTACGAAATCCCAACTGTACTGGCTATGTATCTCTTTGTAACTTGCCTGTCAGCCATACCAACTTCATGGACTTTATTGACCATATCAGTTTGGATATCCTTAGGTGCTAGACCTTTCGTATGCAAATATTGAATCACTTCTCTTTCAGCAATTTTGTCCATTTTGCAAAATTCACTTGCCTTGCTTCTTTAGAGTGCTATCTCTTCGATATAAATTGATCAAATGACACGAATCTTCGGGTACACAGCCTTGAATAGTAAGGGAATAGTAGAGTTGAAAAAGGACATCACTGCTTAACTTCTTCAGTACAAGTCGCGCATCGTATTAATCAGCACTCATACCGTTGGAATTCTAGACTATTAAGCCAATGAAAGTCTAACAGTGTACCAGTATTTGTGTTAAGCATTACCAAAACACATCACTAGAATGTAAGAAAAAACTTATAACAGAATCCCAACTTTATGGATCGTATGAAAATGTGCTCCAGGTACAAAGAACTGTCGGAAGAGGTGAAACAGATAATGAGACTTCCTACAGATGACCAGGTGATGTTGTGTGAGAATGGTGACATTGTGGGAACAATGATGCAAGACACTCCTATCTCTCGCTACCCACACACGTCCAGAGCCGACCCACTCGTTCTTATGCCATCAAAAGCGGGAGAAAACGGTTCACATGTGTTCAAACTTGATGGCTTTGAACAAGTCATTGACAGTAAGTCTACATTATTGCTCCAACGTGCCTGGAAGCATAAATTGCTTGACGTTCCCATATGTCCACAGGTCACACCGTTAGTTTTGTTAAGCAGTCCGACTCCATGATCACAAACTTAATTAGTTTCTTTCATGTCTGGTTTTGTCCTGAAAGTACCAGGCCTGAATAAAACTACATATGTTAAGATCAGGTAAAAATCAATTCAGTATCTCAAGATCAATATTCAGAGTCACATGTACTATCAGGAGTTTTCAAGGTTTGATTAATTCTCAGCTGTAATAAAATTTACGATACACATACATAATATTGCATAATCAAATTTTTTATTGCAATATGTTTTGGCAAATTATTGCAGCGATGAAGTAGCAAACCCACAATTATTGTTATATAGACAAAATACAGAAACAGCAATAATATTTAAGTGCAAACTTTTCACCGCGGAAAAACACCAAAATATAATTATCGCTAAATATATATACGTTTACAATACTTACCGAGTGAATGTTGAAGGTGATGCAAAATGCTTTCTTTGATAACGACATAGGCGCCCCAATATTCCTTAGTTCTTGTCTGTTAGATGTTTGAATAATGGTCAGTAAAAGAAATATTCCTCATATTTTGGAGGATTTTCTTAAGATTGGTTATATCAATTCCTCATACTTTGTTACGTTGTAGATCCCTGTGATGCGTTCCCTACCATTGTTAACACTGATCAAGATTACAGGCGAGCCAAGAGTATGTGTGAAATCATTCATTTGTCCAGAAAGATGGTACACTCTGCTGTTCTCTCACAGAAACTTTTCACCAGAACCATTGCCAGGCATGGGTGAGTATATAGCGTACTGCATTCAGTGCAATGATAATGTGTCCCAACATCATACAACATAACAGTACCATCCTGATAAATCTATGATGCCATAATCAATGAGATCTATAGGTGTCGTGTGATGCCTTTATATTGCATATATTGCTGATGTTATGCGATGTATTTTCAGTTTAATGTTTGACCAAAAGATTCGTCAGCACCGGCGAGATTTTGACTTTATCTGGGAGAGATTTGACGATGTGTCATGTTTCACCACGGAAGAGATGAAAAAGCATGCACAAGGATTTGCATGTGTCTCAAAAGATGGCGAAGTTATTGATGATAACTTTGACAGTGTAAGTAAAATCTTCATTGAAAAGCTTGTTATTGGGTTTCTTTCTGAAATATTAGGTAACATTACTAAGTCTTAGTAAACTTGCCTCTTTTTAGAATAAACTATGTTTCAGATGAGAATGAAACAAAATAAAAAGTTGTTCTCTTACCCAAGGAAAAACTTACAGTTGCGATGTTATTAGGCGTCATAAAATCATAATGATGAAGTGAAGTCAAACCTATCAAATACAGAACATAATGGCAGATGCCTTTGACCTGTAAATCCACTTTTTGGTGCCTGAAGGAAACACATAAAGTAGACACGGTACAATTGTGAATGAAGAGAACCTACACAATATACGCACAATCGTGCTTGTGCAGAAATGTACATTGACACCTAAAACACATATGGAAAGTTTTCTTATTATTATATAGTAAACTTTGGTTACAATCCGATCAACAGAATGTGATTTGTTTTCTTGTCTTGCACTTATCGACACACCAGTTGAATCATTGGAACCATGAAAATACAGATCAGTACGAACAGTATTAGGGAAGAGAAACTAATGTAAAAAGATGTATAATAAGCAATTGTGGTTGTCACGGAGGAAGACAAAGGGGCAAGACGACAACAGACCATTTATTGTGATTTACGCAAAGGAGAAAAAAACATGCAAAAATTTTTTTTATTCATCAGTTTTGTAATTAGAGCAGGAAGACATGGCGAAAAGTCGAAAACACAAGAAGATAGATTACACAATGATATGACATTGCGTATAGTTCTGGAGGAGGAGGGATACAGGAAGAAAAGCATAGGGTCAATGTGATCGGAAGCTATATAGGCCAGGGGCAAGATTTGTTTCCATTTTTCAAACTTGTGCTGAAGTATAGAACACACGTGACAGATATTCTGACCGAATTTCGAATATGTTATCACTATATTTGAATCAGAGGGCGAATGTTTCTTTAGTTGGAAAGTGTCCTTTTATTTACCGTGCATTATTTGACATCGTTCGAAAATTATTTGATATGTGAAAATTTCGAAATTTATTGAAATAAAAGGCTACTGCAACTCCCCATCTAGATTTTGACTTGTCTTACGATCTTTTTAGATTTTCCCCAGTCGACTCCTAAGCTTCAAACTTTAAGCCTTAACATCACTGGCGAGTCTTAAAAGGACAAAACAGCTGTATGATGCAGTTTAATTAATTGTTAAGGTGTATCTAACTCTAAATTTGTAGTAAAATATGCTATTTATTTGTGTGTTTTACATTCTTACTAGCAGCCTGTATATGTTTATGGGAATACATTATATATTAATGTGTTGGATAAACTACTTTATTTACGGTATATAATGTAAGTATACATCACATCAGAAATATGTACTACTCGGCTCAGTGTTTTGATGAAAAATTGATATCAATAATGCATACATTGTACCCGTACAACATATCAAGGTAAGTTCTTACCCTCATATCTCTCCTTCAGATCCGAGAAAAGCTCCAGATCTGTGGTAGGAGGCTAAAAAATGTCAGCGATGAGTACGAGGCTGCAAAAGAGGCATGGAGCATCTCCGACAGTACCGTCCTACAGAACCAACGCTGGTGGGTTTATAAAATATATCATCTAATTCAGTGTCAATACCGTTTCATAGCCTTTTAATAACCTACTAACCCTTCCAATCCGTAGCGGCAGGAACTCCTTCTTACATAAATTTGTTTTGATCAATTTTGAATTTCCTCTTGCCGCCTCCAGCATTCCAAAATCTAGGTCCTTAGCATCGTAGACGAGTCTTAGAGGGACATAACAGCTGTATGATTTTATCTAATTCATTATTTGGTTCAACTATCTAATTCCAAATTTGTACTTAAAACGTGCTACTAACGCATGACTTTTGTACAATCTTAAATTATATATAATTGAAATATGTACAAAACAAAATTATATTGCAATTTACATTTGTAAAAATGCAATATAAATGCTGTAGTTTTTTATGTATATGTTTAAATTAGGCTGAAGACAGTAAAAAAAGACATGTTTTACTAAAGCTATACTCGTATTTTGTTATTACGTTGTCCATCTAACTTTGGTTATCACTAGGTTATTTTTTCTCTGGCAGGGAGGGGAAGGCAGACCGAATTGTAGATCTGAGCAAGGCACGACTGCAGAAGTTTAGAGAATACAGATGTAAGCATCGCCTGACGTACCATGAACAGAAACTGTTTGCTTTTGACAGGTAAGACTTCTGTTTGTTGATGTTAATGTAATCTTTGAACAATATCACAATACAGGTGAGAGGTTTGATGATTTTCACAACACCATTTCCAAATAGGGAGAACGTATCATAATATTGTACAGGGTCATTGATGTTTTAAGATTCGTACAGCACCATAACCAAAGGAAAACTTGTAATGTAATAACTGTAACACTATTTTAAAAGTAATTGGCTTTATTTTCCAAGAAGGCTAAATTGTTTGTGATAATTAGGATAAGTAGTTGCTGTAACAGTTTTTTTGTTCCTGTTTTCTAGAAAGGCTATGGAAGAGCTCCACAGGAAAGCTCTCAATGGGTTCGAGGATTGTCGGAAAAGTCTGACAGAGACACATCTCAAGTTCATCGTGTGGCACAGGTATATTTCAGTAATGCAACACTATGCAATTCTATGTTAAATCAGATATTTTATAAATATGGAAGTCTATTAGCCAATGTTATTTTTGTTAATCCAAACACCTTTTTCAACATGTCAGTTTGTTTTCACTGTCCGCAAGAAGACAAATCTCATATAGAGAAATCTATCAGTTGTTCTAATTACTAATGTGAAAATAATTAGAGAAATGTGATTATTTTGTAACAGAGTTAGGTTTTTTTAGTATTTTTTAAGAATTGAACAATTGCCTGATGATGTATTATTGCAGACATTACACAGGATTTTCACAGAGTATCAAAGAACTTGGAGGAAAGCTGGAAGATCTGAGGTCGTCCATCGGAGATCTGGTGAAAATTCTACAGGTAATTTGACACCAAGAACGAAGGATGAAAGATTGTAAAACAAATATTGGATATTATCATTGCCAGATATGTTAAATAATGATTGTGGATGTCAAACTTTGTTATAACTGCGTAATGTTCGTAGGTTATCAGATATTGATTTATATTGCAGGGAGTACCTGAAACACTACCCCCTCCACAGAAACCCGCATCACTCATCAGGAAGTCATTAGCACAGAACATGAAGTTTGGGTGAGTAGGCGTCTGTGTTTATTTATGACCTTCACAAAACATTAAGTTGACCTTGTGATATATAACGTATAAGGCCGCGCGTGGGCTGTTGCTATCCGTGTTTACCTGTTGTATGTTGTTTATCAATCCATGTCTGTTAACTTTTCATATATTTGATAATAATTCAATTCAGTAAAAATTAAAAACAAAAAGATAAGACTATCCCATTTTGCAAATTAGCAAATATACTTGTTTCAGTACAAATGCCAAAACTGTTACCATTTTCTATATGATAGAAATATAAAATACATGCTTCAGGGCCCGTATTCATGAAACCATTCTCATGCTCGAGCATAGATTTTGTGCTCAAGCAGTCTTTTTTTTATAATTTGCCTAAATTATATAAGATAATTCAAATGTCAATTATAAACATTGAATATAACTTTGACTTTAAATCTTTGGCAAAATCAGTTTTATTTATTAATATTTAACGTAAACAAGACATAAGGCTTGAGCACAAAAGTCATGCTTGAGCATAAGAACGGTTTCATAAATACAAATTGAATTGAATATATTAAATATATAAATTGAATATAACTTTGACTTTAAATCTTTGGCAAAATCAGTTTTATTTATTAATATTTAACGTAAACAAGACATAAGGCTTGAGCACAAAAGTCATGCTTAAGCATAAGAACGGTTTCATGAATACGGGCCCAGGCCTCTTGTACCTGTTGAAATGAAAAACTGAAAGCATTTGCCTAAAGAAAGGAAGGTAATGAAAGCGTACTGGCTATCCTGGATATCTATTTAAGATAGTATTTTGAGAATTCTTTGTAAGAACGTCTATTGTTTGGTTAAATTTAATAGTTGCATATATTGACTAGATATATAATGTTTGAAATGATTTTAGAACGTCTATTGTATCGTTCGTTTTTAGTTTAAATTATATATTTATAATCAAATTGTGATTTGTTTAATTTGTTTAGATGCTATTTGCTTATTAGTTTTTTTTAATGTTTGAGTTGTGTATCGAGTTTGAAATAAGCTTAGATCAGTTTAGCGTGGAATTTGAGAATATATGTTTTGTTGTTTAGAGTGATTTGTGGTTGGATTTTAAAACTGTTTACTTTTTTTAGAGTGGATGACTTTGGGAAGGAATTAACAGAGAACCAGTCTGTGGTAGAAGAGACACGCGAACAGTTAAAAAGGTAAGCAAAAACAATGTTTTTTGTTATCGGTCCTTGGTAATTTAGCTACCATCGTAATTTTTTTATGACTATGAATATAGTTTTATCGGGGTAGTTACTTTTTACCTTGGTTTGTTTCTGTGTCTTTATTACTGTAAATATATTATCATCTTGACATATTCTTCATGCACAAATGAAGAAACATTGCTTCGATTCTATACATAAAATGGACTGTTAGTCATGACCTTGATATAAAGTCCTGTTTAATTTGCGTCAACGTAATAAGTCGAAAATGACCTCGGGGTGCCTCTTGATCATATGATAAATTACGTTGAAGCATAATACTTTATGTAAAATTAATGAAAAGTAATTGTTTAACAAATTGCAACGTGTAAATTTGACCACAGGCAAAAGTCGATAAGCACATTCAATAAGTGGTTAATTGAATGTGATTTTACATGATTGTCTAGACTTTTCATATAGTATATGTTTGTAGTGATTGTTGTATAGATAGACATACAGTAAGCAATTAATTACAGTTCAGTATGTACTCGAGTTAACATTTCAAAGTCATTGTAAATACCAACGATAAAACAATGTTATATTTGTGTTAGTTTGAATAAAATATGATTTAAAACGTCCACGAGATTGAACTGTGAATGTCATATAGCTTTGTAATTTTGTTGATGGTTAAGAGTCATTGTGAAAACTGAAAAAAGTTACAAATACTTAATAAGTTAATTGTTATAGTGTAATTCATGTAATTTATGCCATACATGAAACAAACATACGCAAAACTAGAGGATGGAATGACAGTCTTCAGAAATATAAAAAACAAAACAAAAAAACAAAAAAAAAAAACAAAAAAACAAAAAAACAAAAAAATGCAGGGGACTAGATGTGTTTTATTCTTCTGGATGTTATAAGGATAATGAAATATCTCAATTTCAAATATCTATTGACTAGTGTCATATTGTAGAATTGTACTGGTGTTTGTTTTTAAAACAATTTTTTTCTTGACCTTTCAGTATGTCGAATCTTCTGAAAGATATGCAGAGCGATCTACCTGCAGTTATCGACTCAAACATGACAGACACGTGATCCACAAAACAAAACCCACACCAAAAACATTTGCAGATATGGTTCATCACTAGACTAATAATCCGTGGCGATTTAAGTAATATCACTAGATGTGTTACCCTTTAGACAGTAACCTGACGACGATAGATTAACATCACGATAATTGTTACCCTTTGGACAGTAACCTGACGACGATAGAGTAGCATCATGAGATTTGTTACCCTCTAAGACAGTAACCTGACGATTATAAAGTATCACCACTCGACTTGTTACCCTTTAGACAGTAACCTGACGACGATAGAGCAAAGTCACTAGACTTGCTGCCCTTTAGACAGTAACCTGACGACGATAGAGTAACATCGTAGACTTGCTACCCTTTAGACAGTAACCTGACGACGATAGAGTAACATCATAGACTTGTTACCCTTTAGACAATAACCTGACGACGATAGAGTGACATCACTAGACATGTTACCTACAAAATGGTGTCATGGTGGCATCACTAGATTTTTCCCAGTAACCTGACAAGAGAACGACATCAACTGACAGTTAACTTACGACGACAGGGTTGAATAACTAGACTGTCGACCGTTGCTAGAATGGCACATCAGGATGTTAACGTAATGACGACATATTGGCACCACAAGACAGTACCTAAAGAACGACGAAGTGGCATCACTAGACAGTAACATAATGACGACAGAGTGACATCCGTAGACTTTTATCTAGTAGGGACAGGTAGGTCTAATGTTAGTAACCAAGAGAGTGAGATGGCGAAACATTTGAAATCATGCCACTAAACTTATGTGATTCAAACGTTCTTCACGTAAAACTAAAGTTAGAGGCGTTTTGTTGAAACCTTGCCGGTATACGTATTAATAGAGAAACTAGATATAACCTATCATTAACCAATACTTTTGATAGCAACGTTCCTTATTTTTTATCATATTTGTTTTTGTTATAAGTTTTTATAGTATGACGTTATGAAAATATTTACAGAAATATATACGAAATATGTTTTTTTTTTCTAGAAAAACTCTTTAACGATAAAATACATACCAGCTGAAATTCATTCCCACATATTCAGGAGGCTTATCCCTGGACGAATGAGGAGTTCAGTTAAACTTTTAAGTAGATATTATGTACTACGTTCTGTATTGGAACGTTGACGAGAGACAATGAACATTTCTCTTATTTCAGAATTTGGAGACGGGTGTTTCTGATATTTGTGTTGGTAGGCGTAAGGGGGAAAAATTCCCCTTTCAATGTGTATGTAGAGTAAATCGAGTTCATACTCGACCGATGTACAACGTACAGTTCATATATGTGATAGAAGGATTGAGATTGGGATAGCTGAATGTATGGGGACTAAATGCCATTTTGAGGCCGCTTAGTTACACACATTTTGGGGAAATCCATCATGTCTTTAGTGTATAAGGTTATATCAAAATGACTGTATCATGCAATTTTGATAGTGTATACATTTCAATAACTAACATGTGATTCATTGATAAACTAACGCGTCGAATTGAACGATGAAGAGAAGAACTACATAAACGAATAAGTCGGTAACTACAGATGCACCTGTTATACATGTTGTTTTACTTCAGGATCGGAAAATTGAGGGGAAAATGACAGATGTTATTCTAAATTTATTGTTTCTCTCATGCTGTTTGTGTGACAAGCAATGTTGGTTAATATCAGTATACCTCTGAAATATGTAGCTCACAAACGAAGTGACAGTGTTGTTGTCGTTTGCTTGATTTAAATAAATAATGGACAATTTTAATGAATGATGCTGAGTTGCTGATAATACATAATTACAAATTTAATAATATTATGTTGTAAGAAGGGGGATATGATGGGTTTGATATCATTTTCTCAGTCTTCCGTGTCAGATTTCGTTTTTAATGTACCCCTTGTTATTCTAGTTAAAACATTCCTGCTATTGTAATTGGGACCACTGCATCTTAAGTGTGCTTTTTCTACTGTTAATTTTACGTAAGTAATAAATTACTTCAATCATAGGTTTTTCGGCTCACTTGTTTTTTGCCCCCACCATACATATGCCAACACATATCCTGTCCAACTGATATACTGCAGTTTATTGAGTATGAAAGAATACATGCAAATTTGTAATAAATTAGCTATGTAAAGACCTTTCCTGGGTGGCTGTTCTCTGCTCCGTTTGCCTATGGAAACTCGTTTTTCAGCTTCGGTATGTGTATAATTGTACCTCTGGTAATTCCATTACTGGTATAATATACCTGAGAAAAAGCCCTTTCTTTTGGATATCGCCTCAGCATACCTAATGTATTTAAATACCCTACAGTTCCAAGACCTCAAACATTGCTATAAAGTAAAGAATTCAGTTGATACTATTAAATTGCTGTTAAGAGCACTATCGGAGAGGTGCTATAGAAATGGGTTTGTTGGAAAAATTTCATCCTTTCTTGGCAAACGTGGATTATCAGGACGCCTTTAACAAATTCGTGTGTGTTGCGATATCCGTATTGTTCCTCAATATCCTGTACATCCTCTCTGCTGTGTTATTCTGGTCTGTGTCTGCGAGTTATCGAGGCCTAAAACAAAAGAAAAAAGTTTACTGGAATCTGTCAATAGTTCGTGGGATCTTCGGGTTGTATTGCACTGTCATTGGAGCATGGGTGATATTCTTTGACGATGAACTTTTAGAAGACCCAGCGCTTGCTACCAATTCTACAAGCTGTTTTGCAATATTGACTGGCACTGGATTCTTCTTTTTTGAGTGTGGGTCTTTAATAGTATTCGACCTACACAAAAACATCAGTACTCTGTTATGTGTTCATCACTGGTCCGCATTATTTGGATTTTGTGTAATGGCTTACTTAGACATGGGACATTTTTTTGGTACAATATTGCTTCTTTTAGAGATGAGCGCACCGTACTCTGCTTTCTGTTGGATACTCATCAAGGTCGGTAGAGGACACACACTGCTATGGAAAGCGAACCAGTTCCTCTTGGTACACACTTTTCATATACGATCTATGGTAGAATGCTATTTATGCTTTCAAATTTATCTAAAATATGACAAAATCTTGTCCAGTACGTCAACTTTAACATTTGCCATTTTACTCGCTGAGGTAGCTCTCTTTACATTCCTCTTGACGCCTTATTGGTTGTACAAGCGGACACAACAAATGTTCATTCCGGTCGACTGGAATTTCAATGAAAATGATCGTCAACATGAAATGAATGGGGAATGCAAGAAGGATTCCTGACCCGCTAACTGAAGCGATGTAACGTGAAATGCGGTGTTTAGAAACAAGAGCACCGTAATTTATTGTTTTTGATGAAAGAACCTTAATCTGACGTGAACATTATTTCATTATGGTATATTGACATTTTGCGTTGCATTTGTGTATATGGTATTAGGATATGAAATGGTAATAAATAAGACTTTACTAAAGGTTTCAGTGATTCGGTCTGTGTTGGAATAAAGCTAAGATGTCAAGAATTTCAACGCTGTCTAGGAGGTATCACAATACCGTTCCGGAAACATTCATTTCAAAGTTTGAACAAAACAGCAAAATCTTTGTAGATTCCAAGATGGCGTTTGATTCAGACTGAAATGGAGCGCTCAACTGGATCCCTTCTTAATATCATAATATCTTCCTATGCAGATATCTCGGTTATGCAAGTGAGGTCAAAGTGAAACGATATACGATCCGGGGTAAGGCAGCTGGGAATAGTTGCTGGAGTTAAGCATTTATCATTCAGCAATGACCTCTAACATCAATTGAAACTATTCAATTGTGGCGCCTCAGTGTATGACATAAGTAGCGGTAGAAAATCTAGACTGGGAAACTAGTGTTCGGTAATGGTATGGAATCTAGACTGGAAAACAAGTGTTTTATATGGGTAGGAAATCTATTCTGGAAAACTAGTGTTTTATATGGGTAGGAAATCTAGACTTGGAAACTAATGTTTTATATGGGTAGGAAATCTAGACTGGGAAACTAGTGCTCAACAATAATAGAAAATCTAGACTTTGAAAAAATTATATTGTGTAAATAACAAACGTAGCTTACAGCATTTTTAATCGCAAAAATGCCATTAATGCAAATTGTTCAAGGCAATACAAATAAAGTTTATTGTTGAAAGAAATATTGAAATCCTTTACTTATTTACTCTACCTTGTAGATGTCGTTTATAAACATTGTAAAAGGTCTACAAGATATCTCTAGTGACGTCTTAGTAAAATCATCTTTTAATACACATCCACAACTGAAGAAACCATTCTTTGATTCCATCAATTAAATGAAATGCCGGTCATGAATTTTATGTCCTTTCTAGATTACTTACGTGACTTCAAGTTCCTGTCAAGTATTCCTCTACGGTTAAGGTCAAAATTGACCTCGAAGCTATATCTTGACGATTGAAGCACATGTAAATATTTCTGTTAAATTCATTTTACAATAAGTGTCTAGCAATTGCAACGTATAAATATGACAACAGACAAAGTAATTACTAATTGTGTTGACATTTCGTGCTGAACACATTTGTGATTATTGTATTATGATCTGATGTTAACTACATATGTATCATATATAACCCTGTATTTACTGGGTAGTTGATGCTTTAAAGACATTTCAAAAGGAGCAATAATACCAATATATAATTAGTTTTGAGTTTGTTCCATCGGGATTAAACGTGAGGTCTAAAAAATATCAGGTAACTCAAAGTAAGGAGATTAAGTATGTGTTTCCATGTCAGGAAAATATAAAAACATTCTTTATGTCTAATAGTTATGAGCGGTCTACATTTGAAACAGCTAACAAAACACACGCGCAAGGAAATAGCACATTTTAATACAATTTAAAATTAGACCAATAGAGCCATGTAATGAAGTAAATTGACCATACAGCTGATTCTTCCTTCCTGAACTCGTCAGTAATGTTAATGATAATAGTTTTGAATCTAGGGGGTAGGGGCCACTAAGAAAATAAAATGAGAATAAAAACAATGGTCAAACTCTAGATAGGCAGGTGCACTATACCCATAATTAGATAAATATCGTTTTTTTTTATGTATATCTGACAATTTCAGATGAATGTCAAGTACATGTGTATATCTGAATGAATTAAAATGTGGCAAGCTGTTGACGGTAAACTTTGGATACTAAAAGTCCACCAACTGTATCTACCACTTACAATTTCGAAGATTGTACACAAGAAACCCAAGTCAATAGGACATTTTACTTTAATTTAAAGTAGATGCAATTGAGCTTAATCATAGAGTCAAACCATAAAGTAAACTACATCATTTAAATGTCTTTGTCCGTACACATGCACTGTTGTCTGTTTTAATTAACCCTTCTTCCATTGACGTCTCAGTATGGCGGATCTTTTGATGGACATTCAGAACGATCTGGCAGCGGTAATTGACTTCAACGTAACAAGCATTTGAATAGAAGTTACAGACAAACGAAACTATTAAACGTTAATGTTCAGTTCGTTGTATTGAAACTATGCCGGTGTATATTGGAAAACCCGTAAGATATCCATAAACATTAGCATGATCATTAGTCAGAACATATAATAACATTCCTCTTTATGTATACTTGTTACTGTTTGGCATTAAATTGCCTTTTTTATTACGACGTATTGTAAATTTTAACAGTTGTACAATAGAATTTAGAAAATCAATATGAGAGGTCGGATATGGATACCGATAGATATATTCGAAACATATACCTGTCTAGAAAAGTCCTTAAACTATAAAATAAGTACCAGTAGTCGCTTCATTTTTACACATTCAGGCTTATCCGTCTCTATGACACATTCCTGAAGATGTTGTTATGTGTTGCGTCCTACATCTGAACATTGCCCTTAGAGACAATACACCTTTGAAGGGGGGATGCTCAATATATGGGATATATTTCCTTTAAATTTTTATAGGAATGTCAGGATTCTGTCCCATTCATTCTGGAGCATCTCTGGATGAGAGAGAATCAATGTTCAATAAACAGTCGGCCTAGACCCCCAGAAGCTGGATGAGTTCGGTTGAATAGGTGATATATAGTAAATTCTCTTAAATCCTTGTACTGTAGAAATAACAGTACTATGTTTTACATGCGATCTATCATGTCATATAACCAAATACGATAGACAATTGATACATTAACATCATTAATTATTAAACCTGGTTTTATTATTCTGCCCAGATATATTCCTAAACGAAATACAATAATAAATATTTTCCTAGGATCGCTGAAAAATTAACATTCCGCAAATAAGTTTGTTATTTATTGTGTTATTGTTGATTTATTTCAGAGTGTGCCTTAGTACGCTCTTTAGTACAATAGACATATAAGTGAATAGCGCGTACGTTGTAGTAATGAATACATTGTATGACATAATATAGTTTCTATAATTCCCTTCTAAATAAGAAATCTTATTGATTTAACTAGTCATTAAGTAAAATATCGTTGTATGACTTGTTTAAGTATATATTGTCATGTCATAGTCCTCCTCCAGACTCTTGTTGTTGTCCAGAGTTTAACTATGTATCTGGATCGTTTTTATCGCATGCAATGTTGATGTGCATTTCATATAGTTTCAGACAACATTAAATAAAACATTGAATAATTTCATCAATTATTTATTTTCTTAACGACATCAAGGCAAGACTGCAGACGATGTTTAATATCATTTACTTTGGTATATTTTTCGATATACAATTCGAATTTACACATTATCCAGACCAAGCATACGGATAACCCAGGCCCAGTTGAAGGGAGTGTCAGTCAGGTAACTGGTAGGGAGGGAAGATACATTGATGTAGATACCTCCATCAGGTGTAGGCGCACTGTACGGCACTTGCTGTTCATAACCCAGTAGAAACACAAACGCTTGACTAGTGTCTTTTATTACCGGCGAGCCAAGGTACAGAGTGGAATTGTTCTTAATCACAGACATAGGGACGATGGCATATACAGCAGTGGTGGTACTGATAGTGAGTGTTGTGTACCTGTCCATTAAAATAGGTTATGGCCACAGTTTAAAAAATTACCGAACACTAATGTGTAAAAAACACTCTATGTCCAAATTAGTAAGGGTATGCCAAAGTAAGAATAACAGTAAGAATGTTAAGAATACTCTGAAAAATGTATAAGGGGAAATATAGCTACCATGGTGTTCCTGAAAAATAAGCGTTTGATTTCTCATCGCCGACACCCATCACCCATCATGTAAATCTTGGTCAGTACAAGTAATGTAAAATTCTAACTCGATAAACAAGTCAATAATGAACCATTATGAGTAGTACATGCAACATTTAGTATCATTATGCCAAGAAGCATCGTTAGCCGTGCAGTTCATGTGATACTGTGATCATTCATCACACCTCAATTGTCAGTAACATTAGCCCTTTATTGTTAAAGTTTTTGGGATTGCAATTTTTATGCACTATATGTTACTGCATTGGGTGACGTAGAATACCTTCATTGCTTTAAATGACTATCAGATACCCAGATATTCCGATTTCATGTTTAACTTCAGGTTTATTTTATTTATAAAATAAATAAAAAACAAATATTGAATTAAATAATAATTGTTGTGATAAGTCGATGTTGTTCACATATTTGTTTACTTACTTTCTTGGTAAGGGACATTCATTTTGAAACCATAGCATTAACGCAGAAACCTGATATTTCACCTACCACACTCCTGGAGTGACTGAGTCATTCTGATGGCGCCATGGCTTTGATCCGTATATGCCTTCGGAGTTTACTTTCATCCATGCCCCCATCTGGCGCAGGCGCTCTTCAAATATTGGCGGAATATTTCCGTCTAGTGTGGGACCTATGTTCACCAACAGGTTGCCACCGCAACTGTGATAAATGTGTATTTTCACACAAAATTTGTACTAGCTATTAAATAGAACGGTTAAGTAAGAAAAAAGAAAAACTGCAGATGCAGACGTTAAGATAAATGATTAACAGAAATATACTCAGGTGGTGATTATATTGGTAATTTAAATTTTAAATTTACTTTCATTATCATGTATGTAACAAAGATCAAGAATGATGAAAACAACACAAGAAGTTATTGAAGTTTTTCGTCGAAGTCAGCTGTAATGTCAAACAATGTAATCCTTAGACAGTAAGACAAAACATTTCTCTAAGACACTTTTTGTGTTATATAACTTACCTTACTGTCTCGGCAAGTGTAGATATTAATTCTTCAATAGAGACAACATCTGATGCTTTCATGTCTCGTCTGTATCCCCACGACTTCCGGTCAAGTGTCATGGCATTCTCCCACTTAAATTTCTGCAGGACACCTGAGTAGATGGAACAGAAACACACGAGAGCAATACTTAACACGTATTGATATTAAATGGATTACCCTCTCATTTTCATTCCTATTTTAAGTTCAGTGTGTTTATCACCAAGAGTGTTTATCCATGAACGTAGATTTTGGTATTACAGCAACTAACTATTTTTGCTTTTCGGTGTAATTACCAACAAATTACAAGCTCATCTCTGACTTTGCAGGTAAAAATTATCAAACACTGCTTTCAGGTAACACATTCACCTGAAGCACTTACCTGGGTTGTATCTGTCAGAACAGGTGAAGTAGCCCCCGTGATGGCACATGTCTCCCCTTCCCCATCGATCATTGGTCACAACAGTTTCCCTCACAGGGCTAAAACAGCAATAATGATCAATATTAAGAAGGGATTATGAAATGTAACTGTATCGTAAAAACTTAAATTCAAACACGTTAACGAAAGCTTACTAAACTGAAATGGCGATCTCTGTACAAATGAATGAAAAACTACACAAGTTGTGCTAGTTATGTCAGTAAATCCGTTATATCTATTCAGATAAAATATTAGTAATATCATGTTTTGAAAATTAGAGCTTGTTATTTAATCTATATCAATACAATATCAGAAATAAAATATACGATGAATTAATGGTGACTTGATACCATGAAATTGGAATGAATTTTCATAGCACAAGATATGTATCGGGAGGATATGCTATACAATGGTGACAATGATAATTCTCAGTAATACTGTTTATGAAGTATATATAGGTGTTGTTAGGAGATCATTTGCGGTATATTCGGAGTTTCTGTAGAAAGGTGTGCATATGTAACATCGTCGTTCAGAAAGGAGCAACACAAGTAACGTTATACGGTTGTTATTTGCTGTTTTATTCAATGTTGTTTGTTGGTATCACTGACGAGTCATAGGAGGACAAAACAGCTGTATGATGTAGTGATGTAGTATCACTGACGAATCATAGCAGGACGAAACAGCTGTATGATTAGTGATGTATCATCACTGACGAGTCATAGCAGAACGAAACAGCTGTATGATGTAGCATCAGTGACGATTCATAGCAGGACTAAACAGCTGTATGATGTAGCATCACTGACGAGTCCGAGCAGGACTAAACAGCTGTATGATGTAGCATGACAAAACTACTGTATGATGTAGCATCACTGACGAGTCCTAACAGGACGAAACAGCTGTATGATGTAGCATCACTGACGTGTCCTAACAGGACGAAACAGCTGTATGATGTAGCATCACTGACGTGTCTTAACAGGACGAAACAGCTGTATGACGTAGCATCACTGACGTGTCCTAACAGGACGAAACTACTGTATGATGTAGCATCACTGACGTGTCCTAACAGGACAAAACAGCTGTATGATGTAGCATCACTGACGTGTCCTAACAGGACGAAACAGCTGTATGATATAGTTTAATTAATTGTTCTCTCTGCTCTATCTAAATCTGAATTTGTATGGAAACGTACTATTTATTTGTGTGTAATTTGTATGATTTTACGTATGTTAAAGATAACTATTGGTGCGTTATAACAATAGCATGTTAACAGGGTCCTTTCAGAAAAATCTATCCTCCGTAAAAATGTAACTTTAGGTAACTTTGGAATAAGTTGGAACAGTCATCGAACCTGTCATTGTAGAGCCAGGCCAAGAAGTCTGTTGAGTTCCAGTAGGTGTCGGGAGCCTCCCAATCCCCATCTGACCATATAATGTCCGGTTTGTATCTGTTCACAATCTCGTAAAGTTCGGGGAGGGTTTTCTCCTGAAGTTGATATAAATTTCAACTGCTATTATTCGGCAACTTATAGATCGCTGCACGACGTAGAAAAATAGTCCGGATATTTATCCCAGTAAAGACTTCTAGTTTTATTACTAGTATAGGATATTAAAATTTGAAATAGAAATTTAGGTAAATACTAGAATAGTACTACGATCACGTATCGCACATTATTTTATATTGCGAAGATTTCGCTCATCGTTGAATTTCCGGTCCTGAGAATTTTTGTTATCAGTATCGGTTTGATTTGTGATATGACTACTTATAGACAGTTCTGATGTCAATGCCATGAAATAAAACGTACCCTAACAAAATCCTGGGTTTTGAAATTGCTCGCCTTGTCAGCCAGGTACAATGGATGAAACCATTCATAAAGAGAATGATACAGACCAAAATTCATGAACATATACGTCTTGTTTCGAATGGCATTTGTAAATTCACCTGGAAAATACAAAAAGAAAAAAATATGTAAACATGTTATCACATAATGATTCTTGATTATGATAGCGATTATGAAGAAGCAGAATAATTGTTATGTATCTTATAAGGTAAGTTATAACAAAAATAAGCATTGGTGATATAATGGTCGTAATAACAATATGTAAAATTTTGATATTTTTATCTCTGCTAATTTGTAGATGACAAGTATAGGTCCATGTTTCCTAGCAGCTTTTGTGTATGAACCAGCTGCATACTATTATAAAAATTGCATGATAAAAAGTATTCACATGCCATTGTTACCGACGTTATACTCAGTCCTTCAAATGCGTATTTATAAACCTACCGACAATATCACGGTGTGGTCCGACGTCCATGGAGTTCCAGTTCCAAGAATGCTTGGAGGGCCACATGGTATAACCCTCGTGATGCTTACTCGTCAGTACCACGTACCTAGGTATGACGTTATGCAGTGATATGTACAAATTTTAAACCAAATTAAAAAAAAAAAAAAACTTTTACGATAGAATGCCTTCACGTGCAAATGTTCTAATTAGCTAGTAAAACGCAGTTTAATCTTTGCTCAATAAATAGTACATTTTTGTGAAATATAGTAATTTGATCCTGAATTGAAGTAGAAGCGATGCTGGACCTTCAACAACTTTATCATGTGATTATACATGTAATTTCATTGGATTTCAATTCCTGATTTGGAATTAATGTATCTAAGTATTAAAGTATTAAAGTATTGTATCTACATTTTGTTCAATAGTAAAACACTGAATGCCCACCTGTGCCCAATTTTACAACATAATGTGATGGGTTCCCACGCTTACCCTGCTCCTGAGTTTCCCAGTACATCCATCCATTCGTTTGCGTCAAATTGTGACGCAGTGAACTTGGGACCAAAATCAGGATAGGTGAAGCCGGGGGGATAATTCGCCTTCATAAACTGAATACAGTCGTTATACTTAGCACCCTGCCAGTCCCACCAAAACCATTCTGACCTGAACGCCGGTACAGAGAAAACTCCCCAGTGAATGAACACTCCTATCTTTAGACGGTCGTACCACTCTGGGAGGGGTCTTGTTTCTAGGGAATCCCAATCCGGAGTGTAGCGTATTCCGCATATACACCCAACCAATAGGCCCAGCAACACTACCAGAAAACGCTTACAACCATTCACCATGGCGGAGATTTGAAAGTCATATCAATGAAGACACTAAACACTACCAACAATCTAAAGTGAAGATAAAGGACATACCGTAAAGCTTGTGAAAGTTCAAGAGCGTTGCCTTTCAAGATAAGCTTATAGACAGAGTACCAACAATTTGTTAGCAAAGTGACTAGAAGTGTAGTGACAAATATTTTTTTCAAAGATTTGAGGACTTGTGACTCACGCAGAAAGAGGGGAACAAATTTTTAAGTTGATAACATGCATATTCTCCCATCCAAAGATTTCATCTGTTAATTTTTAATTTTTTTATGCGCTATTTCGTTTTTTGGCTATTTTGTTTTTGTTTTTATGTTCATTTCTGTTCGTTCTGTAATCTTTGAATGCTGTTGGTATATACTAACGCTATATGTTAACTTGTACAGACTAATTTTATTGTTTGTTGAAAGGTAAGCCCTGCAAATTTTATAAATCTTGAAAATGTTCTAGATATAAGACATCAAATTTTGCCTTTGCAAGAGAAAGTGGATCTGTATTCGCCATTTAATGATGAATACCAATCACAGGTGAAGAAACGACATAACACAAATAGGGCAAAATATATTTCAATGAATTTAATATGTTGCAACGATGGATTAATACGAATCTTAAATTTTCAACATTCCAAAATGGTTTGACAATATTTAGACATACTATACATTCGTTCCACCACACAGACTAGACTACCAACAACTATAACGATGTGGTCAGCCTTGTATGAATATACTATTCACAATAGCCTAAAGGAAATTTAAACTCGTGCATACATGAGTTATAACTAAAGGTTTATATGCGAGTCATATACATCACATTAACTCATATCCTTCAAATAAAATAACAACCACGCTTTGGTTTCGTAGTCAGGATACTATGCAATCTTTAATTTTCATTGGGGAGTTATTTTCGTTTAATTCGTTGGACCTTAAAATCCACATATGTACATGAAATAATAAGTAGAATGAAGTTGAAATATAGTACTAGTGGATTTTGTGAGGAAGATTTATCCATGAGATCAAATGCCAATGAAAACGTGTTTCTTGAAAAACCGCGAAATTTTAGCCCCACAAAAGTATCTGACTTTACATTAAGTTATGAAATATGTTTTAGAAAAGCGACATGAGAAGAAAATGTTGACATATCATGTATCGGTATTCATACTCATTATCGTTTCCGATATAATTTGAATGGACATTTTATAAATCGAAGAATCGGGTGATACTGTTTAAATTTTAAAGGAAACGCTAAATAGCATTCCCTTACCGATTGAAGACAATGCTCGCATGTCAATGCTAGACGTGAAACGTAAAAGAAATGATATTTATATTTAAACAATGAATAGGATGAACAAATATCACAGCGTTAAGCTTCAATGTAGACGTTATAACAATGTTTACTATAGCATTGCTGAATTTATGTACCATGGCATCGCTATCAACAGAGGACGTCCTATATATTATAACAAACAAAAAAATATCAAAGAGTATGTAGACACACAAAACAAATTCTAGGATAACCTTGTGACATTTCAGATACTATATCCTCATGTTTTAGACATACATACTAGTTCATACTTAAAGAATATAAATAACTATGAAATACTTTTTGCGAAGTCCAAACATGGAACAGGACGGGACAATGAGCTCAGTATTTATCTAATTATGGGCCACCATAAGCGCGAAAAATACGAGATTCGTTTTTAGACTGAGCAGACGATGAACTAGTGAGTGAAAATACAATAAACAGTGTCTCGTTCGTTTTCAAAAACATGATATGTCTTAAATAACGAAACAACTGATAAAGGACGGAATACCACCATGGAGAAATGTAAAAATAATAAATAAATATTATGTACATTAAGATATGTAAAATGGTTGGACATAACAAATAGATATTTTGTACAGTAAGACATGACTAGAAAGGAGAATAAACACACATGACAAATGTATAACTCACAGACTTAAATACAAGGGAGAGATAAGAACATACATATAGAAGGAAACTGCGTAAACGTGCATGCAATATACGATGCGTAATGATATCCCTTTCATTTCATATGGATGAGTAGACGAATTTGTCTCGTCACTTTCACTCCTTACACGATAGTGTTTGCGTATTTTTGTTCGAAAATTGTCTTTGTCTCATTGGCATTGTACTCTGTTTAACTGGAAGTGCAAAATTAATTTTTGTATGTTGGGCCAATTAATAGGTCTTCACAAGGGCGCTTAATTCCGTGTCTTCAGCATGTCCTGGACATAGAACCGCTCTCTTTGAGCACTGGGTATAATATATCCACCAAGTATTGGTAGCCTTCCTATCCAGATTACTAACTTCTTCAAACTCCTATTAATCACTATGGAATCCCATCCACCTGGTCATTTCTCATTGAAATGCATTCCGCCATTGAAAAATATTGTATGTCAACATCAGAAGTTTCATTTGGTTTAGATTATCATTTTCCTATTATAAAATTATGCAACTCTTTGATTTTTTCTCTGGCTCTTTCCATTTTTCAGCTATTTTCGCATATTTATCTATCAAATCAACAATTTTTGTAAAGCCGTTTTCCTCGGCAATATCTCTCGCCGTCTTGCCATCCTGAAAGAAAGAGAGAGAGTGGCAAATAATGATAGTATATAGACTCTTAAAATGATTGGCACAAACTCAGTAATTTTATCGAAAAGCTTGACAATTTCAACCCATGTGATTGATTTTTGCTGTACCTTGATTATTTCCTAATTAACGATTACAAATAGAAGTTAGAATTACTTTTGTTGAAAAGTATGTATTAAAACACGATAACATGGTGATAAGATAACATGAGTGACTGATATTAAATTTTTGGTTGAATAGTTTACTCTAAAAACCCTGTTGAAATATTGATTAAAAGATTTCGACTTACGTCATCGACCTTATCGTACTCGGGTTTATACGATAGGATTTGTTTGACCGATACAAGGTGGTTCCTCCATGCGGCTATGTGTAAGGCTGTGTTTCCTCCCTGTTAAAGATAGTAATAGTCATAAAGACAAATAGGCAGTGTTCAAACATCATAATATTTAATCATCCTTTACGTACTTGATATGTAACTGATTCAGAAATGTAATTATCGGAACACAAATTGGTCTCTGCGTGTGTTGTTTACACTATTCATGATTTCATAATTGATGTATCTGTTTGATATTGTAGAAAATTATTTCAACTTGTTCTTGAATCAACGTTTCTTAATAAGGGTTAATAAAATAACACAATTGGAAACATTATTTTTGCTAATTTGCATTCTATGTTTGCTGAGATAGGCGTTTCCGAAAGAAGGGTTCAACGATGTATATGTCGATGATCAACATGTATTAACTAAATTGCATGGACCCAACTAAAAAAATAAATAAATAAATCATCACTCGTATAATGTCACATTTACGTACCGCATAGCTTGCTTATTTTGCATATATCAGTAGAAAAGTGTAATGTTCACGTAATTAATTAGATAAACACCAATGTGATTTCCAAACAACAGAAACACGTCTACGCATCTGAATAGGTTAGTATGGAGTTTGACCATGGTTAAATGGTATTTGCAACTATACATGGAAGGGGAAATAACACGCATCCAAACAATTAAGTTGTGGAATGTGTAGGTCGGTTGTAACACATGTACTTATCATTGTTTGATATTTGTCTCGAAATAATCACCTTGTTCAAATTACATGGTCTATCCACCTTATTAATACCAGTCCTACATCATACATGTCTTCTATGTTCGAAGCCGTTCAATCTACATCACCTATATTTTCTGCACAGTCCATAAGTTTGTAATTAATGTTATATTATTACCATGTATCAAAGTCAGTTATAATAATCTTACCGTGACTATTCTTGTTAGTTTATATATGTATTATGTACTTTGCATATAATTTTCAACCTGGAACAGTCGATGTCATCATGTTCAACCAAGTACAGTTAATGTCATAATGTTCAACCTCCTGAAGTTATTGTCATAATGTTCAACCTCCTACAGTTTACATCACAATGTTCGTCCTCATACAGTTATTTTAAAATGTTGAACCTCGTATAGTGTATGTAACAATGACCAACGTTGATCAGTTTATTCTACTTTGTTCAACCTCGTACAGTTTGTGTCACCATGTTCACCCCCAGTTTGTGTCAGTCATAGTTACAAGGTTCCAATCCATGAAGTTTGTTCATTTGTATGAATATTATCATTTCCACGTTTTGCTACTTTTCCGTGCATGTGTGTGAATGTTGTGATGGGACAATCACATAAATTTACACACTAGATGCCACATCGGTGAACATTCAAAACATTTAAATTTAGTCTGAATGTGCTGTCGGTATTCAAACTATTAACAACTGCTCGACCATTGCATTAAACAGATACTGGTGCGGAGAACATGGGATACATGCGTCCCGTGCTTACCCAGAAAGGCCGATGGAATATTGAATGCGACTCAGAGACAATCGTGTCCTGGCAACATCATATTCAATTAATTCATTAAAAAATACCAAAACTCTCGTGTACACACAATTAATAATAAATAAATAATTTTAGATAATTATGTATGTAAAAACAATATGTTATGTAAAAACAAAATAATTTTAACTGAAAATTAAAAGTTTGATATAGTTTGTGAAATATTGATATTAGAATTAAACATTTAAATTTTGAAAGATGTACATTTATAACTTGTACACATCATACCGTGTATCTAAAGACCCATTTGATATAAAAATGATATAAAGAATGAAATCAAACAATAAAGTTGCTGATATTCACTGGGAACTTAATTTCGCTACATTAGGTTATTAAATAGAATGCGCAAGTAAATACAGAGCAAACCTCACAAAATCCGTGTCATATGCATGCATATATAGATAACTGTTGAGTAGGAGAAAAGGAAATTTTATTCATTAATATCTTGGAATCAGATGATATGAACTTCCAAAAGTTATTTAGTATACATAGATATTCACAATACAAATTATATGTATATCATTCACAGCGATATTCGTGTATTTCAGGATATTTCCTTTACCAATTTTAATTCAAGAGAAATAAAAAAAAAAGCCGTTCGCAAAGCAACATGCATATAATTAAAAGTTAATAGGGTGTAATCAACCAAACGATAGTGCATCACAGACTCAAAAGTTAGTGGAAGTTAATTATCATCTTTTCAGGATTGTGTCGGTTTTTATTTAAATGCAAGCTAATTTTTACTGGGAATGCTTCATCATCAACAATAGCTATAATTATCACACAGATGTATGTTATACCCTCAATATAATGACTAATATTCGTAGGACAATGAAATTTCTGACTGAACTGAATTCGAAGAGACAGAATTACTAACTTACTGATTAAGCTATTTTTGCCGGAATTTCTGTTAGTTATGCGTTTTGGGTCCTCAAACGTTGAGAGAATGTTGTGTGCTGACATTGGAAGACAACAGTGATATAGATAAAGACTAGAAATAACACATTTTGTGTAAAAATAATCGGCGTTTGCAATTACCACAAAAATGAGTGATAAAATGATGATATCCAAATTTGCTGTTGCTTTTAACCTCAGTAGAGTTGATGTATACTCTATTGTAATGGAGATAAAGAAAATCGACTAGGAATCAGATATACAGGAGGGGGATATTGCAGAAAATTTGATTACTAATACAATTTGACTTTTCTTTATGGAAAAAGAACACTTTATTATCAGGGAAATGTGTATAGTATGCAAAAGGTCTTAAATATGTAATACCTTAAATACTTCGCTCTAAGAGATCGTAGGTATCAGAAATCACTTGACATATTTGGTATATTAATTACTTTTTTCACAAACACTCTACCACAAATCACTAGTATAAAATACAAAGGGACACTACTCTATGCAAAATGACAGAATTTACACCTATTGTTTCAAAGGTAAAACTGTATGCATCAGGAATAGGGTTTAACCGCTACAGATAGTTGTCTAGTTGCGTTTGTATGGATGCTATGTAGATGTTATCATTTTTTATCTAATGATTGAAGATTTATCATGCACCATTAGAATAAAAAAACATACAACAAAGAAGTATTTATTAAAAGAAGGCAAAATGAGCCTAGAAAAATATTTGGGTGAGCATACAATCTATAATCAGTGAAATTAGAAGAGGAGACAACACCGTTAAAGTTTTTGTAGGAAAAGATAGAGTTATTAGTTTGTAAAATCGTGTGTCATTACCTGGTCATGTTCATCATCCTTCAAAGTGTAATATAAAAAAAAAACCAAGTTAAACATGAATAATATAAATTACAATTATAAAAGTACAAGTGACTTTGACGTCAATTTTGTTTTCAGTAAAACTGAATGCTTTTGAATAAAGAAATAACGAATCCAGTAAGCATTAACAAACCTCTATGGCTTGAACATTGATATCGGCTCCCTTGTCCATCAGAAGTTTGATAATAGTCTTCCTCTTATTTGCGTCGGTATTCATTACAGCCAGGTGTATAGGGTACAATCCTATCTGTAAATACAGAGATGATGTTGATGGCTAACTGATTTCATGTGTTGTTATCTCCCTGCTATCTATTTTAGTATTGATTGAAATATTTACTTCACAATGATACAGGAAAAACACACACGCTACAACAAGAAGTAATCCTAACTATTATAACATCATAGCACATCCATGCTTACATTGAGATGACAAAAAATGATGTCGCGAAGTCTTAGGCGAGTTAGGGATTTATATGTCAAAGTGACGCAGCTGATGGGTACGATGCGTTTTTAGATATGATATTCAAGCGAAAATACAATTTTATCCAATACTGTCGCATGAAAAACAAAACCAAAATAATAAATTTAAATACATTTTGTTGATGAGCGAAATTATTAAAATCAGTTATAATGATGTTGATACCTCATTTGGTTTGTTAACATCGGCGTCCGGGTCATTAAGGACGGCCATGAAATCGTCATCTCCCTCTGCTAGCTCTTCCAGAGCGCTCTCGTTCAATGACTACAAATGTCAAACTATTGTTATACATAAAGTTCTTTAGTATAATTATCAAAAACTCTAAACAAATTATACTAAGTAAGGTGTTTTAATTTCGATATTACTAACTTTACCTTACATAGGATCGCCTGTATTTAACACTTCCGGGAAAAAAATAATAAAAAATTAAGAATATAAAAATTTTGCAATATTTCTCACATCGAAACTTGTTACTTACCTCGGGCAAAGCATCGTAGATATATAAGATGATATGACAATATTAACGTTTACATTAGCATTAAAATCCTTATATAACTGAGTTACACTTATCAAGGAAATATTCCATTAGTACATTTTGTGTTAGTGGCAAGCATCCAGTTAAAAAGATTCTTCGTTGTGAGAAATGAATAACAGGACATGCATAGGCTCTAAGTTGTGATGCTTAATTGACTAATTTGTAAGCGATGTTCGGTAACAAATATGTCGTATAAAGAATTTAATCACGCTGTTTAAACCATATTTGTATGAATAAAATTTATTGAATTTCTAAATCTGAGGCAATTTAATTTAACAGTATCTTAAAAATCTAAGTAAGAATGGAAAGTGACGGGAAAATTTCAGTATTGATTGCATGCGCGTATGAAGTTGTTTATTGAGGCTGACTTTAAAGTTAGAATTTTGTATTCCTTGATGATAGCAACGTCCTAAAATTATGACTTTCTATATATTGTAAATGTTTCTAAATACTGTCAATAGTGTTTACTTCAAACGGAAAACAAAGAATTTTTTATTGTCGTGTTATTTCAAAATCACTCGTACCTGACACAAAACAGGAACAGAAAACAAATATCAACAATGTTTAGAATCTCCAATCCTAAAAAACACGACACGCTTTCATGTGTGCAGTGACCAACATTGTGCTCTATAAAACGTTCCACATCAACACATCAATCACATCCTCACTGCAAGATAAATTTCTCTTGAGAACTATTCAAAAATAATCTTAGGATATGGTGTTTTGGCTTAAAAAATACCCAACCTCCTATCTTTCTCAACCTACCAGATTTTGGTGCAACAAAATGATTCGCAAACGGCACGTGGTTCTTGAATTAAACCCAGGTAGACATACACGTACTTACAATAATATAACTTTATGTATATGAATGCCAATTAGGGTAAGTAATATATTATAATATATCTTTTAAACTCTTGCTGTTGGCTTGATTAAAGAAATTAGATTTTGATTAAATTTCAAGTTATAGCTCATCATGATGTGTACTAATTATTTAGAAAACCTGTTTAACATACGTAGACATCTGAACAGCGTGATATAAAAGATTTTTATGCTGATGAAATATCAGTTATAAGTATCAGTTATAAATCAGATTTGTTAGCCGCTTGTCACCAACCCAGCCACCTTTCAAAATCTTGTTCAACCAATATCCCGCACCTAACTAATACCCCATCGCCAAGCCAACATATTGGCAATTCATACAATACGGGCTCTCCTTTACCAAATTACCTCAATATCCTCGTAATTCTCCTGAATAAAAATCCAACTTTTATCAACATTGAGTTTGATATTTAAATAAATTACCTACCATCTGACAGGAAACGATTACATACTTCTAAATCCTGTCATTAGTAATGAATAGGGACATAGCTATTATAAAATACAACGTACACATACTACAGTAGATTTATGTACTCGAAATAATAACGAGCGTTCCTACACCAAACTTTTGCACTCTACATAAGGTACCTAAATACAAAACTGATGAGATATCAGGTAATTTCCATATGTACACCAAACAAAAGGGAACACTGTGCATGCGATTATTTCTGTTGACAAAGTAACACATTTTCGTGTATCTTACTTCAATATCATCCATCTGTAATAAAATATATCAACATAACAGTTACCCAGAAAGGCTGACTCTGATTTTAATGTTTATTTTATAGCATCATTAGGACTTTCTCAAATTGTCACAATCATACTTACAACTAGTCTGTCTGTTCATCGAATTCTTTTTCACTTTGATACTATCAATTAGTAAGACCGTTGTGTCATTTCAACGCTGTTCATATCACAAAATTACCTTGTTTTCCAGTGAATATACCCATATCATTTTTCGCCTTACACATGTGTAAGATATTTATCGTGGCGTCAGATTTAGATAACAAAATGATGTCATATACTCAGGTTGCATCGCGACAAAACTACGTAGATCATAGATATAAAACCGATATGACATTAAGTTTGACGTGGAAATAATTGTTTTCTACAATGTTTATCTGAATAATCGGCCTTGTAACAGGAAAGACATTCGTTTCTAGCTGACAAGTGATTTATGAAACTCGTATCAAAGATTTTATTAAATTCGTCAAAGGCTCGGTTAAATTTGGAATCATTTTTATTTTTTATTTTATTAATATGCCTTTTTTTTCTTTTTAATATTTTTCAAGATACCAGATACTAACAACCTTTTGCTGGTATTCTTTCTCCGAACATCTGACCTTTTTGTTGCTGTGTTACTGTTATACTGTTTCAGTTGAAAACATCATTTTATTCTGCTTGAAAGATTATTTCAGCAAAACATGTGACCGGAGTACTGTCAAATTCATGATAAAAAATATCCAAGTAAAACCTTTCATGTGTCCTAAGAGAATGAGAACAGAAATAGCTCGGACCATTATATTGTTAGTACAAGTATATTCCCATCACCATAGCAAAGCTCATTTATTACAATAGCTAAAATATGTATTCAAAGTTAAAGACAAACAAAATATACTGATTTTATACACATTGTGCTATTTCCATTCAAAATTTGAAAATCGAATATATATGTCTACATTCTATGATGGTAGTTTCAGAATGATTTGAAATCAATTTAATTATGAATGTTACCTTTGAACTTTAACCTGGAGAAAAAATAAGCTTAATCTATGCCAAAACATAGATATTACTGTCCAAAATAATCTGAATTTTGAACATGGTACGAAAAGTATCACTTGTGCACAACTTGTCAATAAACAGTGAAACCACACACCCCCTACACCCGATTTTACCTCAATATCGTCCTGAAAAATAAGCATATCATGGTTGATATTTTTTTACACATACGAAAAAGTGTTTTAACGCATGTAACATAATGCAAACTGTTTACTCAGTAGATCATGCAGTTGTATTAATTAGCACGTGCAGTGGTTACAGTATATGATAGAGCACGTGCTGCTGCAATATCTTGTATAAAGAGAAAAACATGCAACGAAATATAAAACAGGCACAAAGAAGTAGAATATAAAACATGCTACTGGGGTTTCTCAAAGATATAAGATAGTATTTCGTTAATAATAAGTATCAGCTTATACACATTTACACAGATAAAACAAAGACATTGATCAAGCATTACACGGCAAAAGTTACAGATCTGTTCAAGTGTTAGTAGAGTGTTCAGTACATAGATGTGATCTGTGCTGTGAGACAAAGTAATTGGAATAGGAAATATCTTATAGGCGTTTTAGTAATTCCTTCACCACGGTGTCAAGATATGATGCAGATTCGCGCATGCGTATGGCGTGATAGCTATACCTCCTTTGGTGGTTCCTTTTCAGGTTCTGGTTCTGGTTCCGGTTCCGGTTCTGGTTCCGGTTCCGGTTCCTATTGTGATCATATTGAGTCCTCGTTTATCACAATTAAATGTTTACACAAATGATAACATTTATCATAGATTTATTCTCATCCTGCAGTTTGTAAATAAATGTCCGTATACCGTGTACGTTAATGGGTGTAACAGTAGAGTGCAAGAACGTTTACTATGAATGTTTACAATGAAGAAAAACCAAGTGCATTTTCATGATGTATGCTCTGAAAGAAACCTCATTCCGGCCTGAAAAAAAGTCCAATCATGCCAACGATTATATATTTTACCCTAAGACAACAACAACAAAAAACAACATATGGACAATGCACTCTTCGTCAATAAAGAATGGCAGATTACCTCGCACAGGTCATTTGGCATGTTTCAGGAAAACATTAAAAGAGAAATTAATGTTTAAGTAAGGTAATAATGAGACACACAGAATCGGAAGTAAGGAGGACCTCTGATGGTGTATTTGCAACTTAGGGGGGTATTCAGCAGGGCAGTGAAAAATCAATACCACAGCATTATCATTATTTATATATCACAAAGGTAGAATAAATATGAGGCAAAAGGTAAAGGATGAAGACCAGATATGAAATAGTAAGTGAGTGGACATGTTAATAACAGGGTCTGTAGAAAACAGGGTAAACAATAAAAGGTAATATTGTACTGTGATTTTGTAACACTCGTCATGCTGTATAGCTGGAGTGAACATTGGGTTAATGTTTAAATATTTGAGGGCATGTTAAAAACATGGTAGATGTGAAACAGCTATATAGGCGATGATATACATTTTTAATGCAATGTGATATATACAAACACTCGGGATGGTGAAAACCACACAACAATGCCAGTGAATGTTCAACCTTCACCAATCAGTATATTGTCCAGCATGCATTGGTCGATAAAGAAACTAGTACCTCAACTTCAGTTGGTGTTGTTGATTTTGGTGCCGGAGATGAATTTGGTGACCTCCTCAAGTTGTTATCGACAGGCGATGTATGTTGTTCCTAAATTATTTATTCCATATCAATCAGAATGAAGTTCATCGAATAATGAATAGTAAAAAGACAACTTATAACATAAGAATTTGAGAAGAATGGTAACCGTGAAACCAGATTTGTTAGTATCATTGGGGAAAGATATGAGTGGAAAAAAGTGAAACGGTCGCATAAATGAGAGTAAGTTTCAAATGAATTTCAATTTGTAAATGATGGACATATATATTACAAGGGGAATTAGGTTAAGACTGCCTACAAAGAAAAGTATCCACACAAAATAATCCATGCAAGACACTAGTAGTCTGTTTATGGAATGTTAACATCATCCAGGAATTCCTTCAACAACAAGGCAGAAAATCAGAGGAATAACAGGAGCACCGCATGGACTGGAAGACCGTCACCAAAATGTTTAAAGTGGTATGGTATGTGAGGAATTTGTTCTACCGGAGAAACAAGAAGATAGGAACATAGTGATCATGCGTCCGGAATCACAGAAATATTTGAAGTGTAACATGCTGTTATAAGCTGCAATAATTGAAGCTTCCGAAGTAATAACAGTGGCTCCAAATGGACTGGAAGGCCGTCACCAAATTAAAAAAAAAAGTGTGGCATGCGAACTGCAGACGATGGCTACCTCTACATGTACTTGCTCTACAGCTTTCACGGAATCGTTGATGACTTCTGGTTCCTTGTTGTCAACCTTTGGTCGTAATTCCATAACTTCTGGTGATTCTTTTGTTTCTTGCCTTTTGCTTTCTTTCTCTGACCCATTCCGATCGGATATCAACCCTTTATTTGTACTCTGTGATTCTGAAGTCTGAACTTCTACACTCAAAGTTTCTTCTGTTTCTGTCTCCCAGGTGTCTTTCTTTGACGCCGCACACTCTATTGGTGTTTTTGAAACTTCTTTCTGTTTGTACATCATTAAAATGAATTAATTCAGTCCTAAAAACAAAAAGACCTTCTCCTTACAACAGCAACAAAAGGTGCAGGTAGCACTACAATATGGATAACAGAACCAACAACAACATTTTGACGACTAGAATACTGAGCTCGCTGTGACGAATTTACTAATATATCCCCCTATTCCATAGTTTAATGTAAATGGCTTTGTCGATCTGAATTTGCCCAATCACAAGGCTTATGCGCGTATTTAACAACACGTCGCCATGTCAACAGTAAGGACATCTACATACTAACATAACGTCAAAGAAAAACCTATATATGGTGATCGCCTCAAACGAGCCGAATCATACACAATCGTTTGCTGTAGAAAAGAATAGTGTAATGACCTAAGATATACAAACGTCATATTGTCCAAATTATGTAATTATACCGTGAAGACTGGGTCAAAGCCGTCGACTCTATTTTGTTTTCAGTGTGCTTACTTTAACAAATATATATAAAATGCACAAAAACCAGAGCATATTTCATTTCAAAAACTTATAATGTATGACTCGGTTGTCGTAGTCTATAAGCAACAACTCTCGCACATATTTTTGAAAATATCAGAGATATTAATGGCGTCGTCAATATTAATATATTAATTGATATTAATTAATGTGTGTGTTGTAATGCCTGCTCGGTTTCAAATTTAAAAACATCGCAGAAGAAAATAAATACATGTATTGTCAAAATGAAATAAAACATGCACACTAAAGTAAAGATATCTAGAAACATTTTACCATGAAAAAATAGTCTAAAATGTGTAGATTTCCATGCAGTCCATATTCAAGTGTGATAAAATGAAGGTGCAAAAACTAAAGATATTTGCATTGAGGGAGGTATATAGTCCAACAGCCAATCAAAAATAATTAAGGTACAAGAGATATAAAGCCATTGAGGCAGTGGTAAATAGTACAGTCACCAATCGTCCAATCACAGTGATACATCTTACCAATAAAATATTGTTATTGTCAAAGTCATCCTCGTTTCCGTCCTCTTTCTCCTCCTAAAATACGCCAGTTTTTATAGCATATATAGCAATCAAAATGATAATAAACAGGAATTGATAATGCAAACAGCATTGTGTTTAGGGTGTTTTGCGCAAATGAATCATTTACATGTAACTAATTGGTGAAAGTAATTTTAACATGGTGAAACGCACAGATGGACATGATTTCACTTGGAAATGACAGACATGTATATCACGTGTGTCTCTGTTCCACCTACATCTAAAAACCTGTCGCATGGACCCTGAAGGTTCTATATTCTAGTTTCTTGTTTTTGTGACCGACTACCATTTGTTACCCGTCTTCACTCCCTCAACTTCACCCCACTCCTTTTTCAAAATTTCAATACAACTAATAGCAGTAATATAAACTTTACTTGTCTAATCAGCGTACTTTGCAGTATTGTTTCCATTTTATCAACACACTGGCTTACACATAAAAAAACATGTAACATATGCATTCATAACTAGCATTAAAACACAGGAAATATCACCCGAACTGGTAAATCCGTACCCACTGCAATGAAAGACAATTATGTGATAATGATAATTATAGCAAACCAAAAAATATACATATTAGCTTTTCATAGTTAAATCAAGAATATATACACATCATTAAAAGAAGGATCAAGAGTCGGCTCATTTGTTGGTGTAGATGAGGTCTGTAATAAAATTGGTGACAATATCAAGGCGTCTGTCCCACCTGTTCCATTCACCATTAACAGAGAAGAAAACCCGTATCTGGTCGAAGAACCATTGCCAGATGGTAGAAAGCAGCGTAAGTCATTTGCTGACCGGACAAAGGTGACGACGATAACAAATGCGATTGCCCAACGTTTGAGGACATTTGCTCGTCTCATTTGTATGCGAAACCAACCAGTTGTTCTTTGTGAATACGGGATATGTATGAAACTGTGCGTGCAAGTGTTTTCAGTTGCAACATCAAACAAATCATATTAATTTGGTTAATTCACACACCTTACCAATGTATTCTAATAACACACCTGTATCGGTATTAATACATATCAGGTAAAATAAGTACATCACGGTTCATTAACAATTTAGGTTAGATATCGACAACCCTGCGACAAACGTGAACACGCATGGTTAATACATAACATATCGTTGAATTGTTACAAAGTCACGGCAAATATCTCAAGTTCCTCGCCTCACCTCGAACCCAAGACTAACACTGGAAGCCTTATCCCCATCCTCATCATCATTATGGTCCTTCAAACCTGCCTGTAGTAACTCTTTCTCCTCCATCTCTTCCATGTCCTTCAGCGAAAACGTTCACATGTAGGACAGAGTATGCTATATCTCCCAGATCTGATAACCTTTAGTAAGCCTTACACACGTGGAAGAATCCTATCGGTGACTTTTTAGATAGAAAATTGCATTTCAAAACCATTCTTTCCTGAGTCTTTTATTTGATTATCTTTATCTAATAATCTTCAGAAAGCTTATGGTATCATTGATTCAATGGACCTTGAATTATCTAAATTGTGGAAGTCTTTCACATTGAAGTTTTTTTCCCTACTGTATCTTCTCTAAATTTGTTGTGAATTGTGCTATTCACTTTTGTATCTTAAGTACAGTCTTTGCTTGTTGATTTTTAAATATAAATTGTCCGTAACATCAATGATGAGTTTCCGAATGACAAAAAGACTGTATAGTGCTATATTCTATTTACACTTGATGCTATTCATCCAAATGCTTTTCGTAATGTTATTGAATGCCTTTCGCAAAGTGGTTGCGTGTGAAGCCCGTCTATAGAATATTTTACGGGTTTCATGTACGCCACCAAGACTTTCACAGTTGTGATTATGGTAATCATTGTAATTAAACATTGGTAAAAAGAGTATTGACCAGAATACAGGTTTGTTTACTGTTGGTCACAAACGTATACACAATCAAGTCATGGAGGAGGTCAAATAGCAATACCTTGTACGTTGCCTCTACTAACACGTGAATACTTATTGGGAAGGAAATGGGGGCGAGTTGTGTACCTACCAATATATGTTGCGCCCTGTCTTTTTTAAGAAGTCTAACGATATCATTATAATTCCGGTCTGTAGCTAAAGCGAGGGCATCCTTTCCGTCCTAAAGTGAAGTAATAGCATGTGTCAGACAAAAAAAGCGGGAAACATATATATCATTTTAATTACTGGTAAATTATAACACTGTACATATAAATTTTCTTAAATTTATGTTTAATGTTTTCAACACAGTAAATGTTGTAAGGGGTTCTGGTTTTCGCTATTTCAAGGATAGGGAAATCGTAAAATAAGGTATTTACTGGAGAACTATAAAATTTCCACGAATGATTTATCACTTATTCGGTATTTTGGATAATTTGCCAAAATGTGAACCATTAAAAAATGTCAACTTTTTCAGTATTAGATAATCATTTGCACTATAGGATTAATCTAATGATTGATTTGGTACTAACCAGGTCTTTGTATGTGGAGAGGGCACCCCATCTGACGAGAGCAGCCACCATGTTGTTCATTTGACCACTCAGCCTCATTGGCCGACTTTTTATACACAAATTTAAGGCTGTATCACCCTCCTGAACAAAGCAAAATTCTTGTTAACAATGCTATATTTTTGTTTGAACATCGTAAGATAACTGTAATGTTATGAAATCATTAAATGCTATGTGAATGTTCACATCATACATGTAAATACTGGAAGTCAAGTTCATACCCTCTGGGTCAGTTATGAAAATCATCCAATTGACCTTGTTATGTTTAATTTTGCAGTCTCTCTTTTAAAAAAAACAAGAGGTCCCAGAGGGATTTTGTGCCCACCATTATTTTTATCTTTATTTGCTCTTTTAAAGTTGGATCTTTTCCCTTCTTTCATCTTAGCTTCTCTGTTTTTGCTCTTAATTATAAGAAATCTGAACATCCATTTTGCAGAAAAGCAATAATAATCTTTACCTGCCAAATCCAAGATGGTCGCCTGAAAGCCATTTGTTTTTTTCTGATCAGTTCAAAAATCGAATGGGCACAAGTAGAGACCAAAGGGAACATACATATGAAATTTTAGAGAGATCCATTCTGTTCTTATTATGAAATAGGGATAACTAGGCGAAATCCAAGATGACTGCCTGTCGGCCATTTTGTTTTTCTGATCAGTCCTAAACTCAAACAAGCACAACTAGGGACCAAGAGGAACCTATACATAAAATTTTAGAACGGTCAATGCAGCAGTTCTCAAGAAATAGCGATAACAAACTTTCGAAGTCAAAATCAAAGATGACATGTAGGCCCTTTTTTCTTTTCTCTGAAAAACAAATGGGAACAACTAAGAACCAAGGGAAACCTATGTATGAAATGATTCATCAAGCACTTCTCAAGAAATAACGATAACAAACTTTCAAAGTCAAAATTCAAGATGGACACCTGTAAGCCATATTCTTTTTCTGATCAGACTCAAAATCGTATGGAAACAACTAGGGACCAAGGAAACCTGCATAGGAAATTTGAGAGAGATCCGTCTAGTACTTTTCAAAAAATGGCGAAAACAAATGTTGTTTTATAGACGGACGGACGAACACGGACCACGGACGTAGGGCGATTTGAACAGCCCACCATCATCAGAACAACCCACCATACCATTAAGAGACAAACAATTAAAACGTCACAAGAAACATATAGAGCCTTTTTTTCATTTTCTATCGGTAAGTAGTTCCATTTTAAATGACATTACCAGGTGACAACGTAAGAGGTATAAAATTATGATTAGGCTTGCTATCTTTACAAGAATATTGTCATTTTGCCCTAAATGCACGTTGGCGACATAGAGCATGGACCAGCATGTTCTTACTCACATTATCCGTGATGTTGAGGTCAGCGTTCATCTGGTGCATGGCAGTTATCAGGGGCATGGGCGGGGGTTCATACACGGTGAACACATAGTGGATAGCGGCACAACCATGCTGGAGGATAAATGTGAAAGTGAAAACAACCATCAGTACCTGATTCTTCTTGTTCGGTCCGTGAATGAACCAAGAAATCATTGGCCCAGTGTAAAAAAAATCACAAATATCCACAATTAGTGATCAAAATCTTTACTATTTATCTCTTTTTTCCCTTTACTCCTCGTACCTATGCCAACAAGGGACACAATGTTATTTTATACAAATTCGCGGTGTTTTGAGAATTCAAATCAAATTGGACTTTCTTAACCTCTCCTCTTTCGTGAAAGTCATTCATATGATTGTTCATAAGAGTCCTCTCATTTCTCATCCTTCCATAGGTAAGTCACGTATATATTTCAACTCTTTTAATTTGGCGAAGACATGACTCTTTCTGACTAATTATGTGAATGTAAGCCTTCTTCTGCAAATCATATGTTTTACTTTGCTCAGAATTTGTCAAAAGATTCCGGAATTCAACTTATCCTCATTCAGAGGAATTGCTAAGATAATTTGAATTTACAAGAACCCATATTTGCATATATTTGCGATCGAATATTCCAAATCGAATAATTTTCGAATAAAGCAATTTTGAAAAACTGTTACTAGAAATGTAAAACTATTCGAATAATACAAATTACTTACGTCATTCAATATATTACAATTCGCACCTTTCTTCACACTGAGTATTGCATCATCTTCGTCGTTGTTCAGAATTGCTTTCAACAGTCGTTTCTGAAAATATAGTTTCATTTGAAATTCAAAGAGAAACAATCTATTTTGGGATTTAGAATTCGGAAAATCTTCCTTGTCATCATTTTACCCGTGCAAAAAGTCATTTTTAATGATTTCATTAATATTTCAACTGATGAATACGTATGTTTAGATTATCGTTTATCAAGATAATTAATTGATGATAAATCATTTATTCTCTCAAAAATACAGTATGGCGATGAATTTGCTTGCCGCTTTGTATTTATAAAATGTAAGGTATCTTTCGTCATTGTGTCACTTTCCCCATGGAGTCAGCAAGTATTGCTTTCATCGTCTCTACTTACGCCGTAAATGACTCCAACAGACTTCCCATACAGTGCGCGGGCGTCCGCAGGCATCATGGTGCCGTCAACACATGAAGCAATATCGAAATACTCTCTAGCCACGGCGATATCATATGCCGTACGTAAGTGCTGTAGAAATAAATGTACATTAATGAATTAAAAAAATTAATCAGTTGCCAATTGTTATACCTTCTCTTTGTATGAACAAGTTGTCATATCAAACAACACAATTTCAGACATTTTTTAAAATCATATATGTTTTAGTGTGAGCAAGAGAAAAATTGTTCACTGGGGCGTTTTTAGGGTTTTTTTCAGATTCAGCAATATTTTTCCAATCATCTTTCCCTTTACATCTGGACTTGAGATATCTACCCTGTTTCGCCAGTGGACATCTGGATAGTACTCCAGTGCTGCAACGACCCCAGGAAAGGCAACACTGATGTGGTTGTTCTTTATAAGGAGGTGAAGGATACTGTTATGGTCAGCCTTGGTCTTGGCGTTCACATCGGCTCCACCCTTCAGTAATATCGTGATAATATCTTCCATCTCGTCGTCGCGACCACTCATGGACGCCACATGTAATGGTGTGTAACCATTCTGATGAACAAAAACATTGTAATCAAAGTTCATCGCACGAACGACGGTAGATTAGCAAGGCGTGAACAGGCACCATTTGACCACAGAACGAGACTTACTGATCGGTGTTGTAAACAACGTTATTAAAACATACAACTTTGCAATTTAGGATTTTGTTCATCAATAATCCAAATACTGGGAAATCTATTCAGGCAATTTTGAATTGTTCTTGACATATTTTTTTATGATATGAAATGCTTGGTCTTCTCTTGGTTAAGAATTCATGTGAAATTATGATCGCCGTAATAGATGTTAATTTAACCATTGTCGTTAATTAGCTTTGTGAGCGATGTAGAGAAGAAATTAATGCATACCCTGAAATAGACGTTGTACATATTGTCCTTGTTCCATTCTTTTATTTCGTCTATCGTACCCTGAAGTATGCAGTCATAAAACTTCTTCTACAATAAAGAAAAGTTACAACATTCAATGATCAAACTTACAATGTACAATATTTCAGGTAAAAACTGAGGCTCTTCCAAACACTTGGAACTTTGAGAGATGTGAACAGTCTTAAGAAAAGCCTGTCAGTTTCAAACGATATATAACATGGACGTACCACTAATTCTGATCCCAAAGTCCGGATTATAAACATGTTATATTCTCATAGACAAGAAACACAAAATAAATCTGCTCCGACTTAAATTTTACCTTGGGGGTTATCATATTTGATTGGTTCTTAATTTTGAATACCGTGATGCGGTCTTTACTACAACTGACGAGTTACAGAAAGTAGCACGAATATAGTTTTATTAGTTTTCATATTGAATAACGTCCTGTAAACAGTTACGGTTATTTTAGGATGGCCCTTATGATGTATAACACGGCTGCTACAGTTTGTTTGTTTGTTTGTTTGTTTGGTTGTTTCCCCGTGAATATTCAGGGTAAGACTGTAGTAGCTAATTCATTGAACAACACACGAGAGGCCCGATGCATGAAATCTTGAGCAATTACTGCGGTAAAGATTCTTGCCCAAGGACACGACCACGTCAGCACATGTATGAGACATCTGTAACTCAAGTGTACACTACCATGATATGATATCGACATCTGTTATTACTTCATAGCCAGCTAGAGCAAAAACAAACAAACAAACAAACAAAAAATATCGGAATTTGTATTTAAAGAAACTGGAACGCAATTAAAAGTATCAAGACAGAGACCTCAAAAAGCAAAGAGCAAGATTGAATGTTCGTCCAACTCTATTGACTCATTCAGGTGACATTTCATACCAAAGCGTAAGCTAGATATTTAAACGTGTCGCTTTAATTAACAGTTGACTGGAGAAATCCATAATGGAAACATTCGTCCAGGAATTTTTAAACAAACATGGAGTCTTTTTAAGGACATGATATGCCAAAAAATGTCGGGTAATGTATTCAAAATTTAAAATGTCAATAAAAATCTCCTAGAACTCACTCGATCAAGGAAACTATGGAATATTGTTTTAAAATAAAAAAAAGGAAACGCCTTATTATTAATGAGACAATTCAAACATGCCATTAACACCTAACACAGGCCATTTTACAAATCAAAAGGACATACTAGTTAATGTCATTTATCATAGACAATAGGGCAGGCATGATAAAACTATTGAGCAATACATCTGGTGTGTCATTTGTTAATAAATATTGAATAAATTGTGACGCTGCGTATAAACACAGTGTCACATCAAAGCAAAATCTGTAGTTAGCTCACACTTGCTCTTCGACTGTCGTAAGCTAAATGTCGTGTTTATATATAGACAAGATTTCCACTCAAGAACGAGACAAACAGCCTATCGAATGATTTGACAATAGAGATTTTATAGGAATAGGACCTGAGAAAAGGTTCTGTTATTTGATCCTTGATATTGGAGTGGTGAAAATGTGTTTACTGGATACGGCAAAAACAGTGGTAACAACACCCCCAGGGACACGTACTCGGTCTAGATTTAAGTTTTACAAGTTAGAGAGGTTTCGAAGAAGGCAAAGACAGAACCATTTAATTGATTGATAAGGGATTATTCTGAGAATCGTGATAATGATTTACAATAATAATGATGAAAACTGAACACTAGAGTAAATTTAGGTCCGTACAAATTTAAAGTTCCCGTTTGGGAATTATTAAATGTAAATTTTCACGGCTAACAAACTGTTCTCGTGGTTGGGAGTTGTGGACTTAATGGCATGACCTAGATTTAAGTTCTGGTCACTTTGGTAACTTAGAGTATATGAAATTATCGATCTTTCTTGGTATTTCTCTGATGTTAAAGACGTATACCTCCGGGATAAGGGTTTGATTAATTAATTGAATCGTGCTCCAAATGATTCAAAGTAAATGTACAATTTTCCTTACTTTGATTAATTCAAAATGAAATGACAACTAAGAAATATATGTACTGTCATATATTTTTGGTACATGTTGCGTTATAAAGTCTTCTTGTCCACCAAATGTTGGTGTTTATGGCTACAAGATACATTTGTTTTTGTTAATAACATCAATTATCAGACCGTGACAGTGGGGTGCGCGTGTTGAACATAATCAGACAATGCATTATTCATGAAGAATACTTGAATAGTGCATATATTTGCTATAATGTGTTACCATGTACAGTTTGACAAGGTTTCGTGCACTGTTTGATAATATTGTGAAAAGAATAACATAAAAACACCAAATAGAAGGTGTCTCTTAGCAAGGGAGGGCGAATTCTAGATGGGGAAAATGAAATATTATAAGTTGTTTTGCTGAAATGTCCTATGGTCTGAAATTCTCCACTGTTACAAATGTGAAAATTTAAATGTTTGTGAAACACTACATACACGTCCTTCAGTCTAAGGTAGGGCGATCGAAACTGGAATTTTAAATCCAATGAAATATTTAAACATGTTTCGTGTGTCTAATAAATCTTCCATGATGTCTGTTGGTAAAGGTCGGTCTGATCACGGGTGTACACGGTAGGGGCTCACCTGTATACCTGTGTATGGTCTGGGACTTTTAACTGAAAGAATTCAGATACTAGATAAAACAATATCTACACACGTGTATGATGGTATGTAAGCAAACTAAGGCCTATGGTTGGACCAATATTAACATGGCTTGTGTAGTTCTCAGAAGGGCTTACATACCTATCGGTACATGAAAGGTCTATATCGGTGTATGATGGACCTATATAGTGTATATTGGACCTATATGGGTGAGTGATGGGCCTTTGTTGGTACATGTTAGGTCTATATCGGTCTATGATGGACCTATATGGGTGAGTGATGGGCCTTTGTTGGTACATGTTAGGTCTATATCGGTCTATGATGGACCTATATGGGTGAGTGATGGGCCTTTGTTGGTACATGTTAGGTCTATATCGGTGTATGATGGACCTATATGGGTGAGTGATGGGCCTTTGTTGGTACATGTTAGGTCTATATCGGTGTATGATGGACCTATATGGGTGAGTGATGGGCCTTTGTTGGTACATGTTAGGTCTATATCGGTCTATGATGGACCTATATGGGTGAGTGATGGGCCTTTGTTGGTACATGTTAGGTCTATATCGGTCTATGATGGACCTATATGGGTGAGTGATGGGCCTTTGTTGGTACATGTTAGGTCTATATCGGTGTATGATGGACCTATATGGGTGAGTGATGGGCCTTTGTTGGTACATGTTAGGTCTATACCGGTGTATGATGGACCTATATTGGTGAGTGATTGAGTGATGGGCCTTTGTTGGTACATGTTAGGTCTATATCTGTGTATGATGGACCTATATGAGTGAGTGATGGGCCTTTGTTGGTACATGTTAGGTCTATATCGGTGTATGATAGACACCTATATGGGTGAGTGATGGGTCTTTGTTGGTACATGTTATGTCTATATCGGTGTGTGATGGACCTATAAGGGTGAGTGATGGGCCTTTGTTGGTACATGTTAGGTCTGTATCGGTGTATGATGGACCTATATGGGTGAGTGATGGGCCTTTGTTGGTACATGTTAGGTCTATATCGGTGTATGATGGACCTATATTGGTGAGTGATTGAGTGATGGGCCTTTGTTGGTACATGTTAGGTCTATATCGGTGTATGATGGACCTATATGAGTGAGTGATGGGCCTTTGTTGGTACATGTTAGGTCTATATCGGTGTATGATGGACACCTATATGGGTGAGTGATGGGCCTTTGTTGGTACATGTTATGTCTATATCGGTCTATGATGGACCTATATGGGTGAGTGATGGGCCTTTGTTGGTACATGTTAGGTCTATATCGGTCTATGATGGACCTATATGGGTGAGTGATGGGCCTTTGTTGGTACATGTTAGGTCTATACCGGTGCATGATGGACCTATATTGGTGAGTGATTGAGTGATGGGCCTTTGTTGGTACATGTTAGGTCTATATCGGTGCATGATGGACCTATATGAGTGAGTGATGGGCTTTTGTTGGTACATGTTAGGTCTATATCGGTGTATGATGGACCTATATTGGTGAGTGATTGAGTGATGGGCCTTTGTTGGTACATGTTAGGCCTGTATCGGTCTATGATGGACCTATATGGGTGAGTGATGGGCCTTTGTTGGTACATGTTAGGTCTATATCGGTGTATGATGGACCTATATGGGTGAGTGATGGGCCTTTGTTGGTACATGTTAGGTCTATATCGGTGTATGATGGACCTATATGGGTGAGTGATGGGCCTTTGTTGGTACATGTTAGGTCTATACCGGTGCATGATGGACCTATATTGGTGAGTGATTGAGTGATGGGCCTTTGTTGGTACATGTTAGGTCTATATCGGTGCATGATGGACCTATATGAGTGAGTGATGGGCTTTTGTTGGTACATGTTAGGTCTATATCGGTGTATGATGGACACCTATATGGGTGAGTGATGGGCCTTTGTTGGTACATGTTATGTCTATATCGGTGTGTGATGGACCTATAAGGATGAGTGATGGGCCTTTGTTGGTACATGTTAGGCCTGTATCGGTCTATGATGGACCTATATGGGTGAGTGATGGGCCTTTGTTGGTACATGTTAGGTCTATATCGGTGTATGATGGACCTATATGAGTGAGTGATGGGCCTTTGTTGGTACATGTTATGTCTATATCGGTGTATGATGGACCTATAAGAGTGAGTGATGGGCCTTTGTTGGTACATGTTAGGTCTATATCGGTGTGTGATGGACCTATAAGGGTGAGTGATGGGCCTTTGTTGGTACATGTTAGGTCTATATCTGTGTATGATGAACCTGTATGAGTGAGTAATGGGCCTTTATTGGTACACAATGAGCCTATATCGGTGATCAGTCTACGTCGGTACAAGACGGGATTACATCGGTACATGATGGGTCTATAATTTCAATTATTACAAAACCTATGTCAGTAGCAGTAAGGCTTCGGTAGCAATTATACCTATATCGGTATATATTGGTACACAAGGACTTGTCTTAGTAACGAGTGATGCAATTCTCAAGTATTTCTGCCATTTTCTCATTTCCAACTATAAGATTCCTTCCTTGAAATTACCTATTTTACGACACAACAGATCTGTCAGAATGATCCCACTACGACAAACAGATTGGTCTATACTTTGGTGTATAGAGACATTCATAAATCCCTCCTGTCGATAAGTTTGTTACAGTTAAACCCGGGGTCCGTACACGTAAGGTCACGTACAGTTTTTATAAGTAGATACGTTGGTAAACGACAATAGCCGCTCATTTACATACACAGGTCACTCGAGGAGTGTACAATGGCTTAATTATCGGCCTTAATTTGACATACATCTAAATATAGGTGGGTCGGTGTGCAATGCTATTTCATACAACAAGGATTAGCCTACATAAAAAATACATGTCCAGAATATTAGCCTTGACACACGTAAAGCTATGAATATATCTCCTAGGTATAGTAGAAATTTACGGTACTTGGTAGTAGTGCAAGTTAAACTTTCATTCTATGTACCCAAAATCCCTCAAATAAATGTATTTTCTGTCGGATAACTACAGTTGTAGAGGATTGGGATAGACTCTAGAAAAGTGGGGTGGGTGGGGGTGGGTAGAGGGAGGGGGTGTAGATACTCGGGGTGGGAGGGTTGGGATAGATCCTGGAAACGGGGGGAGGGTTAGATACTGGGGTGGGGGTGTAGATACTCGGGTTGGGAGGGTTGAGATAGATCCTGGAAGTAGAAGGGTTGGGATAGACCCTTGGTGGATGAAAGGGGCTTGGGTAGACCCTGATAGTAGGGAGAGGGAGGTTGGAGGGGGGGGTGGTACTGGAAGCAGGACGGTTGGGGTAGGTCCTGGAAGTAGGGGCTAGGGGGGACACTGGAAGTAGGGAGGGTTGTGATAGATTCTGGAGGGGTGGGAGAGTGAGTTAGACTCAAGGGTTGGATTAGACCCTTGAGTGGAGTAAATGTTATGATGAAGGTAGACCCTGCGGTTGGGATGGACCCCAGGGAGAATTAAACCTCGGGAGGCGGTAGACCCTTGGGATGGGGTACATCCTATGGTTAGGATAGACTCTGGGGTTAAGGTAGATACTGGTGTGTGGCAGACCCTATGTATCGGTACACAAGAACCCGAGGTAGTTCGGAACCCCGGAATGTAAGGAGGTAATGATAAAAATATATATTTAAAACTTACATGTTCCACGGACTCGTGCTCCTCTAACCTGAGGGGCTCCAACCGTTCCTCGTCATCCTCCAGTAGCGACATTACGCTGTGCCTTCCAGGTTGAACATCACTTAACCGTCCTATACAAAATCCACGTCTCTCTGAATATTAACGTCCAGGACAACTCTCCCAGTCATAAGTACCCATACCTCTCAACAACACACTGAGGTATCTACAGTTATATCTATGCGAAACACACAGGTTACACTTTCTTCAAACACAAACATACGAAAGCAGGTTTGTTTAGCCTGCCATCAACATTCTCTCGAAACAAATAATTTATCAATATCCTATGAATCCGGTTGGATCACAGCGTCCTCTACACCACAACATGTGGTCAGAAATGCATTGTTTCTGTGATATCGATCGATCGAGAAATTGCACGTAAATACAGGTACCTGTGCCGTGTAATTAACAAGTAGCGATCGCGACTACACCATAATATTGGCATGTATCTACCTACACACGCCCAAACAAACAGTATCCGTTTTAAAAGTCCATTTCCTAATGTAGAGGAAATATCAACTCCCTAAATAAAACATTTTTCTTATGTATTAGACTTTAAAGGTATGTCATATACGTATACGACAGAGGTCAAAGGTCAGGATTGACAGGTAGGTACATAGGTAACTTTAAATATTTGTTCGGTAACTCTTAACAAGCGGACAATGATATGACTGGGCGCCTGTCAGGTAATTCTATAAGTGGGAAGATTGGGGTGTACAGGTATTCGTTAAATGGGCAGATTGAGTTGTACAGGTATTGAATGAGTGGTAAAATCGAGTTATTCAGGTATTCACTGAGTTTTAACATGTATTCAATATTAATGGTTACAAATAGACGTCCGTGTATACCGATTTATTACACTGCTTATACGTAATTCATTAATTACACGGTTAATATACAGGTAATACGTTTTTTTATACAGTTCATTTTTAACTATTGAAGATATATTAAAGTGTCACACCGAAAAAAAAAGTAGTAGTTAAATAATTGTAGTCACATAAATTAATTTTTTTTTAAAAAAACGTAAGAGAAGTCACAAACAGTTAATGAAGTAGTCGAAAATATCTTGAGAGTAGTCATATAAGTGTTATATAAGTGTGAGTGTTATATACACAAAATAATGCAATTAGCTAGGGTCGTATCGAGCCAGATACCCCAACAGACAGGAAATAGATGTTGACATCGATATCTTACTCTAAAATAGGGCCGGACTCAATCCTTTTTCTTAAGTTGTCTCCCATTTATGCATCATTCAAAAATGACTTGAAGGGACCGTGCTGAATATGAATAAGTGAAAATATAGAACATTGATGTCGATTCCAGATGATAATTCTCAAGGTAGTCAAAGTACGAACGTAAAGAATTGTCAATGAAATCAACCATGTCTGATGTTGATTATTATCAAATTTTCAAAGTCTGATGAGAGGTTAACCCTGATATATATATATACATATACATATATTTTTTTCAATAACAACAAATCATGTTCCCAGTTCGCATGTTATTTAAGTTCCATAGACCTATAAACGTGTGTGATGATGAAATTTCACCTTATCATTCTTGAAAAAATGGTCACTTGGCCAATTGGAGATCGGGGAAAGGCACCCCAAGTGCGCCACCTTCTAGCAGATCGATGTTATTTTGTTAAGAATTAAAAACATCAAGAAAATACCAACATGTCGACATAATCATAATCCAAACTCAAATTCAATAAACCAAGAGCAAAATATGAACAAAAGAAAGATTTACACGGAGATTTCTGAAAAGTACAAGGAGAATAAGGCCAGGCCCCGTTTGTTCAAAGGTTAGTTAGAATTAAGCAGTGGTTAATGACAAGTTTAAATTGCTGCCACTGAACAAACAAGAGCATAGAAGACAAAAGTAACATTCAAGATATATCAATCTGACCTGTTTCAACAAATCTACATCCATGAAATTATCAAAAGTGTTCCTAATTTTGTTTCACTCACGTTTGAACAATTTCACAAAACAATGGTTATCTTTAAGCTGTCTTTGAACAACTGAGACATGGTGTTCCGGAAGAGTAAGTGTATTCTACTTCATCGACGACACCCGCCATGTAAACCTTGGTCAATTCCAGTAAGTAACGTCATAAACAACGGAACCAACAGGCAAACTAACGAGCATCAAATACATCAAGCTTCATATTGCACAAAGACATATATCCTATGAAAAAGATGAATTGTAGACCTAATTGTATCTGTGAATCTAAGAATTTTCAAATAATTCGTTATAACCAACTGTAATGGCATATCTATATTAATATTCTGTCATTTCTGGCAGCTTTCCAACACAATCTCCTCTGCTAGTGTTAATTTATTGATGATGTTTATCTGTTTGATACACAGGAAGGCCATTTCATCTAAGAGTATCGGAGTCCAGCAATGACTCATTCGAACCCTGCCCCACAGACACATGAGCAGCGTCTGTCAAGCTGCAAATACTTTTTATTCTTTCAAAAATTGAACAATTTTCGATTGCAAGCAAAGTACAGAGAGTGGGGGCAGCGTGCAACTAGCAAATTTAGTCAAAAATACCAAAATACGATTTTATGTCATGGTGATCAAGAGATTTGGGCAAGGTTAATATGAAAAATAATAAGGGTCAGTAACTCTTCCAAAAACAGTGGAATCAAACTTTCTTTAAGTTAAACAGAACTTCATATTGTGATTTAGCCTAACATGTTTGATAAAAGACCGGTTGAAAGCTATGGGAGGTGACATCAAAATCGGAAAAAAAATCTTATCATAAAGAAGAGATTCCAAAGGGATCGTGGCACCAACCATTGTTTGGTTTCTTTGTTTTTTAAAAGTTGGATCTTTTCCCTTCTTTTCTGCCCTCTTTTTACTCTTAATGATATAAGATTTGAACATTCCTTTAAAGAAAAAGCGACAATATTTAACTGCCGAATCCAAGATGGTCGTCTGTCAGCCATTTTGTTTTTATGATTAGTGCCAAACTCGAATGGACACAACAAGGAGCCAAGAGAAACCTACATATGAAATTCGACAAAGATACATCCAGTTCATCATTTTATCAATTCGGAAACAGCATACAGGTAAACTGAACCAAGAAAGAGCCATGTACTTTTGTTAATATTTTATTTCCATGATTGGCAATAACAAAAGTACATTTTCATATCTCTGTGGAGAACCATCAACAAAATTCCAAATACCTGGTAATGTTATATTTTTCAATAATGCATTACAATATGACTTAACACAATAAAAAGTGACTTCATATATTATTCTGAATGCAGAGACAAACCTATGCTTTGTGACACTATAAGGATTTGTGTCAAAGGCTGTTTGTGATTCTAGTGACACCAGTCACTCCCCAGGAGTCACTTCTATTTTTTATTAATCATACAATCATACAACAAATAAGTGATACATCCCAGGATCTACAGAATCTATATACAATACATGTAGAGACCAAATGCACTATTACAGAAGCTGGTTTTTACCATAAACAAATAATATATCCCAGGATCTACAGAATCTATATACAATACATGTAGAGGCCAAATGTACTATTACAGAAGCTGGTTTTTACCATAAACAAATAATATATCCCAGGATCTACAGAATCTATATACAATACATGTAGAGGCCAAATGTACTATTATAGAAGCTGGTTTTTACCATAAACAAATAATATATCCCAGGATCTACAGAATCTATATACAATACATGTAGAGACCAAATGCACTATTACAGAAGCTGGTTTTTACCATAAACAAATAATATATTCCAAGATCTACAGAATCTATATACAATACATGTAGAGGCCAAATGTACTATTACAGAAGCTGGTTTTTACCATAAACAAATAATATATCCCAGGATCTACAGAATCTATATACAATACATGTAGAGACCAAATGTACTATTACAGAAGCTGGTTTTTACCATAAACAAATAATATATCCCAGGATCTACAGAATCTATATACAATACATGTAGAGACCAAATGCACTATTACAGAAGCTGGTTTTTACCATAAACAAATAATATATTCCAAGATCTACAGAATCTATATACAATACATGTAGAGACCAAATGTACTATTACAGAAGCTGGTTTTTACCATAAACAAATAATATATCCCAGGATCTACAGAATCTATATACAATACATGTAGAGACCAAATGCACTATTACAGAAGCTGGTTTTTACCATAAACAAATAATATATCCCAGGATCTACAGAATCTATATACAATACATGTAGAGGCCAAATGCACTATTACAGAAGCTGGTTTTTACCATAAACAAATAATATATCCCAGGATCTACAGAATCTATATACAATACATGTAGAGGCCAAATGTACTATTACAGAAGCTGGTTTTTACCATAAACAAATAATATATCCCAGGATCTACAGAATCTATATACAATACATGTAGAGGCCAAATGTACTATTACAGAAGCTGGTTTTTACCATAAACAAATAATATATCCCAGGATCTACAGAATCTATATACAATACATGTAGAGGCCAAATGTACTATTACAGAAGCTGGTTTTTACCATAAACAAATAATATATTCCAAGATCTACAGAATCTATATACAATACATGTAGAGACCAAATGTACTATTACAGAAGCTGGTTTTTACCATAAACAAATAATATATTCCAAGATCTACAGAATCTATATACAATACATGTAGAGGCCAAATGTACTATTACAGAAGCTGGTTTTTACCATAAACAAATAATATATTCCAAGATCTACAGAATCTATATACAATACATGTAGAGGCCAAATGTACTATTACAGAAGCTGGTTTTTACCATAAACAAATAATATATTCCAAGATCTACAGAATCAATGTATAATATATGTAGAGACCAAATGTACTATTACAGAAGCTGGTTTTTACCATAAACAAATAATATATTCCAAGATCTACAGAATCTATATACAATACATGTAGAGGCCAAATGTACTATTACAGAAGCTGGTTTTTACCATAAACAAATAATATATTCCAAGATCTACAGAATCTATATACAATACATGTAGAGGCCAAATGTACTATTACAGAAGCTGGTTTTTACCATAAACAAATAATATATTCCAAGATCTACAGAATCAATGTATAATATATGTAGAGACCAAATGCACTATTACAGAAGCTGGTTTTTACCATAAACAAATAATATATTCCAAGATCTACAGAATCAATGTATAATATATATAGAGGTCAACTTCCAAAGGTCGTTTACATACAAGCATAAAACAAACCAACAATACATACCAGGAACTATTCATTACATGTACAATTTCAGAAAGTTATTCTGTACCATATTTTCCTATATACAGAAAATGCCATCAAAACATTAACTAATTAATATATGAACACAAAATGATACAGTTATGACTTCACCTGTATATGGATCAAAAACAATAACAATGTACTATAAATTATCATACAGGTTGATTACAGTTTCATTTAAATCAAGGTGTTCATTGAACTGGTCTGAAAAATATCAACAAAATTTCTCAAGTCAATCAAGAATTTCCGTTTTGAGGAAATCTAAAAAGTTAAACAATAAGTAGTTAATATACAACCTCAAAAGTGCTCAGTGTACATTAGATTTCTGCTAAAACACAAATACTGACAAAATATGTCCCATATGATAACTGAAGGGTTGTCAAGAGTGTAGGAAAACAGAATATGTATCAAAATCCTATAAAAGATAATATGAATTAGTGCAAAGACTTCTTAGAACTTCAATATTTTTTTTTACTATTTTATTTATTAAATGAGAAAATCTAAAATATCTCAAAAACAAAAACTGCTTATTGAAAAAAAATTTATGAAACATAAAAAGATCATAAGTAATTTGCATTATCACATGATTTTTTATTTGGACAATGTTTTTTAAAATTTTCTTTTTTTTCTGTGATTTTGTATTATAAGCAATATTTCATTAATCAAAAGCATGATCAAAACTGAAAACAATCTGCATTGTTTATTTATTTCAACATCAACAAACATCTATTAAATTCTTGATATTTAGGCCAATCAGTGAATGTTCAAAAGTTTGTATTTTAACATCTGTTAAATTCTAAATCTCTCAGGCAAAACACTCCATTTTTAATTATAGAGCGTAGGGATTTGCATTGTATCAAATTCAATCACATAATTGAAAAAACATACCTCAAAATTACTGAAACATAAAATTGTGAATATCATATTGTAAACTGAACATTGCCATATGTGTAATACTGTACACGAGTTTTTCTTTTGTTGTATACACACATGTATCAACAATTTGTAGGTATATAAAAATAGTTGTTTATATCAGTACCAAAAACATAATACAAAATGTTACATGCAGGAATACGATATCCCTAAAACATCTAAAAATGTCAAAGTTACCAGTGCGTACTGACCTCTCCGTTGCTGGGGTAATCAACAAAATCCATAGAGTATTGACAAATCAAATACATCTTCTTGTTCTAATATTCCTCTTCCAAACACTGATACCTATTATCAAGTTATACAGAAAAACATGCGAAACCTTGTCAACTGCAGGTAGGGGCTAATTTGAGGACAACTATGGTACACCAAATGACAACAGGTAACTACTCTATAGAATGCCTTCTTCAGTATATTATTTGTAAACTTTAAACAATAAAACATGTTTAAACAAAAATTAAACACTCAAAGTATATCTAACATTCCCAATAACAACAAAAATATGTAAAAAAAAAAAAAAAAAGGAATTTACCTTCAAAGCATATGAAGAACCATCTACAGTGTAACAAGTGTACAGCAATACAGTAATATTTCCCAAGTATACCTGTATCAGTCAGGGGGAGACAATTTACTGAATGATTTACAGTCAGGGATGGTGTGGGGTATATCTAGGGTTTACTACTTCATAGCTTGATCAGTATTTACAAAATACACATGTACAATGTTTTCACAATTTCTTATGTTAATTAGTTTTCTCAAATTCTAATCTCTGTCTTTTATTGAAATGACTGTGCTGATATGACGATATCTATCAGGTAAGGCAATTCCAATATCCATTCACTAGCAAAGATTTATTTTCTAAGAACCTATCCATGTTGATTTCTTAGTAGTTTACTTATAACATTACTTGTATCCTTGGTCAACACAGTGTGAACTGCCTGGGTCATTTTGTGCAGAATCTTCTTGACATTATCTGTTGACTATCTCACTAAACAGTGTATGAGAGACCCATTGCAAAAGTTTCACAGCAATTAGTGTTAAAAGCACAGGACCAAGAAAGGTCAGCTGACCAAAGAAACATGACCCACACAGATAACACTGATAAAACTGTAGATTTTACTCCTAGAAATCATCATTGCATACATAGTGGTCGAGAACATATGTTTTCAACGGACATTAACAAAATAGTCAGTAATGCACAGTTCAATTCATAAGCAAAATTTTTTCTCTATTGATCTAAAAAAATAAACTAAAGGGACAATTCAGTGACTCTGCCTTGAGAAACAGCCATTGATAAAGTATAGTTTAATACCACATATGAATAATTCATATCATTATCTTAACTAGCTTCTCTGCTGTTTAATAAATTAAGATAAAAAAGCTTTGAATGGGATAAAACTGGCCATGGTGAACTCTGCCTTCCCAGAAAGATAAAACTGGCTAAAGTGATCTGTGCCTGCCTTCAGAGATGAAAATGGCCAAAGCATAAGAAATGAAACGCATCATACTGGATTCTACTTACTGAGATGAAACTGACCATGGATTATGCATTCCCCAAAAAATGAAACTGGACATAATGGTCTTTGCTCACAGCTTACCACATTCTTACCTATATAAACCTTTGTACAGAATGATATATTTTAGTACAGGGACAACATCAATGTGTTCATTCACTAAATTCAACAATACCATATACACAGCTAACAAATACAACACTGACCACTGTGACTCCACAATACAGGACGTATCCCATTACATGCTATGGACAGCTTTGTCTTTTAAACACTTTCTTAGGAATTCTATTGGTCATTGTTAGGCAGTACCGTTGCTCCATCAAGCCAATTTCCCTAGTGCTCCAACTTCGAGTCCCTCACAGGATGTACCCCTACTCAATCAAGCCGGTTCTCTTTGTGTTCCTTCTTGTGCTTCTGAGTCCAGTCATTGGCTGTAGTGGGAAAAAAGAAGTCAACTTTAACATGCATTGCATAATTTTCTTCATAAATACTATCAATTTTCGGTATATTCAAATCTGCATAAATTTGCATGTGTTTGTTGTTGTACATCTTTTCTGTTTGTGCAGACCCCCAATCTTTATGTAGATCTAGACCAAAAGCACTGAAGCATTCATTCCATATCATTTATGTTCACACCATATGATACAGGACTTATTGACAGAGGTATAATAATAAACCCACCTTGGCACTCCTTGCCACAGTAGTATCTGGCATTCTTCACTTTCATTTCTTTACACCTTTAAACAGAAAATAAGCGTGTAATGCCACTTGCTGCTACACAATATATCAACATCTTAAGAAAATATATTGAAATGCAATGTGCAATGCTGTTGAGAAATATTGTGATTAAATTATACAAAACAAAAAAACAAAAAACAAATGCTGTTCATTTAAGGAAAGCATGCTGAGATACAATGCAAACTACTGTTGAGACAAAATGTGGTGTTAATCTATATTCAACATACTTGAGACAAAATAGTGTTAATTTAAAGTAGACGTACTTGAGACATTTTTTGTAGGTTTTGGGACTAGGCTCCACCTTCTGACAGTTGGTGCACTTTCTGAGCTTCTTCGTGAGCTTGGCATGCTCAGCAGCCACCTGACTTTGTATACAGTCATGGAACACCTTCTTCAATTTTGTTGAAGATTCCTCCTCATCACCTCGGAGTCCTGCATTAACGACATCAATCAATGCTTCCCTTATGAGTGTGTCTGTTGAAGTTGTCCCATTGACATCTCCTGGAAATTCTTCCTTTGGTTTAAACTTGAAGTTACATAAAGCATCATTAATCTCCTGCCTGTCATGCTTACCTATCCTTAAGAACTCAGCATGCCTTCTCTCGTGTTTTCTGATTTCTGCAAGCTTCTCTTGACGTTTTATCTCAGCCACTTTCTGTGGTTTTTTACTTTCTTCAGCTCTCTCCCTTCTTCTCACTTCTGCAATTTTCTCTTCAGCTCTCTCCCTTCTTTTCTCTTCTGCATTTTTCTCTTCAACTCTCTCCAATCTTTGCACTTCTGCAATCTTTTCTTTTATCTTTTCTTCCTCTGACATAGTTGGAGTGCCTTCCTTTTTTTTACCATTTTCATTATCATTGAGTGGGTCACCTGAATTCTGGGGTGTGACATTCTCTACAGTGAACTTAAGAGGTGAACTTGTTGCAGTCCCATTGCTCTGATTCTGTACTGCTGTGAACTTGAACACTCCCTCCATTCTACCTTTCAATATTTGCTCCAGTGGATATTCTAAACTTGTAGGCATAGGTGAGAAAGGGGGCATTTTAGGTGTTGCAGGCTTCGGAGGAACAGCAGAATCAGAAAGCCTCTTACCAAGAGAAGATTTCTTTGGTTCTTTTTTTATTTCTTCTTCCCTCTTCCTTGCCCTTTCCTTTTTCTTTGCTTCCTCATTCATCTTTTCCTTTCTGGCTTCCTTAAGTTGTTGTTCCATAAGCTCAAAGCCATACTCCAGTTCTTCTGTGGTGACTGGGTCAGGACGAACATCCTTGTCATGCACAATCTCAGTGATTTCAATGTCACTGATCACTTTAGATGTCTGGGATTTCTTGGCAGAAGCAGTTGTTTCTTTAGCAGGTGTGGCCTTTGTCATAGTGGGTGTGTCCTTGGAGGGAGATGTTGAGGTCTTTGTCCCAATAGGTGTGTCCTTAGAGAGTGTATTTGTGGTCTTTATTGAAGAGATTGTGTCTGTAGAGGAAGTGGGTGTGGACATTGTTTCAGTGGGTGTATCCTTTGGTGGAGTTTGTGTTTTCTTCTCCATAGTGGGTGTGTCCTTGGAGGGAGTGGGTGTGGACTTTGTCTCAGAGGGTATGTCCTTGGAGGGAGTTGCTGCTGTTGTTACCTCAATGGGTGTGTCCTTGTAGGGAGTAGGTGTTGACCTTGTCTCAGTTGGTGTGTCCTTGCAGGGAGCGGGTGTGGTCTTTGTCTCAGAGGGTGTGTCCTTGAAGGGAGTGGGTGTGGTCTTTGTCACACTGGATTTGTCCTGGGAGGGAGTAGGCTTTGGTGATGTCTTGTGTTTGCTTTCACTGGACATTTTCCTACACATGGTGCAGTTACATGAGATGGGTTTGCTGAATCTGACCTTATCTATACATATACAATCAAATACATCTTTCCTACGTGTTCTACTGAATGACTGTAATGGAGGCTGCTTGTCTCTACCCTTGCCAGGGACATTCTCGGGGTCAACCCTTCTCAACCCAAGTTCTTTCAGTTCATGTTCTGGAAAGACAACAGTTTGAAGGTCAATACATATGTGCAACAATAATACAAACGAGTCAACATATTATCTCTGTCTCAAGGTCAGGAAGTAAACACATTGTCTCTGACTCAAGGTCAGGAAGTAAACACATTATCTCTGACTCAAGGTCAGGAAGTAAACACATTTTCTCTGACTCAAGGTCAGGAAGGCAACACACTGTCTCTGACTCAAAGTCAGGAAGGCAACACATTGTCTCTGACTCAAGGTCAAGAGGTCAACACATTATCTCTGACTCAAGGTCAGGAAGTCTACACATTATCTCTGACTCAAGGTCAGAAAGTTAACACATTGTCTCTGACTCAAGGTCAGGAAGTAAACACATTATCTCTGACTCAAGGTCAGGAAGGCAACACACTGTCTCTGACTCAAGGTCAAGAAGGCAACACATTGTCTCTGACTCAAGGTCAAGAGGTCAACACATTATCTCTGACTCAAGGTCAGGAAGTCTACACATTATCTCTGACTCAAGGTCAGGAAGTCGACACATTGTCTCTTACTCAAGGTCAGGAAGTCTACACATTATCTCTGACTCAAGGTCAGGAAGTCAACACATTATCTCTGACTCAAGGTCAGGAAGGCAACACATTGTCTCTGACTAAAGGTCAGGAAGGCAACACATTGTTTCTGACTCAAGGTCAGGAGGTCAACACATTATCTCTGACTCAAGGTCAGAAAGTTAACACATTATCTCTGACTCAAGGTCAGGAAGTCTACACATTATCTCTGACTCAAGGTCAGGAAGTCAACACATTATCTCTGACTCAAGGTCAAGAGGTCAACACATTATCTCTGAATCAATGTCTAGAAGTCAACACATTATCTCTGTCTCAAGGTCTGGGTAATTAATAGGCCAATCAGAATTTTGAAGTCAACAGTTAAAACAACATTTAGAATGGAATTCGAATTTTGATGATGCTTGAGCCTTTTGACACTCAGAACACATAGCTGTTTCAATTTTGTATAACTTCTTTCTCTCTTCAAGGATACCTTCTCCAGAAGGATATTAAGACACTAATAGATTGAATAACACCTTATATTCTGATAATTGAGATGTTCTCACCTCTGTCCTTGTTAACCATAAACAAAAGTTCGAAAGTCCTGGGGCTCAGAAGTATCTGATCCCACATTGGTGTCTTATTGATCTCCAAATCATACGGGTCCTGCAACACAAAGGAAATAACATTACACACATATACATATATGTATTGAATCATACAGAAATGTTGACATCACAAATACATCAGACTTTAAAATGAATAATGATGTCACAAATAAGTGATTTTGGACTTGTGAAGGAATGATGACACCACAAATTAGTGTTTTGGACTTAAAAAGGAATTATAACTTCAGCCATTTTACTGTTTGTCTAGGTATTAAAACAGAGCTGTCTTTACTGCTATTACTTACAGGTAAATCACAAAAAGATGGATCTTTAGACTTGGTTGTCTGGGGATAATTAGGGGTACCATATCCAACTTTATCATCCTGAAATGAAAATATGTTTTTATCTTCTTATACACAAAGGAAGATATCATCAGGAAGAAAATAGGTCAAAAATATTGAGACTCATTTCTTAACAAGAGGACTACAGGCCTTAAGGGCCACCGGAGTATAAAGACATATATATGAAAGAGGTAAAATAGGCCTAAAATAAATTGCTCAACTACAATACAGCTTATACAGAGGACATTGGTTGGTTCTGCAAACTCAAAACATATTCTTAATACCTGTATTTCACAAATACCATTACTCTGGACATATTGCATGTTAAAACAAGAGGCCCATGGGCCTTAACAGTCATCTGACATAAAATACATGATTTCAAATTTTGAACTTGAGAAGAAGTCGAAAATGTGTTTTCAAGATGGCAGCCCTGGTGGCCATGTTGGATTTTGGACCAACCGGAAATTAACAAATTTTGGTCAGGATCATGTCACAACGGACGACTCCGGACAAAAGGCGATTGCAATAGGTCGTCAGACCCTTCGATGAGATGACCTAAAACATGCTACAGGTCTAATATCAGTACCATGGACCTTGTGGTTATTGAGAAGATGTCATTTAAAGATTTTAACATATTTGACACCTTTGACCATGAAAGTAGGTCAAGGTAATTTATATTAACAAACTTGGCAGCCTTTTGTCCATTCATGCTACAGTCCCAATATCAGCACCTGGGCATTTAGGTTCTTGATTTAATCTTGATTTAAGATTTAAACATATTTGATCCCTGCAACCTTGAAAGTGGTTCCAGCCCTTCATGCCATCATACTACAGGCCTAATGTCAGCAGCCTGAGTCTTCAGGTTATTGAAAAAATGTCTTTTGAATGGAAAGTTTACGAATGGCGGATGGCGCACAATGGCGAACAAAACAAGATGGCTTTAGGTCATCCTGCCACTCTGGGTCAGATGACCTAAAAGAATACATTATTTTGCATATTTATAAACCACGAAGTGATTTACTCTTGTCTATACATAAAAAACTGAACTTCACTGATGACTGATCCTAAAATTATCTTATCTGCTCACTTAATTTGCATTTATAGGTGTTATTCACACGGAGAGTGATATTAGCAGGGGTGAAAAATGCTATTTTTGGAGCAGTAGCCTGCAGCTTAACTTTCATAAAAAATCTTCATGCTTAACCAATGATCAGGGTCAATTAAAATTGAAAAAGATGAAAATATTTCTGTCAGTCATAAATCCTGGATAAAGGACTGTTGGAATGGTACTCCTCGGTCTTCCATTATTTGTCACACCTACAAGTGTTTTGTTCCTTAATCTCATAATGTACTTACAATGCAATGTCCACTAATTCTTGTCAGCAACTTTTTGAAATTCATCTGCCCTTGATCACCCTGACAACAGTAATGTTTAAAAAAGAATGTAAATATCATTGACTTAAATAAATAACAGAATGAAAAAATAAATTCTCTACAAATAAAAATAGTATTTCTTTTTCTGAAAAACAACACAGGAATTATGATATTTTGTGTTGCATGCTACTGGCTTGTACTGTATAAAATTACCACATTTTTTCAAAATATATTACAATTTTAAATAAGAAAAGTTTTCGAAACCTTCATAACATAATCAAAAGTACTATTACCAGTAATTGTGAAAGTGACTATAAAAAATAACCTACTTTCATAATACACAGAAAAAAAAATGATATAAGTCCTAAATAAAGAAATTAATGACAAGACAACATTTACCTTAGCAACAGCAACATCAAGAGCCATTAAAACCTGTTCCTTATCCTTCATGCCCTGTGGCTGTACATAGACACACATTGGTCCTTCTGCTTTTTTGTCATTCCGGAAAACACTTGATCGCCCCTGAAATGCATCAAATTGCCATTCTTTATAGTTGAGAACATATCAAATCATATCATTGTAAAACAAAGCCTAGCACAAGTATAAGAAATTCCCCTGGATATAATCAGTCCATTCACTTTTCTCCTCAGACAACCTTTCCTCATTTCAACGAAAATCTCTTATTTGGTGTTCCTCCTTACTTTAACAATCTCTAGACAACCTTTCCTCATTTCAACGAAAATCTCTTATTTGGTGTTCCTCCTTACTTTAACAATCTCTACTCATAGTTCTGTATTCACCATTCCCTATACTAATATACCCCACTCATAATTCTTTGTCCTCCCCGGATATATTTCCTTATCTTAACATACCCTACTCATAGTTTTGCGTTCCTCTTTGGTGAGTCTTTCCTCAAATCTGAAGCCGTGCTGCAGGGTAATGATAATGCCATCCTCCCTTGGGATCTCTTCAGGATTTATGCTAGCTACCACGTCATTGTCATCCATGGTCCAGCCAGGACTAGGTCGCTTTTTCCTTTTACTAACATAGGTAAGCACTGTAAAATTAAGTTAAAAAGATGATCACAAAACTAATACAAATGTAGGGAGAGTTTATTCCCAAAACAATAGGGTACAAGATAAAGGTGTCCAAACTTTGAAACAAAATTTTGCATATTCATATTAAACTCTAGTAAAACAATTTCAAACATAAGACCAAGGTTTGCTTCAAACTTTGTTTCCATGTTTACAAAACTTATGGTTGTCCACATCAAAATAAAAACAACAAAGGTGATATGTACAGTAAACAACAGCAAAATGAGAAACTAGGAAACATCTTTTAGACAAGAACATTTATGCTCTTAAGCAAACTAATACTTTATTTGACAAATCTGTGGCCCTGAAAAGGAAACTAATCCATGGTATTCTCGTTTGCATAAAAAATTGACTCATATCCCTAAGAAATGAAGTTAAGTCACTGAATGGGCAGATGATTATCCAGTAAAGATGACCTTGGAACTCTGAAACATTTACATGTGGTACAGCCTTCCTTGACCCTATAAAATCTAATAGAAATTCCGAAAGAATTAAGTAGTTGAAATGATGACCTGGGGTCAGGACTGGACAAGGGTATAGCAAAAGTATACATATACTACAAGACAATATACAAATGCTGTTAAATGGCAAAGGCACATAATAAAACACCTACATTTAAACATGACTCGTTGCATGGCCATTTCATTCTTGCCATTAACCTTGATGGTGAAGTTGGTGTAATTGTTGGGACTGACATCTTTCTCTTCAATCTCATAGTTGATGACACAAGCACACCAGCCAACCCCTTCCCACCATTCCATCTTGTCTGGTAGGTTTTCTATCCTGCTTTTAATCAGTTCCACAGAAAGCCTATTGGTGGCGCTCTGATTTTCCTGTCCTTCAGCTTTATTTGCATCCTTCTTATAACCATAATCACCCTAATCAAACAAATACAGAGTTAACCTTTAAAAAAACTTTGGAATATAATACATATATGAACATGTTTCCATGACTACTTATACACTGTTACAATTACATTTATTCTGCTATCGGAAATGAGGTTGAAATGCACCGCCACCAGCTTGGAAAAAAAAAAAAAAAAAAAACATAACCACTTCCATAAAATTTAAATATATTGATACAGATTTGAACTTCAAAGCCTATCATTGACACATGTATGCTACAAAATTCAGGTTTTAACTCAAATACTTTGGGTGAATAAAAACTAACCTGTTTGTTAATTTCATTCTTTTTATCAAGTCCCTCTTTATTACCCATAATCTTGATTGTCTTTAATTTGATAAAAAAAAAAAACCCTCAAATAATATCTGAAAGAATGCCACTAACAAAACTGGTCCAAAGTTGAAAACTTCTTTGGACAAATTTTAACACAATCCAAGGGGGTTTGGCCTCTTTACATTAAACGATGAAGTGTTCCACAGGCTAAAAGATAAGTCTTGAATATACAAAGTGGGTGATAATTCTTCAACACATATAAGAAAAAGTCCCTAATATTAAAAAATGTACACAAGATAAGAACATTATGCTTACACTGACAGCAGATAAAAGTACTTACTGCATTAACTGAGATTGTAATTTCCTTGGCACCAGACCTTTCATCCTCAAGTTTGAACACCCTAAATCCACCTTCCTGATTTCCTTCAGAAAAGTTGTCATTTCCAAGGATCCCAGGTTTGACGTCATCAGAGCATTTGGCATCGAAACCAAACAGTTTGTCCTTTTTCTCTGCAATGTTGTGGAAGGTAGCTCCTGGACTTCCAGAATTAGTATCTGATTTATTGTCGGAGTCTGCTTGAACTATAGTAGTGTCTGTTCGCACTCTCAGGACTGGTGGCATGTCCTGTTGGGGATTTTTTCCTGTTATGTGATCAATAATCCTCTGGACCTCCACTTCCACTTCGTCCTTACGCTTTTCTTTTGCTATCTCTTGTTTATCTTTTTTCTTCCTTTTCTTTTTCTTCTTTTTGTCATTATCTCGTTTTTGGTTGACATTCGTTACATATCCATCATCTTTATCTACCAGAGACGAACAGTCTCTGCACCTTTCTTCATCAGTCCCATATTTAAATTTTGCAAAATGAACAAAGTCCCTAAAGTCCTCGGGAGAAAGCCGATCCCGCCAATCACTATCACGATCGGCTTTCTTATTGTATAAGGGATTATCAGGATCATTGAAACGAGGGTCACCCAACTTCCAGTAATCAAGAAATTTAGGTCCATCTTTCTGGCCACATATACGCTCCTTAAAGTAGCGTGTGCCACAGTCATCCAGACAGTTTGTACACATGAGAACTGGTGCTTTTGTTGTACATTCATCCGCTATTTGACGTTGAGTAGAGGGTGGAATCCAATAAGATTCATCCTCACAATCCTGTGATGGAGCATTCATCCATTTTTTTAAACAGCGACAAACCGACCCTCCAAATCGTAGATATATAGGGCTGAGAACATATACCTGTAACATACAAAATTTTTATTTGATTTCGTCATATTTCTTACCAGATATTCAAAAATGAGAGTTTCTGTTTATTCAGAACAAAACCAGTGTAAAAAAAAACAACAACATTATCTTACCTTGACATATGAATTCTTCTGGTCAGGGTTACCAAAAAAACGTCTGAATAGGTCTCTGTGGAAATGAGAAGGAGCATGCAACAATAAGTTAATATAATACCATAGAAATTATTGCTGCTATTTGTAATTGTAGTAGTGCTAATTGCAATGATTTATGGGAACTGTAATTACAACATTGCACATTTAGCTTATGTCAGTCTGTTAATTCTGTCAGCTTAATAAATAGCTGGACTTGGATTAAGCACATAAGCAACAAACACACTATATTCTTTAATTACCAGTAATATCATGCACTAAGCAAAATCTGGCAAAAAATTAAATGACAGTCTTTCTTCAAAAATTTTGTACTTTATTTTTCAAATATTTTTTTCAAACTATAAGAAAGAAAAAAAGAAAAAGAAAAAAAAAACAGAACATCCTCAACATACCTTGTATCTCTCGAATAGAATGGGTCTTTGGCTGTAAAATGAGGAAATGTGAAAAATACAGAAAGTGGAACATTCAAATCATAGCGATCAATTTTGAAGTGACATGATTGCAGTGAAATTGAGATTTTTTCTCTTCTTTTTCTCTCTAAATTCTGCATATCACAGGGAAAGTGTGGACAAAATTCAATGAGAAATTAAATAAAACACTCAGTACTTAAAGTTGACAACAATTTAATCGGTTTCATCATCCACATTGTAACTTTAACAGCAGGAAATGACTGTGCCTGTACTGAAGAATATTGTTTGTATTAAGCAACTGTCTTCCACGTGAAGAAGTGCTGAACAAAAACAGTCACTTGTAACATGTTCACTCAATTTTTGAAATCAGATTCAGTTTTCATCTTAATGTCCTTTTTACTAAACAACAAATTATCTTATTATAATTGATATTGATTTTACAAACTTACTGAATGATTTGGAGTCAAGATGGGGAAATTTATCATGATTTTGAGCAAGTCTTGCACATTCATCTATAAATCCCCGAGCCATTGCTTCTTTTCCTGTAAAATAAAATATTTTGTTGGTTAACTTTAATCAGAATTTACAATTAACATATTTTTCTATAAAGAATAACGTAATTCATCTAAAAAAATCAGTAAGATTCTCAATTTATACTCACATTAAGCAATTTCTCAATTCATAATTACATTAAGTAATTTTAGACAGAATTTAAGCAAATTATCCTTTGGAAATGAATTTACTACCTCTGAATTGAGTTAAGGTACTATCTAGACAGGAGATTCATAGACTTGCAGAGAATTATCCTGCATGTGACACATTGGTCTTTGCTACTTTAATAAATACATATCAAAATCTAATATTGACAATTAAAGTACTACAGTCATCCAGGATGAATGGTAAAACAGGTTATAAAGAAATTTACCAAAGCAATTCTGACTTATTTTCAACAACATACCATCTACAAACTGTTCATGTATGTGAATAAAAGCTTGGTCCAAAAAGTTTTCAAACTTTGGTGTGTCACACGACATCTGTTTGATGACTCCATGTTTGACTGTAAAACTGCGGAAGGTTATTGTAAACTTTGTCCAGAATGGTTTTCCCTGTAAAACCATACACAGGAATGTGATATAATACATTTATTAAGAACAAATCTAAAATTCAAAAGAGAGCTTTTTGGTGATGACTTTACAGAATTAAAACTGCAATTATCACCAGATTTATGACCATAGTTTTTAATACATTTTTTAACAAATAATGATAAGAACAAGAGGGCCATGGCCCTTAATGGTCATCTGACAACCGATGCATGGATGGACAAACCATAGAATTTAAAAATGGTGGTTTGACAAATCTGATGAATTCCCAAGATGACATTTCAGACCACACTTGATATAAATCCATTCAAGCATTAAGGAGGAGTACCGTTTTGAAGCAAAATCGTTGAAAAACTTTCCAATTTCTGACAAGTCCCTAGGGGTTGAATCAATTTGTTTAATCAAGGAATTATTTGCCAACCCCTACTGATGTTACTGACAAAATTTGAATGAAATCCATTCAAACATTATGGAAGAGTAGCATTTTGAAGCAAAACATTGTCTAATTTCCCCTCTTGGGGCCCTGCCCCAATGCCCCTAGGGGTAGAATCAAATTTCTGAATTTAAGAAATTATTCCTCACTTTCAATTATGTTTTAGACCAAATTTGCTTGAAATCCATTTAAGCATTAAGGAAGAGTAGCGTTTTGAAGGTAAGTATTGTCTAACTACCCTTTTGATGGCCAATCCCAGGTCCCTAGGACTCCAATCAAATTTCTGAACTTCAAAAATGATTTCTCCTTCCCCAAGGATGTTTCAGACCAAATTTGGTTGAAATCCATCCAGGCATTAAGCAGAAGCAGCGCTTTAAAGCAAAAGTTTATGGACAGCGAATGGCGGATGGCACACAACAATGGACGATGCACCAAAGAGATAGGTCACCTTGACCTAAAAACTTTTAAATCTTTCATTTGTTTCATAACAACACAATTTCATTCTTCCTTTGCATCTGCTCCTTTTAAGTTTCATGCATGCAGCAATATATAAAATTTGTTTACAAATAGTTACATAATGATGGTTTTATTAATATATGAATTCTCTTTTTCATCAATGAAGTATTCATTTCATTATTATATGTAATTGTAGTAATTCAAAAAAAACAATTTACACAATTACAGTCCCCTTCTGTTACACTGCCTAACCAAGGTGAACCCATACTTCCTGTAGGAAATTTCAATGACTAATAGTTTGTATGTAGGAGATAGAGTCTGGACCATTCTTTTTAGTTGATGGGGTTCAAAGGTAAAAAAAATAGGTCAGAGTTTCTACTTTTGATAGTAGGACACACTGCCTCATCAAGGTAAAGCCAAACGTCCGGTACAAAGTTCCAGTGACAAGTTGAGTCAAGACAAACTTTTTCTTTGATATTGGATCAAGGTTAAATTGTACGACGTTATACACCACCTCGCTAACGTGAACCCATACTCAAAGTATCAGGAAATATGAAGTTTCAGTGACCAGCAGTGTAGGAAAATAAATATTCCTGTTGAGAGTCTCAACAAGGAACCAAACCTGAGCAACAAAACTAGACCACATTTAACACTATCTGTATGTGTACAAGCTACACCAACTCACTATATTACATATCAAATATAACACATCTCTGCTTACAATGTGTCATACCCTGTATGATAACTATATCCCTAGTATGGTTAATTGGTTATTTCCACTCTTTCAGTATTTCTTGCATATATACATGTATACATAGTTTATCCGCACACATGTGTAATCTGTTTATAAGGAGGTTTCTCTCAAGTGGAGCATGATTTTTAACAGCCTAGGCTTATATCATTGATGTATGTATCGAACATACCTGTTCCTTCCACATGCATCTAAAAGCATCCTTATGCTTCTGAAAGAACATAAACTCTGCTGGGGAGACCTCCAAATCGAAGAATTCGATGTCGGTATCCGACAGTCGTATCTTCCTCATCTTCAACTTCGACAACTAGGTCTGAATCAAAGGGATAACAAAACAGGCGAGACAGAACCCTGAAACATAAAATAACACAGTATCAAATGTAAATAATGTATAATTATAGTAACGCTGAGAATTAAACTGTTTAGAATCCATATGAAGGACACATATGGCATTATATAATAAACTTATTGATAAGTACCCAAGACAAACAATTTTTTTATCCCATAAGACTTAAATAGCTGTCCTATTGTCTTACCCAGTTATGTACGTGGGAAGTGGGAGGGTGTGCATGGAGGAAGATGGCAAGGGCGGGTGATAGCGCTGTTAACAGTTCAATCACACTCACATCTTATTGAAGCTACCAATAGTAAATATTCTTTGAATGTGTGATATGATAAAAAGTGATTCTTTATCGTTAAGTGATACATGTAACCCCTATATTAATTGTTATTCCGTGTGAATATAGCGTCTTCTCGTCGCCATGCGCCCAGATATCTGTCAAATGTAATTTGATCATTAATAATATGTGGTAGTACCAAATATACTTACAATACGCTTGCTGTCTTTCTTTTCTTCACAAAAAAAATAATTATATGAATGTAATGTATACACATAGATATGTAAACAAAATACTATTTTGAACACACGGTAAGTTAGGGGAATTTCCAACACGTTTCCAACTCTGAGCCTCGTTTTAGAATAGTTCAAGGGTCATCTTGCGTGAACGACGTATGTTTCGACGTTCAGCAGCGACGGGAATTCTTTTTTATTTCCCCCTCTCAATATTGTTTCGTCCAATATTCTTTTGATATCAACAATCACAAGAAATTCCGGCTTATACCATGACAAAATTAACTAAAATACTATTCACTGAATAATGGTGGTAGAATGCTGACCCTTCCCGTTGAGGTCTAACTAGTACTGTTGACATTGGTATATTTATACTGTTAAAACGCTGCTGAATCAAATCTAAACATAAGGCGTGTTAGGAAAGCCACTTCTTTTTTTGTAAAAAAAATCCATATTACAGTTTTCTGTTGGCTAATAATTAACTTGGCAATTATGTAAAGAAATTGGTACAAGGTATAGAGGTTCTATAATGATCAAATTGTGAATACTTTGAATTCAAATAGTAAAAGTAAATTAGTGTCCCAATTTTTCGGGCAATATCCTTACAAACAATTACATTGAAATCGTTGCGATGGTCAATATGCTTAACAGTTAGGGTATGAATTATACGGTACCGGTTGGTCTGCTGTCAGTAGACCAACCGGTGTTAGTCAGCAGTGCGAGTAACTAATTTCATAATATGACTTTCCTTTCAAATACTTCTATTACCATATCTTGTATTTCTCGATGAAAAAAGAAATCTAGCTTCGCCCACTTGATAACGATTGGAGGAGTTAATAACAACACGCCACCTTGCGGCGTTTCTGTTGGAATATCCGTTTACCTTAGACTGGAATGTGGATCTGTGTCATTCAATGATGTAAACAAAAAACGGATATCTACATCAGAAAATATCCAATAAATTTGCACAATGTACATGCAAACAAGTAATGGACAACGCGCATTCATTATTTTTACAAAAAAAGTTATTCTTTCATATCAACATTTTCATGTAAGCCAATGCGGAATTATTATACGCTTTTCATGACCTGTATATACGTACTCTGTATTTCCTCCAGAATTAAGCTTCTAAGAACATAGTATCACAACACATGCATTAAGATATATATCAATTATATGCTAGTCAATCACAGTGAGACTATGATGTGAACGTCAGAGCATGTGATTCAAGCTCAGAGTAACAACGCCAGGCCCTTCTGATTACCTGACGATATACAGTCTATTTAGATGTTATGGTTGTAATGTTTCATTTACAATATGATGTCACCATTCCAGAAAAAAATAGTTTACATACTTCACATGGAACTCTTCAAGGTTTTTGCTTGGAGTAAGTGTAAGTGTTGACTTATTCAAAAATATAATGAAATCCGAAGTTTTTTTTTAATTTTAGTGATTAAAGCTGCTACTTTTTCCTTTCCCGATATCCTTGTGGAACTCCTGATTTTATAATTTCAGATGATGAGGAAATATTTCTGTATTGGACCTTTTTCACTTCCTGTATTTGATGCCTCTGATATCTAAAAAAAAAACCTGTCCATTGTGTCATACCAACAAAGTATTTTATTTTACATCAACAAAGTACGATAATCCAATATTTTCCTTTAAAAGTGTCCTAAACTAGGTCAGTCCGGAATGCTCTAAAAGTGACACCCGTACCACAGTTAGCGTCATGTTAGACATCATCTAATTGGCGAAACGATTTCGTTTTATAATTGTTTCGACGTCATTTATTTATGACGTCAAATATACCGTTGTCAAGCAACCCCGTCAACTTCCGCTTTTTCGCTACAGGCTGGGAAGTATCAATGTGAGAATTTCTTAACAGTGAATGTTGTGCTAGCCCATGAATTCTCAACGATGTCGTTTTGTCCATGTTTAAAGCCCGAAAAGAACTCATTTGAAGAGTTACTGGAAGTAACTGTGGGAGGATTTAGCACTCAAGAAGGAAGGTGTGAACTGATTGGATACAAATATTGTGACAGGATTGACAAAACTGATGTATCATTGAAGAAAGCTGTTCGGGATATCATTGCTTATTCTCGCAAGAACAATAGTAAGCCCGATCAAATTCAACTGTCATGGCTGGGTCTGCATCTCGCTCTTGGACTGTGTTACCAATACCAGTCTGATGATAAGGTTATGATCCGCAACATCTTAACGGAGATGTTGAAGTTTAGTCACGGTATAGATTTAGGTCTCTTTATGAGAGATCTGTTGCATTACGAGGATCCTACTATAACTAATGATGCAGTTGCCAAGTCAATGTACGTTGTAGGTCAATGTGCGGGGTTCAAGGTGACACTGACAAGGGAAAATCTAGGCGACAAAATCTTCATGGGGCCATCGCGGGTCGTTTACAAGGAACTTCTACAGAAAAACGTAGTGCATTACTTCGACCTGCCTACTGGACACCCTACCATGTCAATGTCGGCCAACCCACCTCCGGAGAACTTTGTCGGACAAACTTGTATGTACCAGGCATGTGATAACCTCAAACCGAAAGTCGTTTTAGTTCTGCTCCAGCATGGCGCTTCTCCAACAGGTCCTCCACTAGACAAGCTGCTAGAGATTCTCGGAAGTCACCAGTTGGTGGTTGGTGCACTAGGTGGTCCGCTTAAAATCTCAGCGCCCATCAACATCATACAGGAGTGTTTGCTCTACTGTCTGAGAGCGATACCACGACTGAACGTCAGTTTTGATGGCGAGACTGTGGCAGATCAACGGAGAAAGGACAAAGATATCTACTATTTAAAGAGGGAGGCGTGTGCATATATGCCAGACAATTGCTATAAGGATCCGTCTTTGCTCAAACACCTGGCCAGGTTTGTCATCAGAAAACGTCTTCACGACAATGACCGTCTGCCTTCCGGAATAGAGAAGCTTCCAAAAGTAACCAAAGAACTTATTAAGTACCTTAATCTTGTGTCATAATTCCGTTACATTATTGTAATCTAATGTAAACGCGACGCTACCCAATCTGATCACCCATTTCTCTCACCCTCTCTCTCTCTAAATATATCAATTATTTCGTGTTTAATTTAGTAAACAGTGACAAATATGTAACTGTTTTCATATTAAAACTGTATAGAAAATCGGACAAATTGTTTCGATTTAGTGTAGTACCATTCAATCATGTCACATTAAAATCTATAAAAAGTCCTCCATTTGAGTACTGTTCCGCTTAACACATGTGCTTCCATTTTAGCACCGTTCCCTCTTGAGGTCCGTTTCGTTCCGTGTTCCGTTAAATGCTTTAGAATATATATTTTATTTTTCTACGTGAATCGGCTTACATCTGTTTGCACTTGGCACAATAAATATTCTCAATATTGCGGTATCATTGTTCCGTGTCTTTACCTTTACTGTAAGTCAAATGTCATTGACTTATTTTGTAGCGGATGGATATGTCAGATTGTACTTTGATCGGAACATGAGAATAAGATATGTGTGGTTTAATTTTCATGTTTTTGGGTTTCGCTCCTTAAAAGCTGGAGCTAAAAGGGCAGTTATTCAATTGTGCATTATTTTGATTCATATCAACAGAAACACAATTTACACGTAATCTGACATTTCTGATAAAAATATGCAAACTTACATCATGGTTTCCATGATAACAACGATAAAAGTAAGTATTTAGTTTATAGCATGTTGAAAGTTCAAAGCATACTAGATCAAATGCGAATAAGGAGCCACAAAGAGCGTCATTATCTCCTGCAACGACCTGTTGCTGTGCACATACCAAACAAGCTGTTTCCACGATAACATGGATAAAAATGGGGTACACGATTTTTATTGTCACTTTGCCAGAACACTGACGTCTGTCGGTGAGACGATACTCGGACACGGGAGGTGTCATGGAGACGAAAAACTTGCCAGCTAACCAACCAATTTTTATTATTCAACAGCAAAGCTGATCTAATACGTTTTAACGTTCTGCAGAGAGTGATACAGCGGTTTTCGATGTGTGACCCGGAAGAGATGACAAACAGCAAATGTTGCGTTTCTGAAGATTTGTTTCCATGAAAAATGTCAAAATAAAAATTCGACAAAAGAAATAGTAAGGCCAGCTAGGGTTACCACAGTGATATGTATACGTTTTGTTCTATTGGTCGGTTTTCAAGTCATATCCCTGAAATCTTGTAAAGGCGTATCCGTCATTTGACAGACGGTATATACTTATTTAGCATGTACAGTGTATGCCTTATCAATAGTGTTTCAGATTGTGAGAAACAAATCAAGAAATGGACAAATATATTCTAATCAGGATAAGAAAAATAAACAACGGCAATACAATACTTTTAAGCATTGTTGCAACAGCTATACAATTTCCGCTTTGATTTGGACTTTAACAATCATGCTTGTAACGCCATTCGCCCTCTTTTTATAACAGAAAAGTCTAACAAAAAAAACGGAGTTGTTCCTTCAGAAAAAAACAGATATTTATTTATTTTAGCAGAAAATGTTCAAGAAGAGAGTACTATTTCCTCTACTTCTCGAGTACACTGATTTGATAGTGCCAACAATAATGTTTATATGATTTGTGTGAAGTTTCAGAGGAATCCAATGGAAACGAAGGAAGTCCTGTTTTGATCACTTATTGGCAATCTGAACGATTGTAATGACGAAGCAAGGCTATAGCACAAAGATTTAATAATAATGCAGAGAGGTTTCCATCGTTATCGGAGAAATCTTGTGATTTTGATAAAAAAAATAAAAATCATAAATAACGGGGAAATGCAATCATGTGATGTCTACTGACAAAGAATAAACTCTGTTGTTCCAGGCATGAAATTCCGAGCATATTTTACTCAGTATCGTAGTTGTCTTATAACAGTTTAGAAAAATACAACTATGATATTGAAAATGTTGCCCTCCTCCAACTCCAGCTCCAACTAAGTTTCTGGAATGCAAAAGAAGTATTTGAACGGTTATTATAAACAATGTTTTAAACATAGGATTTTAGTAATGCTCATATACTTGTACCAGTGCTCTCGTTATATTTTCATTTTAATATTTTGATAGAGAAAAGGATCTCTGAAGTACGAACATGACGATAATGGATAGAAATATAAGGAGAATATTCACAAGGATTTTAATGAACGAAATATAGAATAGATAGAAAACTTATAGAGATGGGAAATAATGAAATGTGTGGACACAGTATGCATGTGTTGTCACGGTTATCTAGACCAAGATATGTTGCGTTTGAAACAACGAATAACGGATGATAATGAAAATAAATGCTAAGTATTAAGAAGTCTTGTTGAATCTTGCTGAGCATCGAATCCATTTGGTTCATGTATCAATACATGATTCGTCCCAACGTAACCAACAGCTTTTGTCTGCATGGTTTATGGATAACATAATTTCCGGACACTTTTGTTTTTAATATTACATTGTCCAACACGATGAAATGTAGACGCTTGATATCAGTACGTGCAATAACGATCACTTGAAGCGTTTTGTCAACACAGAGTAGCCGGTGACTGGCATGTTTGTGACTTTTTCCAAATTTTAGGTAAGATTTTAACACGATTTATGGCTTTGTAAATCTTTTTCACTACGAAAATCCTTATAAATGAAAACATTATTGGAAGGAATATTTAATCATGGTCAAAAGTATATGTTTGTGATTTTGTAAAACAGCGAAAAAATTGATTGTAAACACATTGTTGAATGGATAGAGGAATCAGTTCTTTCATCAATAATAATATGAATATTGGCATGGAAATTTATTTTTCAGAATTCAGTATGTTCTTGACACGTTCCGAATATGACAGGGGAGTTAACACATTTTCCCCAGAAGGGCGACTCTTCCAGGTGGAATATGCTATAGAAGCCATAAAGGTATATTTATATGAAAATCTTTCATATTTTTTAACAGTTTACAGTACACAATCAGCTATAGACATTTTCATTGTCATATTTTGATGCTGTGGTTTCTTTAATATAAAGCAGATATATTATTGTAATGGGGTGAATTATATAGTTACATATAGCACCTGGTAAAAACCTGTAAATGTGCATGATTGTGTAACATTGCATATGAATATGGAGATGCATAAATATAAAAAATGTGAAATGCATATTTGTAATAGTGGCCGTTATCAAATAAGCAGCACGTCATTAAATACCTGTTTGATATGCAAGTTTCTGGGGTTCTGAAGTTAACAATGATTATGTAACCCTGGTAAATATATCACTTGGCTAGAGACACCTCTTTAGATCGATTGACCAAGGGTCACAAGTTTGAATCCTAGTGAAGGCATTGAAATAAATAATGACATCTGCTATATTGGCGTCCATGTACGAACTGGAGAATAAAACTTAACATTGTCCCACAGATATTGCTTTTACTCCTTTAAACTTGAGGACAAGTTATTTCCTGGAGGGGAGTATATAATCCTCATAAATGCAAGCCACAATCTACTGCTTGGCTAGAGAGAACTTCTCTTTAGCCTGACGGTTGAGTGTCAGACTGGTAAATCAGGGGTAGTGTGTTCAAAGTCTAGCAAAGGCATTGAAATAAATAATGACCTTGATTACAATTGCAATAGAATGGAATTTCTATAATACATCTATATTTTCATTATCTAATTATGTTAATAAGAAATAATAGATAAATGTCCTAACAAAGACCACTCTACTACATTCTTGATTTAATACAACTGTAAGTTTTATCACATTTATTTCAAATTGTTTAATATGCTGTATTTTAGCAATGACAATGCTGAACCCCACCAGATTAGTTACTAATTTTGATGTGTTATGATTTTAAATTTCTGTTTACAGTTGGGATCAACTGCTATTGGCATTCAAACAAGTGAAGGTGTTGTATTGGCCGTAGAGAAAAGAGTTACCTCCCCTTTAATTGAAACTTCCAGTATAGAAAAAGTGATGGAGGTAGACGATCATATAGGTACGTTTTTTGTAGTACAGGTGTTTTTTGTTGAAATAAGGAGTTGAGTCATCATTGAGATGTTTTTGTAGGTGTACATGTGTGTTACATTAATGTTATGCTGATGTTCCCACTTTTGATAATGCATGTACAATGTTAATTACATTCCAATTTTCTGATTGATACGAAAAACATCTATGCTACTGCGATGGCAGACTAGAATTAGATATACTATTTTAAGGTTCAATACTTCATGTATTTTGTTTAAAGTATCAGGCAATATAAAGCCAGTCATATTTTGTTATTGGATGGTATGGGAGCTGATATAGTACAATAGGGATTGTACCCTGATTTAAAGTGTACCTTAAGTGAAAATTAAAATCAATATTGTATTATTTATATGATCTAAAATAAAAAAAATGTTGAATACTGGATCAAAATCAGTCAGCCCAATAATGAGATAGTGAAGATTTTCACCTGTCCTTCTACTAATCAGTATAAGCGTAGCTTGCACTGAATTGAACTTTGTTTGCTGTGACATCACAAGTTCAAGGACTGGTATCAGCAGTAATGGAAGGAATAAGCGAAATCGTGAACATCCATGCTATGCAATGTCAGATTGCAGATAAAAATTCTGACAATATCATTACGTAGACGATATCCAGCCATATGGCACAGTGTGCATTTCAGATAAATCACAATATCATGCTTTGGGAATTTTAGTTTAACATATCACCAGATACTATCTGTTTTCCTTAGTAATTTCATTTATATCACCAGATACTATCTGTTTTCCTTAGTAATTTCATTTATATATGAAATGGTAGGTTGATTAGATGTTTATATAAAAGGTAGGTTTGTTCTTGTGTTGAAGGTTGTGCGATGAGTGGTTTAATTGCTGACTCCCGGACATTGATTGACAAAGCGAGAGTGGAGGCTCAGGTAAGTTTAAACTGTTTTATCCCCTCACCAGGAGGATGGGCAGTAGCTCAGTCACTACACTGTTGGATTCTGCAACCTCAGTTGAAGATCTAAAGTGTGTGGTTATCAAAAATTTCTACTTAGAGCAGTTGATGTTTCACTGTAAGCTGAGAAATGGGTTTCTGTGGTGTAGTGATTTCAAAAGTGTTCTTTGGGAAAGACTTTTAACCTAATAGCTTTGGATGGTATTAGAGATGGTATGTGGCAAGGCTGCTGTTCTGTTCATTGAGGAAGTCACCAGCTCTGTACTACAAGGAGACCCTGTCTCAAACCGTTAACAGAGTGATAAACACAGCAAACTAACAAGAAAAAGCTAAATCTAAGTACTCAAGTGATTTTTAACGCAATTGGATATTATAAAATGCCTTATTTACTTATATGAAAACAGAAATATAAAAAAAAGAGATGAAAATGCAAGATGTGGCTGAGCAACATAAATACTCCAACTGACAATGAGATGTTAGGAAATTTTTAGTCTTATTGGCTTTGTTGAAATATTATTTATGACTTATGACATAAAATTGAACTTCTGCCTGTTCAGAAATTAAAGTACAATGACAGACAAGGGTATCACTATATACTCCTGGCCATGAAATGGTGGGGTTAGATAAAGATTACAGAGTAGTAGATAGAAATTGCTCAGATTGTAGACAGCAGTTATAATTACGGTGTGTTATATACTATGTACCAGTCTGGTCTGTTAGAACCAGTGGCTATCATTTATATCTTGATACTTCAGAACCATTGGTTTACCTACAATGAGAAGATGTCTGTAGAAAGTGTGACTCAAGCTGTCAGTAACCTTGCTCTACAGTTTGGGGATGATGATGCTGACCCGGGAGCCATGGTGAGTGACTGATTCTACTGTTCTCTAAATATTTTTTTTATGGATCAACTCGATTAGGAGGATATTAGAATCAAAGATAAAAGTCATTAAAACAGTGTTTCAAAATGACCTGGACTATGCATTAATCAAAATTCTTTATGCATCACATTGAAGAGTATATTACTGTAAGATGTAACGTTGCTTTTTTTCAGAGTCGACCCTTTGGGGTGGCTTTGATGTTTGCCGGGATTGACCACAAGGGACCACAGTTGTAAGTCTATGGTTGATTTACACTTTCCTGACAGGAATTTACAGCAATTTTTTCTCTCTGAATTGAGAAAAGATTTAAATGTTAAATGGAGTAATTATTTGTAATAGCAAAGATACATGTATATGAATAATGAACAGGATGTTATATTTCTCTGAGCTGAGAGTAATGTTTGATCTGATTGGTTTATTTAGATAAGACAGGAAGATAATTATATACATTGTATATTTCACTAGATTCCACATGGATCCCTCTGGCACCTTTATACAGTATGATGCCAAGGCTATCGGATCTGGGTCGGAGGGTGCACAACAGGCCCTGCAAGATGTATACCACAAGGTGAACTATAACACAATATATCACTATTTAAACACATCATATATACTATATTATCATGCCCTGCAGGATGTATACCACAAGGTAAAATGTAACACAATGTATAACTAGTAAAACACATTGTTGATACTGTAACATCAGGCCCTGCAGAATGTATACCTTTCGAAGAACTATCTCACACGATATATCACTAGTAAAGCACATTTTACAAACTGTATTATCAGGCCCAGCAGAATGTACACCACAAAGTGAAATATAACACAATATATCGCTATTAAAAAACACATTTTACATATTATACTTAACACCATAGGACAAGTTCAAATGAAGCACTTCTTTTCAGTTCTGCTCTTCAGATCTTAACCCACAATAATTCTGTAGTGTCACTTGAAAGTTATAATGCTACCATCAAATATGGTAGATGCAAATTTAAAATTATTAAAACAATACTTCTCAGATCAACATGATATATGTGTTGTTTTTCCAGTCAATGACCCTAAAGGAGGCCTGTAAAAATGCACTGACCATCCTTAAACAGGTCATGGAGGAGAAACTCAACTCAACAAATGTGGAGGTTAGTAATGTACCAGGGTACAAATGTGGAGGTTAGTAATGTACCAGGGTACAAATGTGCAGGTTAGTAATGTAACCAGGTACAAAATTGGAGATAACTGCTGTACCAGGGTACAAATGTAGAGGTTAGTACTGTACCAGGGTACAAATGTGGAGGTTAGTAATGTTAGCAGGTACAAAATTGGAGATAACTGCTGTACCAGGGTACAAATGTAGAGGTTAGTACTGTACCAGGGTACAAATGTGGAGGTTAGTAATGTAACCAGGTACAAATGTGGAGATTAGTAATGTAACCAGGTACAAATGTGGAGGTTAGTAATGTAACCAGTGCAAAATTGGAGATAAGTGCTGTACCAGGGTACAAATGTGGAGGTTAGTAATGTAACCAGGCACAAATATGGGGGTTAGTAATGTAACCAGGTGCAAAATTGGAGATAAGTGCTGTACCAGGGTACAAATGTGGAGGTTAGTAATGTAACCAGGGTACAAATGTGGAGGTTAGTAATGTAACCAGGGTACAAATGTGGAGATAAGTGCTGTACCAGGGTACAAATGTGGAGTATAATAATGTAACCAGGTATAAATGTGAAGGTTAGTAATGTACTGGGGTACAAATGTGGAAGTATGTTCTGTACCTGGGTACAAATGAAGTAATTATATCCTGTAGTTGTACTCTTACAAGAAGGAGGAGCTAGTAATATTCTTTCTGTCAATCACTACCAATCCATATCCATTTCAATATACATTTTATAAGAAACCTTATCAGCATTGTGGGTCAAGGATGAATGTAATTGTTACCATAAGAAGTACCCTTAGTCTTGTCATTTTGTCGGTGGTAGTATTCCAGACAGATGTTGATTGTCAAATTTATAAGTTTATTGATTTAATTATCTGGGGAAAAGTTTGCTTCATCTAGAGATTCTCTAGCCAAAGGTCAATGTCACTGTTGTTACACTAGCAGTTTTAATTCTTTTTTCATTACTGGTAAAAATTGAGCTTTGATATACTTATGACAAAAAGGTATGGCATGTTTTATTATTATAATATTATTTTTTCTGAAAGTTTGACAGAGTACAAAATAAAAAATGTATTTCATCAATAACATGAATAACCTCAATGTCATTTTCCACTTTACAGATGGGGACTGTGACACCACAGAAGAAATTCCATATGTTTACTAAGGATGAGCTAGAAGATGTCATTAAGGAGATTTGATCGCTGTCCCGTCCTATATCATCATACAGTGCTTGTTCTCATCTTTTCATCGACACTTTTGCAAGTTCTCTGTTGGGGAGTCTCCTTTCTGTCACTGACAAATTTTCAGGATTGGTGATGTTTGTAACACAAAGTTTCCAGACGGGAACTTGTGTTTTATCAATAGTTTCTACAACAGATATAATACCTAGAGAGGATCACATTTTCATTATGAAGTGCCACAGAAAAAAAAAACTTGTTTACCATTAACTTTCTCTTAGTGAAAAACTCAAATCACATGGACAACACAAAGACAGAGTAATTTACAGTTGAAGGCACAAGATCTGGTTTCCTCTACCAGAATATAACACGAGCACTAAAGTACAAACTAAAACATCCATACAGGAAAATTCATAAATGTGAATTCATCATCTTTCTTTTGTGTTGTTCAAAAGAAAATAAAATATTGATTTATAATGAAACGGAAAGTGGTCTTTTTAATTCTAATCATCCTCTTCCAGTGCAGTACATGTACAGCACACATGCATTAGTACAGGCAGGGAATTAATATAACAAAGAGGTTTTTCTTTGGTTCAAATGTGGAGGTTTTACTTTAACCCTGAAACAAAATAAAAATGTTTGTTTGTGAAAGTCATGTAATGGACTATAATTTTCACTATCAATTTTATTTTGAACATCTCAATTTTATGCAATCCTTGAAAATATAATTCCTGGAAAATAACCCAGAATAAGTAGATATGGTCAGTCTTATCATCATTTTAATATTCTAGTCAATTAAAAGTCATCTGGACCCTAGTGCTCCACAATAAATCACCTCTATCTATGGTCCTTTTCTAATTAAGAAATATAGAAAGTACTAACCCCTATGCAAGCTTGAGTCCTGGGGACTGGATAATGTTTGATGGTTAAATGGAAAAGCCCTGTTTCCTTGATAATTTTGCATCATGAATGAGTACTATGCATGTAAACAATATTTTTGGGTACATCATCAAACAGTTCTACATAAACATGATGAGAAATATGTTTCTAATTTATAGGATGTCTCACTTTCACCACCATCATTTCCAGATTTCAAAATATGACTTTGTTGCAAGAGAGTATTTCTTGGTGCAGCATCTCCAAATGGTGGGCTATTCAAATCACTTTATATCTGTCTGTTGTATGCCCATCTGTAAACAATTCTTGTTATGGCTGTTCCTTCAGAAGTTCTAGATAGATCTTCTTTCATGTGTTTGTGGCAGTTAGTTCCTAGTTGTGCCAATTTAATTTTGGTGCTGATCAGAAAAAAAATGGCTGACAGATGGCCATCTTGGATTTTGACAATGAAAGTTTGTTATTGCTATTTCTTGGGTGTTGATGGATAGATCTTTCTCTAATTTCATTTGTAGGTTTCCCTTCTCCCATAGCTGTGCCAGTTTTATTTTGGTAGCAATCAGAAAAACTGAATGGCCAGCAGGTGATCATCTTTGTATTTTCAAACTTTACATAATTAAGATGAAAGAAGGGAAAAGATACAACTTTTAAAGAACAAAATCAAATGATGGCAGGTGCCAAGATACCTCTTGGATTTCTTGTGTGCATCACTGGCTTTTGTTCAAAATAACAAAATGCAAATCATACATGGCAACTAGTTGTTCATTAAACTATAATTAAAAACTTGTTGATATTAGTATGAGATATATATTGGTCAATCTTTCCTCCTGAACAATAGATATTCAACTTATTTTAGAGAGAACAATATGACATAGTGTACATAGTCTAAATGTATATAAGATCTTACATGAATTTATATTTAAGGTGATTCATGAAACAAGTTTCAAAAAACTAAAATGTTTGTCATAAAATGCATATCAAATGAAAACAGTTACGATCCTTTTTACCACGTAATTGATTATTCAGGCAAATATTGTAGAAAATGGACATTTGCATATCTGTATATCTTTGATCTCCATTGCGATGTCACAATGCCACATGTGAGTGTGTAATGACGTTTCATTATCTTAACTCAAAGTCTCAAAGGTTGTATTACATATGTGTACTACACAAAAATATGACATGGGGATATTCGCCACATAACAAGACAATCATGTGATGTGTTCTCTCCTGATCTCTATGCCAAATGGCTAGTACTACACAGAACCAAAAACTTCAGTTTATCATAAAAATTTTCTCTGAAGAAGTTTGACTGAAAGTGTGAGGAGGATTTCAGTTGTCAACATACAGTTGTTTAATGGTAAATTGTATTTAAACTGATATATTAATGTACTTGGAGTTGGTAAACACACATTTTTGATGGACATTTAGCATCAATTTTGGTAAAGGACAAGCTTTGCTGTTACTGGATCAATGACATGGATGCTGTAATTTGGACAAGCTAGTCAACACTTATTACAGTTAAATATAAAAGTAACACAAACTTACACAGAACTTTTTAATGTCTTCTTATCAATATCAACTCCTTGAGAATCATAAAGCCACAAGGTATTTCCTATAAAATCATTAATTTTTGTGGGTGACTCACTTTTTTTTTATTTTGCAAGTACTCTCATTCCACAACTTCATTCATCAATAAATCGTTTAAGTTATTTCAGCAGATTTAATGAGCTGTAATTACCCATGAAATCAAAGAGTCCACAAATAGTAATTTTTTAAGAATCCACAAAAATGCAGCCTCATGAAAACATAGGATTTTACAGTACCTGAATGATTCAGGTCCTTCCAAGGTTACAGGACATATATGACTGCATTGTACTGATAATGATAATTTGAGGTTCTTTTATACAGCTTTCCAACACCAACAAAGCCACAGTAGTGGTTCACAAATTATTATCAGTGGTTATCTGGTATTTTGGTAAAAGATATAATCCTCTTCAGCTCCCTGGGAAACACACATGAAGAATTGCCATTCCACTTGAACAGAGTGTACACAACATTTTCTGTATTTCATAAACACATACATGTACCCATTTACAGCAGAGATACCTGGAACAAGCAGAGGTCAATGTCTTGTCCAAAGGTTCAAATTAGTGGCTGTGCCCGGAGTCATAGTGACCTTTCACCTGCAACCCAGTGTCTTATCACTAGACCACCCTGTCTGTTACTACAGATTTAAGGCACCAGTTGTTTTATGTAATACTGTTCCCTATTTGTGATGTAGAATTACCTTGATAGATTGACCTGAAGCTTCAACTAGAATTTTCATTCAAAGTGAAAGTAGATATATAATGAAAAGATACCCAGGTAATACCTTCTCAAATGGAAAATTTATCACAGATACATATCAATGTTATATGTTTAATACCACAGGGACTTGGCAGGAATTCCTGACCCTACAGCAAGTACATATTTAATACAAGGACACATGGTGGACACCTTTGTGGTCAGTTCATGCAGACACTTCAATAGTTGATTCCTTATTAATGTTGTAAGATTAAATTTTTGTTGTAGTTGTTGTCATGTTCTCAGCACACAAAATCGATCTCTGAAAGTAAGAATAATAGTCAGTCTTATCATAAGAATAATTCTTTTCATCACAAATGGATAAAAAAAATTTAAGAAAATTGTTTTAAGTTTAAAACATAGTATAGGAAAAAAAAAACAAGAAATAACGCCACTATAACATGAATATCCTTGAATCTATAAATCAATCATTATAGTTGATTAGAAGTTGAACAATATATAGGACACAATTATTTCATGTACATCAACAATAGATATCACACTGGTCAAAATATACAGCATAAATCCAACAAAGCTGCAAGCTCTGTCATTGTAGTTAAGACATTGAATTATCCATGTGGTCAAGGTCATCTTTTTTAATTAAGTTGATAACTATCCTCCTCTGCAAGATTTACAAATGATGTACCGGTACAGCAATATTAGGTTCTGTCAACAACAATTATTTGTCCATGAAACCATCACTTGGTTTAGAGAGGCTGTTTGAAGTTTTGATGATAATCAAATGTGGATCAATGTAATATGTCTTAACAGAACAGCTCTTCACTCCAGCCAACAACAGAGTAATAAAATCTCTGATGATCTAGACAAGTTGATCACTTGGATTGTATTATTATCGTATCTCATGGCACATGACCTTGGACAAGGTCATTCATTTTAATTAACTCTCTAAAGTAGAAAGCTGCATCAGAGCGAAACAATGGCCATTAGTGCTATCAGTCTTTTAACCTGTTTATACCCTTAAACCTTGAAAAGTGACCATAGACCGACATTGTTGTAAGACCTGATGGATTTCTCCGAGAAACTTAAAGACAAGAAATAATGACTGTGTATCTAAAAGGTCTAAAATGTTTCCAACATATTTTACCGCAGTGAAAGAATATTACAGAAAAATCATATTTCAAGAAATCAGATTGTCCTTTATCAAAATCACTGGATCTATAGACTGTTTAAAGATGTAATTTTATTAGACTTTAAGTTAATAGTTGACAGACCAGTTAGTTTCAGAAGGACAAACAAAATCTTGTAATACTAGCAAAGTGCACCAGTACCTTGACACTAGCCAATCAGTACCTGTTTGTGAAGTCTGCATATGCTGAACAGAATCGGAGTCCATGTATTGGCTGTTTGCTGACCTCTGACCTGATAGCATCACAGTGTCCTAGTCCGACCTCAAGCCACAGAGAACTATATTAATAAAATATCTAATTTAACATGAATAAACAAATTTTACTTGTCAATGTTTTATACTTACATGATATACAAAGTTTTACCTATCAGGTTTTATACAATATTAAAAAAATATGTTATACGAAGTTTACCTGTCAGGTTTATATGATATACAAAGTTTACCTGTCAGGTTTTATACAATATAAAAAATATGTTATACGAAGTTAACCTGTCAAGTTTATATGATATACAAAGTTTACCTGTCAGGTTTATATGATATTTAAAGTTTACCTGTTAGGTTTCAGTAGTTGTGTGGACATAGACATTATGATTCTCACATAATCCAGGCCATCCTTGCCACCATCAAAAGCATATGGGTCCTCATATCTAAAAGATAAGGTGTACATCAGTATAACTATTCACTGAAATGTGGGAGGGAAGCATTGAACTCATTTTGATACAATTTGTATAAATCAAAAAGGTGCATTTGACAGAAAATTAATCTAATATGGTCCAGAGCTTTCAAAAAACAAAAAAAAAACACATTTTGTACATTTCAGTTTTATCATCAAGCTTTGGCCCATCTCTTTTTATTGGAACAATTGGCAAAAAAGTGGAACAGGTGCTACGTTAAACAGCTGCAAAAGTTTCCCTGTATATAGTAGCAAGGAGTTTCAGAAGTTGTTGTCTTATTTCTAATGAATAACAAGCATTATAACCTCAGTTAAAAACATTTCTGGATCACAAAACATAAACATCCCCTCTGTCAACAGCTCTTCTAGTCATGATGCCACTTACAGCAGTGTAATACATTTATAACACCAGAATTAGTGGTTTCAAACCTGACTCCTTGTTGAACTTTGACCTTATTGTCATTAATCATTTAACAGCTAAATAAGCCAGTCACCTGTACAATTGCATAAACTAAATAAAAGAATCAGTGAAAATTATGAATATATTCAGTGGAAACAACTTTATTGGAACCAACATTTTAACAAAGGGCAATAATTCTGTAATTAAGGAGTTGCAGGCCCTGGCTTTGGTACACAGCACATTGTCTTAGCATGACAAATGAAGAAACAAAATATCATTATCATAGATTACACACAATTAAGGTTATGCAATGAACATAAGATTTTGATAAAGGGTAATAACTCTATAATTAATGGGTTATGGCCCTGATTTTGATACACAGTTCATTGTCTTAGTACGCTAAATATATACATCAAATTTTATGATCCTTGCTTTACTGTGGACAAATTATGCTCCAGACACAGAAGGACAGATGGACAAAACACAACTTTATGCTCTCCCAAAAAATTTGGGGAGCAACTACTATAAACAGAACTCATCCATGTAAAAATCGTTACCTTTGTGGAAAAATGTAAAATAAATCAAACTCTGTTTTGTTTGATTGAGAAACAATTGTTCAATTGTATCATCTAGACAGACTTACCGGGTCAATTCAGTTTCCATTTCTTTGACCTCATCAGTGCAGATGTATGGAGGATTGGCAATAACAAGGTCAAACAGTCCATGTGACCTCAAAGTCGGCCCAGATTCTACACAATATAATCAATCCTCATCAACATCAACTATGTATTTCATATACAGAATGCTTATAAACGTAAAACACTGACTACGGTAGGATTTAAACGATAGGGGTCAAATATTCTATTAATCAACTTCATACAGTGGTAAGTGATTATTTTTTTTATACACTTTCCCAAAGAAAATATTGCAAGTTGTTGTGGTAAATTTTGTACATTCTACTAGCAATGTCCTATGGAATTCAAAAGTGTGACAAGGTTGATGACAACATCAAAAAGTGACATGGTTCTGCTATAAGAAGTGATGATGCAATCCTACTGTGAGGGGTGGTGTAAACGTATATATAATTTCTCTATAGGAAAAGATAAATTGCAAACTTGGGAAAGCACCTGTGAAGTGTTGTCGAACGGATCATCAATGATAGCAGTCTGCTAATGAGATGGAGGAGGTGGCAACAATGACAGTTCCTGATTACTTACATCAAGTGTCTGATCACTCACCTGGTCGAGAGTAGTCCATCAGTAAAGTGGTCAGTCTTGACTGTACACCTGTAAACTTAGCATTCTCCTTAGTCAAGCTACATGCCTCACTGCTTCTGTCTACAGCGACTACTTCTGTCTACAACACAAACAGACACACATCACTGCTTCTGTCTACATCATCTACTTCTGTCTACAACACAAACTGACACACATCACTGCTTCTGTCTACATCAAAAATCTTCACATCTTAACACTTCTGTCTACACTACTTCTGTCTACAACACAACACAGACACACATCACTGCTTCTGTCTACAGCGACTACTTCTGTCTACAACACAAACAGACACACATCACTACTTCTGTCTACAGCGACTACTTCTGTCTACAACACAGACACACATCATCTACTTCTGTCTACAACACAAACTGACACACATCATTGCTTCTGTCTATATCAACTACTTCTGTCTACAACACAAACTGACACACATCACTGCTTCTGTCTACATCAAAAATCTTCACATCTTAATGTTTCTGTCTACACTAACTACTTCGGCCTACAACACAGACACACATCACTGCTTCTGTAGACAGCAACTACTTCTGTCTACAACACAAACTGACACACATCACTGCTTCTGTCTACATCAAAAATCTTCACATCTTAATGTTTCTGTCTACAGTAACTACTTCGGCCTACAACACAGACATGTCTCACTGCTTCTGTAGACAGCAACTACAACTGTCTACAACACAAACAGACACACATCACTGCTTCTGTCTACAGCAACTACTTCTGTCTACAACACAAACAGACACACATCACTGCTTCTGTTTACATCAAAAATCTTCACATCTTATTGTTTCTGTCTACAGTAACTACTTCGGCCTACAACACAGACACATCTCACTGCTTCTATAGACAGCATCTACTTCTGTCTACAACACAAACAGACACACATCACTGCTTCTGTCTACAGCAACTACTTCTGTCTACAACACAAACAGACACACATCACTGCTTCTGTCTACATCAAAAATCTTCACATCTTATTGTTTCTGTCTACAGTAACTACTTCGGCCTACAACACAGACATGACTCACTACTTCTGTAGACATTAACTGCAACTGTCTACAACAAAAACATTCACACCTCAATTCTTCTGTCTACAGCAAATACACCTGTCTATGACACAAACATGTACACCTCACTGTTTCTGTCTACAGTAACTTCACCTCATGACTTCTGTCTACAGCAGCTATTTCTGTCTACAACACAGCCTCATCACATTGCTTCTGTCTGCAGCAACTATTTCTGTCTACAACACAGCCACATCACATTGCTTCTGTCTGCAGCATGCATGTATAACAATATCTAAAATCCCACTTTTAATGATATTACTGTTATTGGTACACCAGAGAATTATTAGAAGTAAATCTACAGCTGTGATATATTAGTCCAAAATATATGTCCAATATAATCATACCTGAGGTAGTTTATTAAGAAGATAAACAGAAATCGCCCCACTGCCACTGCCTAACTCAAGTATCCTTGTAGATTTGGAAATGGTCTGGTTTTCTTTAATATCATTATAAGCAAGCTGGGCAAGTTCCTGAGAAAAAAGTCAGAAATATTTCAATTTTGTATTCATGACAGAACAATTTCAATTCTTAATTTAATTATAATCACACTTGAAGAGTTTGAAAGTTTACATAAACTTTTTTTCTTTTATCAATAAGATCATTGTCAACAGTGGAAATAAAGATCTTAAACCAGTGTCAGGTTATAAGATAAATGTCTTACCTCAATATAGCTATACGATATTTGTCTTACCTCAATATAGTTATACGATAAATATCTCACCACTTTCTTGAGCTCTCAGCTGATGTCTTACCTCAGTTTCTGGTTATAAGATAAATATCTCACCACTTTCTTGAGCTCTCAGCTGATGTCTTACCTCAGTTTCTGATTATAAGATAAATGTTTCACCACTTTCTTGAGCTCTAAGCTGACGTCTTACCTCTGTTTCTGGTCTGGGGATGAACACTGGAGGTCTCATCTTAAGAGTAAGATCATGGAAGTCCCATTCCTCAATGATGTACTGCACTGGCATTCTGAATCCAAATATATCTATTGTTAGAGCAGTCAGAATACTGATAATAGAAATCAGAGGTATAGAGATAGGCAATCAGGGATACTGGGGTCAAAGCTACACAGACCAAAGGTCACAGGTACATAGACCAAAGGTCACAGTACATAGATCAAAGATCAAAGGTACAGAGGTCAGAAGTACATAAGCCATAGATCAGAGTAGAGAGGTCAGAGGTACATAGACCAAAGATCAGAGGTACAGAGGTAGCAGGTACAGAGAATGGAGATCAGGAGTACTGGGGTCAGAGGTACATAGACCAAAGGAATTGATGTCAGATGTACAGAGGTACAGAGGTCAGAGGTACTAAAGGCAGAGATACATTAAGATCAGGGGTTAAGATATCAGAGGTTAAGAGATCAGAGTTACAGTGATCAGTTGAACTGAGGTCAGAGCTACAGAGCAACAGATGTTTGAGGTATAGAGATCAGAGGTACTAAGATCAGAGGTACAGTAAGATCAGAAGTACTGAGATCAGAGGTACTGTGGTCAGGGCTACAGAAGTTCTGAGGTAAAAGGTTTATAGCAATAAAGGTCTTAGTTACTGGTTACTGCGGGTGAGAAGGGGAGTGATCACATATACCTATATTTACCATGCTATACTGTTTTACCAACCAAGCAGATCAGATATTTTGAAAAATGTGCATATGTCTTGCTCCCCATGACTGAAATGATGCAATGCATGCACAATGAACAAAGACAAAACAAAATGACAATGAATTGAATTAAAAATTTTTAAAAAATATAACCTAACTTCATTTATGTAGTATTTGTCTCTGAAATCAACTATTTAATGTATACTGCAATGTCTTCTTCATTTTGATGAGTGAAGTAAAATAACTAATTCCAGAATGAACCAGTAGTACTTTTATTCCTGTTTTACAACATATTAAACTAAATAAATATTTCGAAGTGCAATATGCAAACTGTCGCTTACATATTTGTAACCCTGGTAAATTCTACTCACAATATACTACTCAACCACAGAGACAGAGAACCTTTAGAGCTATCTGTGAGAGTCAGAAATCAAAGGTTCCATCCCCAGTTGAGGCATTTAAATAAATAATGACCTCTCTTACATTGACACCCATGTAAGGACTTGGAAATAATAATTTAAGTTAACTGTCTCAAGCATCATTTTTACCCCATGAAACTTTAGTTCTTCCCTGGAGGGTGTATGTAACCCTTGTACCATTAGCTGGCAATGTACCACCAGACTTCATCACATTTCTCTAAGATCAATTAGTTGAGCGTAAACTGAGTAAGTCAGAGTTACCAGGTTTTACCTCAACCAGAGGCATTTGAATAAATAATGACCTCTGTTACATATTATATGACCACATGAAGTGATGTGGCACATATCAATTTACCTTTTGTAACGCTTACTACACATGTCAGCAATCCTGGTTATCTGATTCTCATGAAGGACAAGATCTTCTGACACATCATGTATCTAGAAATTAGACCGACAAAATTGACAGAATTAGTTCACAAAACAATATGGGTTGTAAATATACCAGTGAAGAGTACTCAGTCAGAATTTCACAAGGAAAGTTACATACTTGTTATAAAGTAAAGGAGTTTACTTATAGTACATTAAGGGGAAGTAACTCACTTGACACTAAATTGATTACCTAATACACTGACTGTAGTACAAAAACAACAGGCAAGTTAATCCATAGTACAGCAAGGGAGGTAACTCTTTATATAGCAAAGGTAATGATACAGAAAGAGTGAGCAGCCTAAAAATATTATATAGATAAAGGATTACTTAATGTGCAACAAGGGGAGTAACTCATTATACAGCAAAGCCAAAAGAAAAGTCATCAAAAATTAAATAGGTGCTAACTAATACTAATAGCACAGCAAGGGGAAATAACTCATTATATAGCAAAAGGGTTTACCAATATAACAGCAAGGGCTGTAACTCATAATTCATCAAATAACAAATGGGTTTACTAAAAGTATGGCAAGGGACATAACTCAAATGGTAAAGGGGTTTACTAACAGTACAGCGAGGAAAGTGACAAATAATACACAAAAAGGATCAGCTAGTAGTACTGCACAAAAGCTAACCCATAGCACCATAGAAACTAATAAAAACAACACAGAAAAGTTGTATGAAAAGGTTATCTTAAAGCAAGGGAAGTAACTATTTAGATAGCTAAGGGGTTTCCAATAGTAAAGCAAAGGTGAGCAACTTATCAAGTGTTACATGGAAAAAGATTACTGAATAATTAGCAATAGGAATAATTAATTATACAGAAATAAGGTTATTATGTATTACACACATTTTGATGAACTGTACCTACCATTTTGTGCCCCAGGACATTAGCTATGATGAGCTGTACAGACTCCCTTGGTTCTGGTACATTTCCATCTTTTAGCCAGTTTGTCCACTTGTCCACCAAAGCACTAACTGATTGTGGGTGCACTGCATCACAGGACTGGTTATTGAGAGACCGTAGCCAAGGGGATGTAGAGCAACACCATCTCAATGAGAGCCGTGAGCAATGATAATTCAAGCTTCTTACGACAAACATCAGACTGCAAATACCAATAGAATGCATATAAAGAATAGCATTGAAATATATATTTATTTTCATAGATGGTAAGAACCTTTGGTTCAATATAAATATAAACTTTATTTATTGTACAACAATTGCGAAACAAGTTATGTCAACTTATAATGATCACTCTTGGTGGCACGGATGTAAGGGCGCGAGGGTTCTTATTGTGGGAGGACACCCAAGAGGTCTGGTAGGTGCCCCTTACCTTTTCATGTCCGTTCCGGGAATCAAACCCCAGTCCGTTCAATCTATATATATATATATATCATGTTTTCCGAAATGGTCCTTTATTTGAGCAATACCTCATTAAATTTAGGACTGATAGATATGTGTATCTCCTTTTCATTCTATCTTACCCCTCTTCTTGTTGTCAGTCATGCATACGAAAACACTATAATTTATTATGTATGGCGGTTACACAAATGTTCATCTAATAAATCATTATACACATTAATACTATTTCTTATGTATCAATAGCCAGGTATTTGAGCTCAATTCGCCTTCACTTTTAAAACAAATTATTTTCCTTTTATTAATGACTGTTAAATCGGGGTATTTTAGCTAATCTCTGCCTTACTCTTGAATTTGATATATTTTTGAACAACTTGAATATGACGTCCAATGAATAATAAACTTTATTTTACAACGAAAAACCAATATATACCATAAGCTTATATTAATCACCACTATCATATTGCAGTGCACGACAGGTCTTACATTAGACCGAATATTTCTGTCTCTACAATAATAATTAAATGTCAATATTTACATTCTTATTGTTTTAGAGACAGAACTTTTCGGTCTAGTCTTCTATCCGCGCATGTATGTACCTATTGGGCAATTGGCCTTTTCACGTTCGGTCTGGGAATCAATTAACCCTTGTCTCCAGGACTAAAGGCAGGTGCATGGCATACTTGATTACATATTCCGGCCATCCAACGTTAACGTTAACTATGGTATTAATTCCATACACAATTTGTTTACTTGCCACACGTGTTCGAATGCGCCTTAATATTTTGATCACACGTGCGCTTTCTTCTGTCTCTTTCTCTTAGTAAGATGTTTCAAACGTCTTATAGACGCGACTGTGAATTTTTTTCGGACTCAGTTTCGTACTTTTCTGCAGAAAGGGGAAGAGGTAAACAAAACAGCGTTAAGATAATATAACCAAGAAAGGCAAGTACACAAACTGATGACCAGTCAAACTGATGACCACAATAGTAGTAATTTTAACTCATGTTGTTGAACTACCTATTATGTACGATGTTGATGGAAACGAAAATACATAAACAAAGAATGAGTCATTTGTCTTAAAACAGCTGGCCACCTACCACTGTGAATTTATGGTAACTTTTAATTTGTGTGTGCGTGTGTTTTTAACTGTAGTCCTTAAATCTATTTTTTCATAATCCAATCTGATCAGACATAAAATATTTTTCTATAATTTCCTTTGGTGTATGGTAGTTACGGATTTTTGGGATCAAATATTTGAACTATTGACTCATGCTTTTCCTGTAGGAATCTTTTTGAAATTTTGAGAATTTACTGTATCTGTATGTAACCGGACTCATTGTAATCGTGGAAATAGTCTCTGGACTCACCAGAAAACAATCTACAAACATTACTGGCAGTTAAGGGCCTGTTTTATCTAGCCAATAGAGCCAGATATAGCGTTGTTTAATTGTCAGAGTTATTTATTTGCTATACAAGAATATAGAATTCAGAGGCCCGTGAGAACCTCAGGACATTGGATACTCAATCAGTTCAGGAATTAAAAGTCAATACTTTTAGCTAGGTCTTGTTCAGCAAATTAAAATTTGTCTGGTAATTATTAATTGACTTTTATTTGGATTATGTAACAGGAGTCATTTTTCCATCTCAATGCCTCCGCTAGGAATCGAAGCCGGGACACCTGGCTTACTAGTCTGATGCTCAACCAATCAAGCTAAAGAGAAGTTCTCTCTAGACTAGTGGTATATTGCGGCTAGCATTTTACCAGGGTTACATACTCCCCCTCCAGGAAATAACTCGTCCTCGAGTTTCCAGGGGTTACAGCGATGCTGGTGGGGCATGGCTAAGTACTATTCCCGGGTCCCTGCATGGGCGCCAATGTAACAGAGGTCATTTTTCCATCTCAATGCCTCCGCTAGGAACTGAACCCGGGGTCCCTGGCTTACTAGTCTGACGCTCAACCAATCGAGCTAAAGAGAAGTTCTCTCTAGGCGAGTGGTATATTGCGGCTAGCATTTTACCAGGGTTACAAAGAGAATTATCTAGACTGGTATAGACTTCATCACCAATATCAGTTTTGTGCCTCTGTCTCCTCTTATACTAGTTAAAATATATAGCTGAAAAGGGTCAGAATTTTTATGATTGTCAGTCATGTGGTATATAGTTGCTGCACCCCACACCTGCTGTTATCTTCTGTATCTTAATAAGGCCATGCAGTTAAATAACATTATTTTTTGTATATGGTAGAAAATTAAAGTAAATTTTACATGTGATTGTTTAATTGACAATGAAATATCTTGTTCTTGAGTCTACAGTATACTAGGAAGTTCTTAAGTGTTTATCACACAGCAGTTTCCTGTGTAAAGGACCATCCCACCAGTAATCATGGTATTAGCTTCCTGATAGTTATTTATTTAATTGATTACACTTGTATTATGTTTGTCATTATTGATGACAAGTATACCATTTAAAATAACATTACAAAACAACAAACTTGGCTAATTTGAAAGAGAAACAAATTATTATACCTTTGTCAATAAAGTGGTTATAGGGTCCCTCCTATGTGTTATTTTACATGTATATATACTAGAATGAGGTTGTGTTTTTAAGTCCTGACGCATTACACATTTCTGGACTTTTACTGCATTAATCTTCAAATATGGATATTGTGCATGTATGCTTAATTTTGCAGTCCAGGTATTTGTTCGAGACAAGCCATACATTTAATTTATTAGTCTGATCTGTTAAGAAATACAATTGTGTGTTATGAAAGTTTTAGATATATGAAACATGTATAACTATTCTATATATAGTAGTACAAATAATTCAAACTTTTAAAAGTAGTACTAATTGACTATTAAATGTAATAAAAGGGACAGAAACATATTCAAGTCTCTGATTATAGAAATATATAGTGAAAGTCATGTTAAAATTATCTAGATCTAATTGGTATCTTGTCATTAGCAACAAGAAAATACTAACATGTTCAAATTCAAATTTGAAGAATCTGGGGTGAAATATGAACAAAAAATAAAAAAGATTTACAAGAGACTCCTGAAAAAGTACATGGAGAATAAGACCACAAGTTCTAAAAGGGTAAGCAATTTATGCTTCATTTACATCAATCACTTTAAATCTGGGTCAATACACGTCAGTGAAGTCACACCCTTACATGACAACCAAAGGGTCTGATAACGAAACTACAGGACATGAATGAGCATCTAAAAACTGTGTGATGTAATTTTGTTTTACTTTTTTCCAGATTTTGACAGAGAAAGAGGTCCAAAGAGTACAAGACTGAAATTTAGACCATCTACACCATTTTGAACAGTGGTCTCACATCACTGTTGATCACTCAGTATGGTTTTCATGTGGGGCACAACAGTTCTTTTAACATTTGCTGTCTTCTTCAATGCTGTTGTAGTTCACTCCTACGATACAGGTATAGAACCAAACTAAAGATAATGCTAGCAGTGTTTTAATTGTCAAACTTATAGTATTATTAAATGTTACTACAGGTAAGCATCAATCAAAAAGTAAGGAAATGAAACGATAAATTGAAAAATACAAATATTTCTACATGAAAAATTATATGATTTTAGCTCTTCATTGTTTGAGAAAATATTGAAATGGATACTATCATATGTACATATACCATCAAAGAAGTTGATGATAGTGTGTACCTCCAGTAAGTTTTTTTTTATATCAAAGATGCTTGTGAATGTGAATAATATGTGACAATTAAACATGAAAAATAAATATAACTCTTTGAGCTTTAGTAATCATAATCAGAAAAACAAAATGACTGTCAGGTGGTCATCTTGAATTTTGTCATTGAGAAGTTGCACAGTATCACTCTTACCTGATGAGTACAAGATGGAGCTTTTTCAAATTTTATACAAAACTTCTCCTTTTTCCCTAATTGTGCCTTTTGATTTAGGGACTAACCAGAAAAACAAAATGGCCAGTAATTAAACATCCTAGATTTGGTGTTTCAAGATAATAATGGCTATTCCTACACACAAATTAAAATTTTATATAATTCAGAGCAAAACAGAGAGGGAAAGAAGGGAAAAGATCCAAATTTATAAAGATAAATCATTTATATATATATATATATATATAAGTAAATGTTACATATGATGTCATTTAAAGCATTATCACTAATATAAGAAGAATAACGTGGTGACTTAGGGTGATTTGTCATTGCTGAATTTGATATTGCTGTTAAAAATTGTATGGCGGTGGTAATATAATCATTAATATAACCATTAATATAACAGTGATATTGATGTTTTACCACAGCTGCTGTCTCAAAGTGGATTATTATCTGTGGCTATTTTTGTAACAGAGTTCATTATTTCAGTGTCTCAGCTAGGATTTGAACACGGGATCTCTGGCTTACTAGTCTGATGCTCAACTGATTGAGCTAAAGAGAAGCTCACCAGAGCCGAGCAGTGTATTGTTGCTAGTATTTCACTGCGGTAACATTTAGATTTGATGTTTATATATAAATCAGTTGGATAACATATGTGATCACAATGTCTCTTTCACAGTATTGATCTTTGTTTTCATATGTTAGCAATTTTATCACATGTTCTGATAAATTTCTATTATATCATATTGAAGTATTTCTTTAATTGCCATGAAAGGATTCAGTGTTAAGGATGGACACAGTTGGAAAAGGAGTATAAAGACATGCTGGGTATATATAGTCAGCACTTTTCCACTTCCATCTTGTTTTATAACTTACAACAAGAATTAACTACCGGTTTACTGGTGAAAACCTCATATTCTTTAAAGTGTTGGTTATGAACATGAGTGAGAAATCTGTACTGTAAATTCTACCTGTGATCACAGAGCCCATTCCTGATGTCAATCAGTCTCTATATGTACACTGTTCTATGTGTTGAGTTGAAAACCTGTACTATAAATTTTGCTTGTGATCATAGCACCCCACTGATGACAACCAGTCTATAAATGTACAATGTGTTGAGTTGTAAACCTGTATTATCAGTTTTGTCAGTGATCACAGCACGTCCCTGTTGAAAATCAGTCTATAAATGTACACTCTTCAATATGTTCAGTTGTAAACCTGTACTATAAGTTTTGCCCGCACAGCACACCCCTGGTGACAATCACGATACTATTACAGATGTAGACTGTTAGGTACAGTGTCCTGAGTTGACTGTTTTTAATCACAGTGCCCATCACTGGGTCCAGAGTCTGCAAGCTGTACAATAGAGGTCGGTCATTAAGAGAAACTCTGACTTTCACATGGAAAGGAATGAAATTAGATGCAGGTTGTAGACTCGATTTCAGAGATTCGGAGCATAATCAGATCTGTGTGGATATTGATGCTAAACTATCCTGCAGTTATGCTCCATTGTCGATAATTCAAACTACTCACTTGGAGAGCGTCAAACATGTAAGTACTTCCTGACAAAATTTGAAATAGAAATATGTACAAAGAAAGTTTGAAGTTAAGGATTGCAGATAATTTTTGCTCATGTTATAAGAATAAAATTTAAAGCAAATATTGAAAAGTGTTTTCCAAGTCATGGATGGGCTTATTACGGTGTATGTAAGTCCTAGCCCACAAATAAGCCCCTCCTTCATTTTTTCCAGATCATCAGTTTTTAAGATAAAAAGCCTAAAAGTTGTTCAGAAATACACCCTACCAAAACTGTAATACTATATTTTTATACAAGGGGGCTTATTTGAGGTTTCTGTAGCAGACTTGGGCTTATTATCAAATAAATATTATGTGTTGGCCCCATGGGACTTTTGTAAGCTAGGATCAATGCATTTAGTAAACTGAAGACAATCATTATCCATAATCTGTATGTAATTTACAATGTACTCCCATTGGTCCTAATGAAATATCTTTTGGTTTGTTTTAAGTATTTGGACTGTCAGACGAGGACTCAACGGTGGTGCTCTAACTTCAGACTCATTGTGATCTTCAAACCATCATTATATTCAAATTACAAGAATCATGTCACCATGAAATTCTACCTTGCTGATGAGAATGGAAAAGAGTTTAATCAAGTTGTACCATTGTACCCAGATTTTTACCGTAGGAACATATTTAATTCATATGCGGATGCATTCTGATGCATGATAAACCGAGCATGTTAACCTGTTATTGTACCTATTTATTTGAATTAGCTTGTCTTTTTTAGTATTACCCTGTAATTGCACCTTTGTAACCAGTTCACCTAGTTAAAAAGTTTTTTTTTTCAATATACATCAGTATACATGGATCTTAGAAATGTCCATACAATTTTTGTTTCCAATCCATATAGAACTGCTGAAAAATTATCTTATTGTGTTTTTTTCACCCCTGTTATAGCTTACCACAGAATTGCTTAAATGAAAAACTCTTTCAAGTAGTTCCATAAATCATGACAGGAAATGAGAACTTGATGAAAGGTGCTCTATGTGATAGAGTAGCTATATAGGTGTACATCCTTTCAGTTTCAAGTCTAACTTTATTGTTATTTTGTATGTTAAAATGCTCATTTATTTCATTTGTGCATGTACGTCATCATTGTTATTTCAACAAAAGTCATTGTTTTCTTGAAAAAAAAATCATTAATCTTAATGGAACATCCTTGTTTAACTGATGTTTGAGGTATGGATAACATGTTTTGTTTAGATTTTATCATGCAAAGATATGTTTCTTTTATTTTGAAATGTGTATAATTTACAAATTCAGATTTGCTGTGCCTTTCTGTTTCTTAGAAGTTTTGTCATTATCAAGTGAAAGGATTTTACTTTAAATTTACTTTATCAGTAAATAGCCAATATCTTTTTGTTAACTGATAAAATCTTTCATCCCTTTGAGGGGAAGATAGGGAGGTCTTAACCCAAGAAAAAAGATCATTAAGCTGATAAACACAAGGCTTGCCAAGTGTTTGCAGTTGAATACCTTATCTTTCTCCAAGGGTTGAGATCACCCAACAAGCACCTCGCCTACTAGGGGATGAAGGACTATTTATTTCTACTGGCCTTCGTGCATTGTCTCCATGCTTAGTATTATTTACGCCATTGTTTTTAAAGAGGAATCCTCCAACATCAACCCTAGGCTGAGACAAGGAATTCTCTGTTGGGACAATAAAAGCTACGTATATGTACCTTAGAAGCCCAGCTGGGTAAAACAAAAATAATCATTCACCCCCTTGTTGTTGAAATTAGGGGATATCAATCCTCGGGGAAGGATTATTAGTCCCCCACAGGGTCACGTGGACCTATGTTAAGGCCTTTGACCTACATTAAAGAACAGTTTGTCTGGGCGCTTTTTCCTACACTACTAGTCATTGGAACTTCATACTAGGGGTAGGGGTTTACTTTGGTGAGGCAATTGGTCATGCATTAGAAGTAGGTCACACAGACCTACAATTTTGCACTACGTTAAAGAATGAAGTTTTCTGGACTCTATCTTCTGTACTACTAGTTACTACCTGCTTAGGGTATGGGTCCACTTTGTTGAGGTAGTGTGTTGATGGGGAACTGCAATTTGTCGAGTTGTCTTTGTATACACATGGTAAGTCTTGTGTTAGCCAACTTGATAATCTCCCGCCCGTTTCCCTTTCCCCATCTCACCTCCAAGGGGATGGAAGGGTAAGGAACCATCTGTCCAGGGTAAAAGAGTGAGCTATCTTTTTAAGTCACATTTACTATAAGGTGTGCCATTTAAAGCTTGTAGATTGTAGATAAATTATATGATTGTAGCAATCAACTTAAGATTTTTTTAGAGTATGATTTTCTACACAATCGTCAAAGCTTTAATTTTGAGTCTAATTGTGGCGTTTGTCTTATTTTATTAAAGATGCTTTTTTACATGGAAATGTAAATACATTATGATATATCTGTTTATGGCCCTGACAACATATTATTGTTGATGGGTCACAAAAAGTAACTCATATATATGTATCTCCCTAAGATTATAAGATTTCTATTGGTGGAAAATCTGACCAATAGGTATTCTATGTGAACTGCACAACTTACCATACATGAATTATATCAGGGAACTATGATCGCAATCGTACCCAAATGATCTACTGGGTGTTGTTATCATTATTGGTTTTTGTTATTACTTTGTAACATTAAGTGGCTGCCAGTATTGTGTAAAAGTTTTGTTAAATTGATGTTGTTTGTTTCTTTTGATTTTTGTAAATATTTTGTATCATTAAAATTGCTACCAGTATGATTGTCTTGTTTTTATCATTTTAAGTTTATTTTAAATTTGATTACATTTTACTCCTAGAAATATTGCTGGTTTTCTTTTTGCTATAAGTTGTGTGAATTCAAGCATAAATTCAAATAATGACGGTAGATGTTGATCGTTTTTCTTTTTTTGTTTGCAGATGATGATGATGATGATGATTACTTTGTTGAAAATTCAGAATCGATTCAGGAAACGGCTACGTCTCTTGCTGTCACAGTTGGAATCATTATTGCTCTAATAATCGGTGGTATCATTGTCATTACGTTAATCATTTGTTGCTGCTGCTGTAAAGGTCGAAGAACCCAAGGTCATGTGTACCGACCAACTACTACAGTTACTACCACGACAACTGTTGTTAATCAACATCGACCTCCTCAATACCCAGTTCAAGCTCAGACTGGTTACCCAGGATACCAGGCCACCTCCCCACCTCCCCCTGCAGCACAGATGGCGCCTCCTCATCAAGGGACATCACCAGGGTATCCCCCACAGAACATGACATGCCCTCCTCAGAACCAGGGTCCTTTGCCAGAACCATCTGGTAGGTACTTAGGGGATATTTCAGTATATTTTTATCCCTTTGCCATTTACCGTCAATGTCAGTTCATCTCATTTTGAGTCTATGCTGTATGCTCAGAAACTCTGAACACAACTGGTTCATATTTACCCCATAGTAGCATTCATGTAATACACCTGATCAGATTCTCGTTTGCAACGGTTCAAGGGCAGTTATGTTTCATAGATGTTTTCTAATCTAAACATTCATAAGTTTGAAGTTTGTTCATGGTTAAGTGTTTAATTTGAATACTAATATATGTTTTTAAAAACAAACCAGGCGTTTTAAAAAATCATTAATACTGGTTCATCTGCAACATAGTATTTCTTATTCATACACAGTTGTGTTTCATATATTGTTCTTTGCTGTGGTATCTGTGATATTCAGTGGTATTTGCACATACTTAGAATGAGTGGAACATATCAAGAAGCATTTTTTTTTTGAGATATCAAAATATTTTTTGAAATTAAGAAAAGTGGGTATCACTGAAAAATACAAAAATTGTGTTATATGATGTTCAGAAGGCTGCTGCGAAAAAAAGATGTAAAGACTGCATACTGCAATGTACAGGTGTAGTAGGTATGTTTACAACTGAAGTATGATGTCACATGTACTGCACTCTTATCATGATGTCATATAACATGTAGACTGTAAGAGTATAGTTATTTAAGGGCTCACTGGGTAGTGTGGAGTCATATACTTGTTTATAGTAAACAGCGACCTCTCACAGAGATAACTAAAGGATTTTCTTACTCTGGTTAGGTTACAAATGTAATTTGATGCATATTGATGAGGAGGGGATTTCAGTTGCTTATGTATTGATGTAAACACATTGAGTGAATTTTCACTATATTGATAAACCAGGTGTATAAATTATTTTTTTCTCGATATCTGAGTGATTATTATGTACCTTGGGACTTTAAAAGGAGTAATATTTGAGTTATCAGATATTGCTTGTTTGTTATTGTAAGAAATGGAATAACCTTGGTTCACATGATTGTTACATCATAGTAAAGATTGATATTTGGGCCCTTTGCCCTTAAAAAAATGTCTTATATGCTGGTTCTTTTATATTTCAGCTCCACCTGCTCCTTCTGCCCCTTTCATGCAAGATATGCCATACTACCCCCCACCACAGGACCAGGCGTACCCTCCACCCCCAGGCCAGCCTTACCCCCCTCAGCCATATGGAGGAATGGTACAACCGCCCCCATACTCCGAGAAGTGATTCTTGATCTGGAGAACTTCCAACAGGGTTTTAACCACTAAGGGAATGAGGAACGAGCTGTAGATAAGATACCCTGATTTTTGAGAAAAAATTTAACTTCAAAGTTATTTTTGAGTATCATTTCACTTTAATTTGGGAGGAATATCATTGTTGAAAATGCTTATCTATTCAAAAATTAAAAAAAATAAATAATTGCAAGATAGTTTAATCTTGCCTTTCCATATTGTATTTTAAATATTGATAGTAGGTTTATTAATAAACATCCAAGGTTTTGACCTATGAAACGCTTTCCAAGCCATGATTTTAAATAATCTCAAATGATACAAGTTTGATATTTTCATAGAAGTCAGGGTCTTAAAATGTATCTGTGATTTTTCTGTGTAATGAACTGAATGCAATTAAAGAGAGAGATTATCCTAACATGATACCAGATGATATTTCATCATGTATGTTATTAATTGTTCATAATGCATTGTGTAAACTTATAGTCATCAATTTAGTCTAGTAAATTGTATTAATCCTATTAATGATTAAAATCACGACCAACATCGAACCTTTACAATTATGTACATAACTTTTAGCATATAATATGAATAGGACATTACTGTTGATGGATTCTTGATGGAATCATGATCAATATTTCTTAGCTGTGTTTTATTATATCCTTGGTGGTTTTATCAAAATTTAAATCTAGCAGTATCATACACTTAGTGAATTCTTTGTTATTAGCAACTGTTATGAAAATCAGTGTTTAAAATGGCTGTCTATGTTAGATATATATCTGACGAACTTGAATTCTAATTTAAATAATTTATATTTGATGTAAATACAAACCATTTTTCCATTTGTTTCACTACTACTGAGTAGAAATCATTTAGAAAAAATAATTTTCACATATCTTGTTCACGTTTTTTATGAAATACAAATTGTACTTTTTTCGGGCAGTTATTACACTGATTTGCTTTGTAAGCAATGTATATCATGTACTAAGAAAGGTGTTGATATATTGTCATGATAACACTGAAGGATTTAGATAACACATTTGTAAATCTGACTAGAGTATTGAGGGTTCTGTTCTGCTAAATCCTGAGGCAGTTTGAAGTTTAGCAATTGTTTATGATATATGATATATATACATGTACAGAATGACTTGAAGAAGACAAACCTGAATTATCATGAAAGTTGTTACAGCCCTGTTGTGTAGCTTTCTGTAGAGGTCCTACAGATTCTAGTATATTTTCAATTGAGTGATTCTTCATTTGTATTTTTAAAAAAATTTATTAAAATTATACATGCAAAAGGCATGTCTAAGGGATGTTACGCTGAACTTTGTTTTTAGATTTACAAAGTAAAGTAAATTTGACGGTTGTTTGAAATTTTTTACAAAGAAAAATAAATATTGATCTGTAATTATATAACTACATTAATATATTTTAGAAAGTTATTTTTTTTCGAAGGATAGTTGTTATTGTTACAAATATGCCAAAACATATAACTTAGTTTGACATGTTACAGTAAGAATGTTGTGTGAAACATATATATGTTCATACAGATACAGTCTTTTTATGATAATTCACATTCTATAACTGAAGTATTCGTTAATTTGTGCTTAGGGCTATTCCATTAAAACATATATCCTATATTGGAACTGCAGTTTTGTTCCGGGGTACTATCCACAGACTTTAATTGATAACTATAATTTGTTTTAAAGTAATGAGTCGTGGTAGATGTTTTACTGGAATAGCCCTTATGATGTATTGAAGGAGGATTAAACAATCATTACTGTAAAAACATTAATTTTCGTGGGTGATTAATTTTCGTGGAATTTAAGGGTTTTCTTAATCCACAAATATATATGTCCATCAAATGATAAACAGATAAAAATTGAAATGGATTTAGCTTTAGTAAATTCTGTAATGAACATTAATCCGTGAAATCATGAGCCCACAAAAAGTATTTATTTTTGGAAAAAACCACGAAATTTTTAGCCCTACAAAAATACAACACACAGGTAACATTTTTAGGGTTAATTAATGATTTGTTATGTGAGTATTGAAAAACAAAGAAATTAAGTAGAAGGGGGAGGGGTGTCAATATGAGTCGTTATGAACAAAAAATTGTTAAAAAAAATGTACAAGTGGTTATACTACTAATGATATATAGTGTTGCAGACAGGGAATTGTCTGAAGTTCCTTACGTACAAAAATTTGTACGAACTGAGTTCATTGTAATCAAGTTTTACTCTAACCATTAGATAGCATGCTAAGAAGCTTACATATTCTAAGGATAACATGTTTTACTATTATGGGCATCTAACACTTTATCTACTGTACAATCAAGGAGTTACACATTTATGTTAAAGTATACCTAACAAAGAAAAGTAACTTGCCTCTATGTGTTTACTTTTATAAGCCTGAGTCACAGAATCCTCATACAAATGGAGGGTAGAATGAGAACGCAATGTGTCTAAGCCTACAACGAGGTTGTGCATCCAGGTAGAGAGGTTATGTGAGTGATCTGGCCCCACTGGTATAAAACATATCAACTTGAGATTTCCTCAAGTCGAGATTTTCCTCAGCTGATATCTCTTCAAAATGGCTTGTATAAAATTTTCTCAAGGAACAGGAGGAAGGCATCGGCTAGGATGTCCTGAAATTCCTTGAGGAATTTTCATACAAGATATTTTCAAGGAGATATTAGCTGAGGAAAATCTAGGCTTGAGGAAATCTCAAGTTGAGATGTTTTATACAAGTGGGGCCTGGAACCTTAAAATATTCTGTATTGGAGGTATATACATATATAGATATAACATGTAATATTGTTGCTATAATATCCACTTACATTTAAAATGTATTTTTTATATAATACATACCTTATATTACACATATAAATTTATATGCTTGGAAGAAACAGCTGGAATATAAATCTTCTAATTTGGAGTACATGTTGAGTATTTTATAGATTTTATCAGTAATTACCATTCTTTGGGAAATTTGATAGTCATTTTTAAAGTATTGAAAAATTTTGGGTAGTTATTCATATCACAACATTCATACATGGAAATCTAGTTTAAGAATTATTTTGAAAGATGTGTATATACCTGATTTACGTCCTGAATTGGGATTCTGTGTCACTGTTGTAGAGTAACATTCTGGGTTTAGCTCTCGTTAGTATTGGGTAAGGTGATACAGTGACTGGACCACTGCTATTTTATGCCACAAAATGTTGCCAATTTTGATAAATGATAATGTTATTGTCAACAATACAAATTTTATGATATTACTTTCAATGTATGCTTTAAAAGATTAATTTATTTTAACCCTTATTTTAGATCTCAAAATCAGCTCATTACCTGTTAGCATAATGTCTTATTTTCTGTTTTGTCAGATACACAAAATTACAACACAGTATTATATCACTGCTAGACTTTTAAGTTTCTTTTGTGTCTTTTGTTGAAGATCTGCCATGTTAAAACGATGGTCAACATACCAATTTATCACTGTTTTGATACTGACAAAAGTGTTTGTCTCATTTTCTTATTAGATTTGTGTTGATTTTACTTGATTGATATAACCGGTGTGAAAATCAGTTTGATGTCACAGAAATCACAACAATATTTCTTGGACTGTATCATTACTACAGATTCAGTTAATTTTTTTTTTTTTTAATATATTTTATTTTTTTTACTCTCCTTTTATAGCTCACTGTATATATATTCTAATCTTTGCTTAATTGATTGTGTCTTATGTATTATTTTTATTGTTTAGATTTTTCAATAAATAAACATTAAATGTTTGTTTGTTAGAATCGTGTCTAGCCATTTCATTACACATGGACTTATTTGCTTATCTTTTTGGTTATAAACATTTCTAGGAGTCAAACTTGTATTAGATTTTGTGGATAGGAAAATTATTAAAATGAAGACAAATAAATGTATAGAAACTAGAAAATCTATTTATGATAATGTGATATGAGCAGGATATGAAATCTGTTCTTATTGAGAGAAAATGATATACCTGTTTTGTCTGACAAGGTATACGGATACCTGTTTTGTCTGACAAGGTATAAACATACCTGTTTTATCTGACAAGGTATAGATATACCTGTGTTGTCTGACAAGGTATATAATCGTATTTAAATACTCTGTGTTACTTCTTTTACTACAAATTTAAATTAGTACATTGTAAATGAAATTAATAACATGTTTAGGTGTTAATAATGGTATAGACACATGTTATGTTTTGATGTGCAATATTAGAATACACTGTTATATTTCATTGTACTTTCACTATTGTCTTTACTATAAAGTCTTGTTTATTTTACCTGTCCATTTCTTCAATCAAGTTTTATTATTTTACTAGTAAGTGTGTATTTGTGCATGTTGCTTTTATGAGCTTTCATTTTTTAATTGCCTTTAAACTTTTCTTGCTGTCTGTCCTTATTTATACGAGTTATCTCCCTGTAACTTGGTTATTTCCCCTCTCTAGAAACTTATAAATATCTAGATTTGGAAAAACTCAGATGACACTCTTCTTTTTCTCTTTTAAATAACAAAATAAGAATTTCCCATATCTGACCATATACTAAATAGTTCTTATCTTACAAATATGCTTTCAGCTTGGTAATCTTTTTGAATTCTTCGTAAAGATGACAACGTTATTTAATTATTCTACTCTACATGTGTGTAGTGTTATTTTATATGTTATACTTCCGGAATGGAAGTGGGAGAGGGTTGAGGTCACAAGAAAGTGCCTGTATCAGAGTAAGATTACAAAGTCAAGGGTATTATTGTCCAAAACTGACTTGTGGTTGGTTTCAGACCTGTACACTTATACCTATGTACATATACATGTGTATGAATTGTCTCAATCCTTATATAATCGAGTTGAAAACTACAGTGAGGGCACTACAGTTTTATGCAGACTATTTTGATAATCAATCCATTTTTTTATAATGATCATATTTTGAATTGAAAAGAAAGCATGAAAAGGTTTTCTGATGTGTTAAAAGAACCGATTTTACGGAGGTTCGTTTTAGAAGTGTGGTTTGTTGTTGTTCAACACAGAAAGTGTTACATAATCCATGTAGTTTTCCAGAGGGTGAATAACTCAATCAAAATGACTGTTAGACTTTTTTTTTAATCACATGTTATACTCAGTATTGCAAAACCTGTACATAGATTACATGTAGGTCAATAAAATATTTTGACGAAAACTATGACATCTGGTTACCAGTCTTTTTGTTTATAAGGATAACACGCCTTGCGTACCCGACAAATTGGTGGTAGGGGCTTGAAGTTGGTTACCAGTTCCTAGTTCCTTTTAAGAAAAACGGAAGTGGGAGCCATATCCTTGTTCCGCTAAAGAAAAACGTATATGTTGACAAAACGAAAAGTCCAATTCAGGACATGAATCGAACCCACAACCTTTCAGGTAGAAATTAAGAGTACAATAGCTTATATGAAGGAATTGTACTTCATACTCTCATGGATGGGGGTCGTACACTAGTTACCTCCCTTTAAGCACATGCTTCTTATTGCTTATTGCGGGTTGATTGGGTGGTACTATCTTTTTGAATAGTGTTAGTTTCTTAAGTGTCGTCAAGGACATGTATACCGTACACTGCCCTTCATAATACATACACGCGTTATTTTGACCTGTTTGTACATAAGCGCATTGATAAGACTATTTCACACGCTGGGACACTAGATGTTGCTCTATCACGATTTGGTGTTATTTTTAATCAATATCAATGAATTTGTTTCGTTATATACGTCTATAAGATGATGATAGGTGATATGACTATGCCCTACTTTAAAAACTTATCTAATAGATAGTTATTTCAATTTGAAGAGTTCAAATCAGTTGATCAATTGAGAAAAAAGTACATTCAAATTATGTCGGTATCACAACACTCTTCGCTAATTAATTTTAATTAATTTCATTAGTACAGATTTTGTGTTAGTGTTGACACTGATAACGATATAAAGATGATTTAAATATAACTTATTAAGTGTTTACGTGTTAAACGGAAAACAGTCAATTACTTCGTCACATTCCCAACAGGACGAACCGATTTCGTAACAGGAGATACCGAGCATGTCTTTTTTGTCTTTACTTTTTTTTTTTTTTTTTTAGAAAATCTATTACCAACAAAAAGGTTGATAAATTGGATGTTTAAGCAACAGATGTTTTGCACCTCTAGACTAAACTGCAGCCTTAGGGAAACGACTACGGAAGCCCAGTATTGTTATTGGGAGTCAGACAAGGTTTATTACAGATGAAAATCAGTTACGAATTAATTTCTTAAAGGAGGACACAGCACACTGCTCTTCTGTCGATTCACTGTATTACTATATATATATTCAATTCAGCTAGAAACATGTCGTTAAACTGGTAATATGTTATCCATGTCACAGACATATCGTACGATCAATAAACTAGTAATATTGTCCGAAAGGATGCGATTTTCGTCTTGTAATCTAGACTTGGGCGTTCGTTCATTCGTTCGTTCGTTCATTCATTCATTCATTCATTCATTCATTCATTCTTTTCCGGTGTTTTACAACACTTGTAAATATGTAAGGGATGAACTGTTTGGGAAAGTTAAAAAAATACAATTGAAATAGAAAGTTTGGTATGACACGATTTGAAAAAAGTTTTCCATTTGCAATGTTTTCTTTGAATTATGAAGTATGTGTTCATATGAACACATAGTTTGAGATAATTCTAACTCTGATATATTTTTACGTGTAATGTCATTTTTATTGTGTAGTTTTGATATTGTAAGCGCTGTGTAGTGGGAATGCATCGTACACTCAATATCCTCATGGCAGTTAACAGCTGCCGTACTATTTTGAAAACCTTAGGGTTCGGTGTTCTGGTGAACTAGCAAAAACATAACATCCTCGATCAATTCAACAGCTGCACAGTTTTTAGAAACGCAAATATGGAATCATACTTCCATTCGAGTAAAGCTGTCCAATATAATCAAGATCTGTATGTTAAAAGTGGCGCCAAATGGCAATGCATTGACAGCTTGAAAACACGTTTAAACCATGGCACATTGACGTTGTCCCTTGTTAGCGAATATCTCAATCCTTCCTGAACTTTTGATGTGTCAATCCCGTGTTGACGTATTGATGTGTCAATCCCGTGTTGACGTATTGATGTGTCAATCCCGTGTTGACGTATTAAGGTGTTATATCTTTATCTATGTACAACATTGTATTAACGCGACATATCTCTATGAGAATTAATGTTTTAAACCTATCTGGGCGTGCTGATAAGTCAAGATTTTTTCTAATTATTTGATGTGTCAATTTGTCAGCATTTAAGGATCCATTTCTCTATATACGTATTGATGTGTCAATCCCTTGTGTGCCTATTGATGTGTCAATCACTTATGTATGTATTGATGTGTCAATCACTCATGTATGTATTGATGTGTCAATTCTATGTGCGTATTGATGTATCAATCCCTTATGTGCGTATTGATGTGTCAGTCACTTATGTATGTATTGATGTGTCAATCCCTTGTTTGCGTATTGATGTGTCAATCCCTTGTGTGCCTATTGATGTGTCAATCACTTATGTACGTATTGATGTGTCAATTCTATGTGCGTATTGATGTGTCAATCCCTTATGTACGTATTGATGTGTCAATCCCTTATGTATGTATTGATGTGTCAATCCCTTATGTGCGTATTGATGTGTCAATCCCTTATGTGCGTATCGATGTGTCAATCCCTTATGTGCGTATTGATGTGTCAATCCCTTATGTGCGTATTGATGTGTCAATCCCTTATGTACGTATTGATGTTTCAATTCTATGTGCGTATTGATGTGTCAATCCCTTATGTACGTATTGATGTGTCAATCCCTTATGTATGTATTGATGTGTCAATCCCTTATGTGCGTATTGATGTGTCAAACCCTTATGTGCGTATCGATGTGTCAATCCCTTATGTGCGTATTGATGTGTCAATCCCTTATGTGCGTATTGATGTGTCAATCCCTTATGTACGTATTGATGTGTCAATCCCTTATGTACGTATTGATGTGTCAATCCCTTATGTGCATATTGATGTGTCAATCCCTTATGTGCGTATCGATGTGTCAATCCCTTATGTACGTATTGATGTGTCAATCTCTTATGTACGTATTGATGTGTCAATCTCTTATGTGCGTATTGATGTGTCAATACCTTATGTACGTATTGATGTGCCAATCCCTTATATTCGTATGAATTATTCAAAGTGTTAAACGATACTCACCACTGGTAAAAATATGTGTAAGGAAAAAATTATGTTTCCGACTTAATTAATATCTTTGAGTCATCCTATAATCATATTACACATGAATGCCGTCCAAAAACATCAATCATCATTTCTGTGCTTCCCTGTAGAATATAAGGAACATTTTATTACATTATTCACCGAAACAAGACATGTTTTGTCCTAACAGGGGAAGGAGAGGGGGTGGGAGTGGGGGGAGGGAAAACAGAGAGAAGAATTGAAAAAAAAACAATGATATTTTGGAAGATATTGGGAGTGTCTATTTTGAATTATTTTATCGTATCTAATGCTACTTGATCGATACAGTCTTGTCGTGTATAGTGTACATATCGATGTACACGTGTGAGAGGAGTCCTTGTTTCTAAATGTTATCAGCCAGAAATAGAGATTTACCATTAAAAACAAACTAACAAGCTTCACAATGATTACAATAATGACGATAAACAGGTGCATCGTCTTTTTGGAATTGTTTTATTTCTTCTTACACAAATTATGTGAACACAATAAGTCAATTTTGAGTACCATTCTGTACAAATACATTAACATTATTTACATGTTACACTGAAATAATTACTGATATCTTATGTACAGGTGATAACCACACGTTAATTAGGTACCTTGGGGGTAATTAAGGTATTAAAATCACCATTCGCTAATTAATTGATTTCTATGCACAGTAAAACCTAATAGCTGAGATCTGTTCCAGTTCTGATAAAAAACAAGACTATCAAATCCATGTGGATTGACTCCCACAGAAACGTCTCTAGATAAGCATGGATTTCTTTTGACTGAATAAAGAAAATGGAGCGCAAATTCATATCTATTTATGTTATTAAAAATGAATTCTGGGGAGACGGAAAACACATTTAATCAAAAACTGAAAACTTTATAATTTTGTCTAATATCTGTTTACCGATCAAGTTAGTAAGACGTCATTATACCTTTTGGTCCCATCTTATGATATCGGTTTCCAAAAAAAAAAAAAAAAAATATCACTCATTTAACAACAGGATATATTACTGACAAAAAAGGGCTAAAATCACCCGTCCGATTACTAAATTCATTCTACGGTTTTTTATCACTCATTCAATAGAAGGAAGGTCATCGCCAACTGGAAAAGGTGACAGTTTATTCAGCTTTCACCCGTGATGAGGTCTTTAACAACAAGTGGTATTATATTTTCATTTTTAATTTTCTATACCTAGAACTTTTGTACACAGTATGATCATATCTCCAGTTACTATTCAGTCACCAATATCACAGGGATCCGAGAACTTGTTAACGTCGGGTAAATATGAACCTACCCTGGTCGGTTAAAATGATTTTTTAAAAAAGATTTTCTTAAAGATATATATTTATATATTGTGTGTGTGTTTGGCGGGTAGGGTAAAGGTATGAGTTAAATCAATGTTTGGTAATAATGACACCCCTCTATGGTAGTGTAAACTCACCATAGAGATGCTGAACAGAACCTAGACAGGCCTATGTTAACCAACGTTATGATGACTATTCCCAGCTCCCTGTGAAGAGTGGGGTATCTGATTAACTATCTAAACAAGCCCTATTAAAGAGTGGGATAATCTCACATATCTTGAGCTGTATCTGCAAATCAGGACCATCAAACGCTTTATTTAAGGTGAGACAAAATGACTCGCGATAATGCTGGTGTACTGGACAATACATACTCCTGACTGGTTGACGTAATGGTTTAATTGATGGTCCAGGTGTGATTCTAATGGGTCAAATGCTTCATGTAATGATTTTATTGGTGTAAGCAATGATTTTAATGGTTTAAGTAATGATTTTAATGGTTTATGTAATTATTTTAATGGTTGAAGTAATGATTTTAATTGTTTAAGTAATTATTTTAATGGTTTAAGTAATGATTTTAATGGTTTATGTAATGGTTTTAATGGTTTAAGTAATGATTTTAATGGTTTATGTAATTATTTTAATGGTTTATGTATTTATTTTAATGGTTTAAGTAATGATTTTAATGGTTTAATGATTTTTATGGTTTATGCAATGATTTTAATGGTTTAAGTAATGATTTTAATGGTTTAAGTAATGATTTTAATGGTTTATGTAATGGTTTTAATGACTCAGGTATAGTTTATGTTAAGTTGTTCGATGATGAAAATCTTGTCCACAAGACAGCAATGATCAGATCTACTATTAACCGCGAGTCATTGGACAAAATCGCAGATGGTTGGATATCTAACAAAATTACCATGATGAATGGTTCTTGACATACTAATGCAGTTCAAGTTCCTGGTATCCAGATGATATCAATGGATGAGCGTTTTTCTCTTATCAATATTTTTATACACTACATCAAACAGGAGTCAACATAATTAAAGACCTTTTCCCACATCAAGGCACTGATTAATAGGCAATCTTCTTGTTAAACAAGTGGATCTACTCGATATGCACTAAACACTTTACATCCCTCACCATGTACAGTAGAACTGTCAGATTTCTGGTAATATTGTTCATCAACCTCCAGCTAATTGCTGTAAATCAATTGTTGAATAACTTTCGGAATTTTACAATTCAACCTTCTGTTCCTTTGACCCATCACATTTTATATCTTGCACGTGTGTAATTGTTTTGCAAAACTTCCAGTTCAGTGAAATAATCATGGAAACCCGGCTGAAATGTTTGGATCCACAGCTCACTCAGATACTGTTCTTCCAATAGGAATTTTCACACTTATTAAACGGCAGCAATACTTTTTAAGGTCTTAAACTCGCAGTTTTTCAATTTACACAATAAATACAAGAACTATGAGATGAATCATTTCTTATCATACACATGACAATCAGCAAATCATGAATTTTCCTTTCCAGGAAAGGTCAAGGTCATCACATGCACCACTAAGAAGGTTAAGTTCACACCACGGCGGACAGACGCATTGACTGTGAGATTTCCTGGCTGATATCATCGTCATCAGTAATGGTTGGCGGACTGTGAAGCAGATGGGACGGATCTGTATAACAGAAAGAAGTAAACACCCTTGAACAATATCAAAGCACTATGATTGACCAAAGAATCCGATTCATGTTACTCACATTTCCGCAATTTGCTATTTGACGCAAAAAACAGAAAATTTTCCTACATGCATATTGTGAAGCATCTTCAAAATATGCGAGTCTGTTTCTTGATCATGTATTTTCTATATCAAAGGATATCGATACCGACACCCGCCACAGAGAGATAAGTACAGAGAGAGAGAGGGTGATACTCACCGATATCAGTGGAGCCGTTGGTTAGTTCGGAGGCAGGTTCTTGTATTTTAGGCGGATAATAAACAATGCCGTTGTCATCTAAAGGTTTATTTGTGCGTCTGAGACAAATAACAGCAACGACGATGACAACGATGATTACTGGAATGAACACTCCAACCATGATTCCGATGATTGCACTAAGGGGAAGCCCGCTCGTCACGGTTGGATCAGCTGTAAGAGAAATAACATTCATGCTATAAATTTTTATGCTGTTATAATATATGTTGGAATCAAAACTTCGGCCATATTGGATCTCACAATGGGTTTCAATTTTCAGAATGAAATTATTTAATTTCCGTGTGGAAACATTTGTATTTTGGTGAAATCTCCAATGATTCTAAATAGACTGAATTCCGCCTTAAATACCGGTTAAAGATTTACGTACCTGGGGACTGGGTCGGATGGGCCGACTTGAAAGATGTATTAGTGGATATACGGACGGCAAGGACGGACGATGACGCGTTGGCCTCCAGCTTCAGAGAGGCGAATTCTGACGTCATACATTTCCTCACGGGACTTGTATCACAGTTCGACACCTGTCAAGAAATTTTTTTTAAATGTATTATGGAGGTGTTACTTCACATAGTATAGGTATCTGATAAAACGGTGATTATCTTTCATTGTAAACTCGTATTTATTTTTTCTCTTTCATCAATCATGTATAGTTGCTTTTTGTGTGTTGCGGTATCTTTGAAGAAATTCATCCAAACGTCGGAACGTACATCATTATCATTGTTCAGTTAATTTGTGTTTATTGTGAGCGACATTTTCTAGCTAAAGCAAAATCTGGGGAAGTCATTAAAATTTCATTATATATTACAAATGAAAATTTCGAATTAGTAACTGACGCTCAATATACTGTGGTTTTTCAGCCGTGAAATTAGAGACTCGTTGCATTACTCTAAAACGATATGGTTATCGAATTAACATATTATTTCTATGAATCATCTGGACCAGTTTAAAAAGTATTCTTACATCATCGAACTCGATGTCAGCTTAACGCTGATAATCTACCATGTTTTAAATAGCGCACTGTCCGTCTGCCGTGACATTAAGAGCCGAGCCGTAACTAAGGGACGGAACTCCATACCAGGAAAAATGAACACGGATGTATTGTAAGTGGAGTGTGTGCTTTGTTCGCGACCAGAAGCATTTTGTGGCGAGATTGATAGGGTTGTTACACTATACCCTGATCTATAGCTAAATACAAAGTACGTCTCGCTCGCTAGTCACGACTTTATTTCTCTCCAGAGGTATCGCACTTATAAACTTGTAAGATACCAGATGTTCCGACTTAATATCTTATTTCCTTTTTGACTGACGATTTCAAGATAAACTAAGCACATTGTTGATTGATGACGCCGATGTTGGTTTTCAGTAATAGTGTATTTTCGCATCAATATTTCCATTATGATACGCAATTACAAATATTGTCCGAATCCCATGTTCTACCTCCAAGCTGACAAAGCTTTGGACAATAGACGTCTATGAAAGTATAATGAAGAATGACCAATAGTATTAGATTTCTAAAAAGATTATAGCGGCGTGTAAACAGGGATCATGTATCTGAATTTACGCCTACTGTTTTGTATAAAACGTCCACAATTTGACCCCTAATGGCCCCTAATGAGTGTTCCTCACTTGAGAAGAGAACTATATTGTACCCACATCTCTATGAAATACCAGATATAAATACTTGTAAATGAAAAATGTATTGCCTAATTGATAAGACGCAGGGAATTTTGTGAAGTGTATAACAATACTGATTGTAATTTTCTGTGACATTTTGCGTTCAATTACAATTACAATTTGTAACTTTCGGTAGGTATTTTTTGTGAAAAATGAATTACCATACTAATTTGTGATTTTGGGTAACTTCTGTGTCGCATAACTTACAATTACAATTTGTAACTTTCGGTATTTTTTTTTTTTTATTTATTTATTTATTTTTTTGTGAAAAATGAATTACAATACTAATTTGTGATTTTGGGTAAGTTCTGTCAAATAACTTACAATATAAATTTGTAACTTTCGGTACTTTTTTTGTATAAAATGAATGAAAATAACTCTTTTGTAATTTTCGATTACTTTTGTGAACAAAGAATTACAATTCTGATTTGTAACTTTCGGTAACTTCTGTGTTCAATGACTTACAATATCAATTTGTATTTCGGTGATTTTTTATGAACAATTTATTACAATACTGTTTTCGTAACTTTCTGTAATTTTTGTGTAAAATATTTTACATTCTTAATGATTTGTAACTTTAGGTATCTGTTGTTTATAAATGTAGTAAAAGCATGGTCATTGGTGATGGTCAATACTGATGTTGTATGAATTGACTGTCAAGACTGAACTCTATATTCTTTGCGTTTTCCAATATTTATCTATCATATCCATCCATATTGTCATAATATAAAGAGAAAAAAAATTATTATAACTGAAAATCAACGATATACTTTCAACATACTCATTAAAACCGTCAAGGTCATATACTCATTTCAACAGTGCCCGGGACCTTACTTCTGCCACCATAGACACGGTCGAAGAAGCAAGGTATCACATTGGAAGGAAATATATGTTTTGTCTGTAACGTCAAAGTAAACCAACAAACCAATCAATTTACCTGAAAAGGTGTCCCAGAATATCCGGCAAACATTTGTATATCAGGAGGGCATTGACCTTCACTGATGTTCAAGGTCGTCACGTCCACACATATAGCCTCGCTCTGAGTCGTGTCACGTGTTAATTTGATGAGACAGTTTTCGAGAGGCGCCCCTCGCCACGTGGCCAGAACACCCGTCTTGTCCACTTTGTATGTCTGTCTCAGAAGACAGTTGGTGTGATCCAGGACAACTGAAGGTAAAAAGGAAGATTATTGTATAAAATTTAGGTTCTGGAAATATTTAGTTCGGGGGTATGTAAACATAAATTGAAGACACTGTATTACATACAAGACCCGCACCGACCATCGATATATGATGAAAACAACCTGTCTGATGTATTTTGGTTATAAACGGTATTCAGTATCACTCCTCACTTTATATAGCTGCATCGGTTGAAAATTTGCTTGATTTGATTTCGCATTCCTTTACAAATACGTATATTCATCCACAATGCACCAGCGCCTGTTTCTAACTGCTTTAAATCTCTTCTCTTTTTTTTTAAAAAAAAAATCTAGAATAGGGCTTGTTCGACTGCCAAATCAATATTGAACAATGACCATCCATTATGGGATAAGTAGCTAAACACTACTTCAAAACAAAAACGGAAATACCAGCTCTTTATTAAAACCACAATTCCCTAAAATCGCCGAAAAAACATATAAAAATGTGTAATGGCAATATGACCAGATGTTCTGGGAGGGTAAGCGTTTGCTGCTTCGCACCATGTAGTTTTCGAAATGTGAAAGTATTCAAGCATTTTGTTGAACCGGTCAATGTGATATTCTGTTGATTGTTAAATGCACAAAATGCTCACACATGACGGTGTGTTTCATTTGAAAAGGGAAGTAAATTACCTCGTTACTCGCATTTTAATACACGTAATATGATTCCAGTAGCTGTAGTTGGTATATAAAATTCTGGAACTAAGGGAGGTAAATGACTCACTTTCCGAAGATATCGCTAGACAGGCAGTGAACAGCAGACTGAACACCAACACACATGGCAAAAACATGGCCCTCCCTCCAACATCCGTCGAGGCAGTGGACACGCCCACAGTCTTCGGTGGGGCGAGGTAATGACGTCAGTTCCGGTACAAGACCATACTAAAACTCATCTGTGATACATTGTATTCGCACTGAAAAAACAAAGAAATTATTGTATTTTCTCTTAATAAAACTGTTGCACTTAAATAAAATGACATATTTTTTAAATGAAATATAGTTACAAACCAAAAAGAGTAAAGTTCAAGCTGGTTACAAATATACCACAAAGTTAGGAAGTTCGTGCACATAAACACACTTAGAGGGTTTATGAAATAACTCCTATAAAGAGCACATATAGCCCAACACTGGCAGCACCAGTCACCGATACCTAAATGCCGATCAATTCTCCGACGGCCGAGTATGTAAATACTATATACAAAGAGGATATCACATCGATTACAGCGTTTTTTTATGTTTGTATCCCAAATCATTAAATCGCTCAAATTGTTATGTGAAATCGATTTGTCACGACTCCTGTCCTGGAAATTACACACCGGAATGGGTCAATTTCTCGATGAATGAATCCCCTGTTGTAAGGCCGATAGCACGTTTCGAAACTCCAAAAGTAGCCACCATACATTGGCACAAATAGGCATTACACACCCTGACGCAGCAATTTCAACATATCGTATTTTTTTCAAAATAAAATAAACATTCATACATGAGGGTTCTCTGCTAACCGCTGATGACACAACAAAAGGCTTGAGCAATGGTGACGCCGGAGTGTACATATTGTGTTGGGTTACACACCCGATACTTTAAGTGAACAGGGCACACAAAAAGAACTCGGATTCTCCCCATACCACGACAGACAACAGTGTTTATTTAACTGGGTAGGGTTGTCATAATTCTGTATTATCCGTCAACAAAAAATCGGGGACCTGACAGGCTCGCTGTGATGTCACGCCAAGCCATGGCAGCCAAAGTGCACATTAATTTTTGTAATGTGACAGCGACCATAAAGAGCACCTGTCTTTAAAAGGCAGCCATATTTTTATCGACACAAATTTTAAAGGGAGGCTTGGTCAAACGCACCGCGTCCTGTACACTAGACCATCTGTCCTTGCTAGCTGATCAATACTATTATACAAAGTCTGTAACGAACACACATAAACATTATGGTAGATGTAATAGCAGCTAAAAGCGGTTGTATTCGACCATAAAACTAAAACCCAAAACCACATCCAATGAAATGCAATAACTACGGAAGACTTGTATTATACAATGCAAGAAAATCAAATAGAATCCTTAACATTTGAAAATGGCGCAAGCGTAATTGACCTCAAAATGACGTATATCAAAACATGAAGTTTTAACATTTACCAACTAATTATACTAAAGTTCCACGATTTAAGCAACAAGAACACTACATAAAGGATTTGCTAGACCATACCCCACGCACCTCTGCCGAATGTGTACGGAAACAGCCGAACATGTGTTCGTTGCAGCATGTGTCGATCGTTAATGCTGTAATATTATATGATTTAAAACTATTTATTTCTGAGGAGTCTTATTTTAACGCCTCTGAAATAGTGTCTTTATGATAATGTGTAAATTATCAGCTGTCGTCCATCAGGAATTTAATGCAGTTTTGTAAATGTGATATCTATCTCTCTATTCACAGACGTGCATTACCTAAATATTGCGAACGAAATTAACGGGACATTCACAGTCGTGCAAGCTTGACGATGGTTTTTTTTTATCCGAAGAAACAGAAAGTCATCCGAGTTTAATCAGTCTCGATAGAAATTGGTTAAATTCACTGCTCAAAACATTCGGTACGCACAGTTGTATCAAACGGTATCAATATTATACCGACAAAGCAAATATACAAAATTTGAAGCTAAAAACATATATCCAGTTCATTACAACAAATATATAATAATATATACAATATAGAATGATGTCGTAAATGTAATTTTCTTTTTTGTTGAAATTTCAGTTTAAATATACTAATTTTGAATATCATAATCAAGAGAAAGAGTCATACCGATATGAAATACATTTTTTGTTTTCTTGTTTGTTTTTGCTCCGCCATTTAGAAGTTAACTAAACTTTTTGTAACTAGAAGTATCTGGTACCGTTCATAACACTTGGGAACTAAGTCGACGCCAATAGCGCACGTTGCCATAACAACCATAACACTGCATCCCATCTTAAAAAAAGTTGCGCTGACGAATAAAACTATCAGCTTTAGGTATAAATTTCTTTGTATAAGAAGCTATATGGAAAAGTTTTACACCATTGCTGAAAGCCAGTGATGTCGTACTTAAAGAGTCTGGGTAGGAACCCCCTCCCCTCTCCCTATACATGCAGAGAAATAAATATGACCGATTTAGAAGCGTTAAGCTTCTCAATATGTCGTCATTTGAAGTCAAGAGAGCTATGAGAGATCAACGTGATCCAGGTGTTAAATTTCACAGGAGGTGTGCGTCAAGAGAATATACGATGCATGCTTGTGGAAATTTTCAGTTTCGTCTCAAAACATGGCGACAATCTAATTAACAATTTCGACCGTGCATTTATATAAATCATGTATTCGGTTTCGCACATCTATAGTTTTAGCTGTAATTTCTCGACATTAAACTCGCCCAAAATTCCAGCAGGTCTGTGATAACATCATAAAGCAATTTTCTCATGTTTAGCTGTTGTGAAAATCAACGCAATCGAAGTAATTTCCCAATCATGTCAATCGAAATAAAGATTATAAAAACAAATTATTCTAAAGATATTAAGTTTGAATTAACGGATCAATTTCATACGAATGAATGAAAGCATATATTTAAAGAGTAATTTCTCCTCGATTTACAAGTAATATCAACTCCGGTTCTATGAATGTGGTTTTTTTTCTGTTGAATCATATTGTATGTCTTATTTGTATTAAGGTGGGCGTCTCGTCCGCGTTATTTTCTATCGGTAAATCGGTTCTGTCTTTTTGGAATTAAACCTCGTGAGACGATAATTTATAGTAAATCAACAATACAGTACTGTGTGTTCCTGGCCTATAAAATCCCTCCCAGACCCACTCCCTATACAGCATGACATTTTCGATATATTTCTTCAACCTGCGCGTATCCTGAATGAACCCTGGCGAGACCTACAAGACGCTTAGCCCAGTGGCTGTGGTATGGCGTGTAGATGTGTGCCTACAAGCTTCAGTTATGAAGGTGATATCGCAATTTCTCATCTCCAGTTTTTGTTCCCCATATCTATACCGTTGGTATTCAGACGTAATGTTATACATTTCAGAAAGGCGACGTATATAGCAACATTCAAACACGCATGCACCTTTATTAAGGTAATATGAACACAAGTTTAGATTGATTATAAAAAGGTCAGACGTTCGTAATTCTGACTTGTTACTTGATGTTTCTCATTTTAATTTAACGCCCTGCTATTAAAGTGTATCCTGTATAATCCAACACCCTTTTTGTATTGTTTTTTTTTTCATTTTATTGTTAATTGTATAGTTCTTCAATGTATTGTTTTTCAATGTATTGTTTTTTTGTTGTATTTCATTGTATTTATTTCATTTCATTGTGTTAATTATTGTGCTGTATTTTTGGAATTTTAATTGTAAGGTTCTGTTTAATGTCTTACATGTCATTGTATTGTTTATATATCGTTTTATGACATAACTGCCTTGTTATTTAGTAAATATATCCATGTCGTATTTTTGTTGATTGTATATGTACATATGCGTGAACCGTTAAAAAAAAATTCCAACCGGAAGTTCACGAAAAACAAACTACATCTGAAAGCATTTTCAACTACTAATACATCAGTTTAATGATTCGGTATCAATTCATACTAGTGCTGTTTCGAGGACTAGCTGTTTTGAGGACTTTAAACCTCATCAAAAAACTCACATGTGCGTGTATAGTGGAACACAAAAACAACGAGCGCATTTGTAACATGTTTTCCTAATAAATGGAAACACCAAATTGTTGAATGAAGGATTTAAATGAATAAACGTCTCTCGAAAAATTGACGGAAAATGCTAAAATAACATACACCATGGGCCATCGTATCATGTGCAGCGAGCACTATCAAATCGCCTGGCTGTGTAGCACCGTACCCACACAGACCGCATATCCTGCCAGCTTGATTATTTATAACGGTTATGGCATTGACAGCCGAACCATGTGTGTTCCCCACAGAACATGTCACGGTCAATGTCAACCACTGTGAATTTAGAATGTCTGCCAGCACTACAGTGACATGTTGGTGGTTTTCACTGTGAAGTATCAGGGCACCACACACGTCATACATGGACCATGTATTTCCGTTCGGAAAACGAGGTTTTAGGACATATTTCCGTTCGGAGAGTGAGGTTATAGGATTAAACAAGCCTTCCGTGTATATGTTTCCGTTTGGAAAATAAATTTTAGAAATACAACACTGTAACGGTTCTGTTTCGGAACGATAAGTTAAGAAGTAAACATGCTTTATAAATATGTATTATGATCTAGTTAATTACGCGTGTTTACCATACACCAAAATGTATACTACGTAGCTATGGCAACGTAGGAAAGGCAACAATTATCGGTCGTCATCAACCGACGTTATTCAAATCCAAGTTTCCGACAAATGTCTTAAGTTCCCTTAGGCCAACCAAACTCATTCTTTGCAAAATATGTTTTCTTTGCGAAATATGTTTTCTTTAGAAACGAGCTCGCAGAGGATTGCTTTCGAAGATCAAGAAAATTAAAAAATTAAAAGTCAAGGCAATTTTATATTGAACTCTATAAAAAGATAATTCCGTTTCTACTGATAAAGTTGAGTTCCCTGGAGCCCATGAAACTTTGTTCTGAAGACATCTTAATTAGAATTAGATCTCTAATTTCACTTTGTACCTCATTACATGTATGAAGTGTAATGAGAGATATTATTTTAATAAGGTTGTTTTAAAGGTGAAATATCAAGTTCATATAGTAACTTCACGTATAACTTTTATACTCAGTGTCCCCCGGTCTAAAACCAATAATATTTCTGCCATGATGAAAATAGTTTGCGTTTCATAAGTCGTCAAAGAAAATTGTCACTATTGTTATTAATAGGAAACATGCAGATCAAAGGTCAAAGGTCAAAA